CCCCCGCCTTCACCTGAGCGCCGGGGATCCCGGAGAGGGCGCGACCCGCATCGGGACACACGGCTCCCTGATGCCGTCCCACACGCCGGCCGACCCGACGAACCAACCCGCGGTGCCGACCGACCCGAAGTGCTCCGTAGGAGCACGAGGGCAGCGATAGGCATCGAAAGGGCAGGTCTCGTCGAGGAAGCCGAAACGGTGGCGACGCTTCAGGCGCTGGAGGACTTCGCTGCGAAAGTGGCGGAGTTCTTCGTTAAGCATCGGGCCGTGGACACCGAGCGGGCCGCAAATTCAGCCACCAGTGGGAGGGGTGGCCGGCCACAAGCGGCTGCGAGGAGGGAGGGTGAGTCTCGCCGTCCGAGGGACAGCTCGACGACGACCGGTACTCCTACCAACCGCGAGGAATATGTTCGGGAGGCGACGCGCATCCAGCGCTTGTTCCGTGCGAACCGGAAGCGTGCGGTGCGGGAGGTCCTGAAAGGGTCCTCCCCACACTGTGAAGTGTCGAAGGACGTAGTCCAGCGACACTTCACAGAAATGTACGCTCCTCGGGATCGTGCGGGGCCCCTCCCGACTATCCATTACGAGACAGCACAGGAATGTGACGCTCTGGTGTCGGCATGTACGGCCGCCGAGGTGAGTCGCCGCCTGGACCGGATGAAGAAATCTTCTCCGGGTCCCGACGGCGTAACCTACGGTGATTTGCGCGATGTCGACCCAGGCGCCACGCTCTTAACGGCGTTGTTTAACGCCTGTCTCAAGATGGAGCATATTCCGCGCGTCTGGAAGGAGTCCAACACCGTTCTTATTCATAAGAAGGGTGACCGGGATGACTTGTCGAACTGGAGACCTCTCGCGATGGGCGATACCCTGCCCAAACTCTTCGCCGCTGTAATGGCCGACCGCCTCACTCACTGGGCCGTACTTAACCGACGGCTCTCACGAGGCCAAAAGGGCTTCCTGCCGTACGAGGGGTGCCTTGAGCATAACTTCGTGCTGCAGGAATGCATCGCCGACGCTCGGAGGAAGAAAGGGGAACTGGTGGTGGCGTGGCTGGATCTTTCCAATGCTTTTGGATCGATCCCGCACGCCACTATCTTGGAGTCGCTCTCCAACGCCGGGGCACCGCGGGCGATCACAAATATCGTCGCCAGCCTATACACAGACTGTGCGACGAGGGTCCGCACCTCTGAGGGATACACGGAAAAAATCCCCATTCAATCAGGGGTAAAACAGGGATGCCCCCTCAGCCCCATCCTGTTCAATCTCGCAATTGAGCCCCTACTCCGCGTAGCCGAGGAATCGACCGGTGGCTACGAGATCGCGGGTGAAACGGTCGATGAGCTTGCCTACGCGGATGATCTCACGCTGCTGGCGACATACGAGGAGGAGATGAGGGATATGCTGCACAACGTTGAAGTTACTGCCAACAACTTGGGTCTCGCCTTCAACGCGAAGAAATGTGCAACTCTGCATTTACGAGGCCGGGACGACGTACTGGACACCGTGTACTGTATCCAGGAGGAACCCGTTCCGGCTCTGGGAAAAGGTGAGCCCTACCAGCATCTAGGGGTCCCAACCGGGGTTCAGCTCGATCAGACGCCCTACACCACGATCCGTGGCGTGTTAGAGGACCTGGGCGCGGTGGACCAGTCACTGCTCGCCCCCTGGCAGAAGATCGAGACGGTGGCGACATTCATTGTCCCCCGTCTCGATTTCCTGCTTAGGGGAGCCAACATGCGACGAATGGCCCTGTCGGAGCTCGACAAGGCTATCAAGCGGACGGTCAAGCTATGGCTTAACCTGCCCCAGCGGGCTAGCCCGGAGGTGGTCCACATTCCCCCGTCACTGGGAGGGTGTGGACTCCCTCCGATAGCCGACCTCGCGGAGGTTACGGCCGTGGCTCACGCATTCAGGATGCTGAATGCGGGTGACACGGTCGTGGCTAACATCGCGAGGTACTCGCTGGAAGCTGCCGCGAGCGAGAAGCTTTGCCGGGCTCCGACTGGTCGGGATCTTGCCCAGTACCTGTCGGGCTCTTTGGCCGGGGACTGGTCAAGACCAACGACGGGTCGTTCGTCGTTTTGGTCGAGGGTGCGATCCGCTGCGCTGAGGTCTGGAGCGCGTCTCGGTTTTCGCTGGGAGTGGTGCGATGATCGAGCTGAACTCGCGGTTGTGATGGAGTCCCGAAATGGACGTCGGGTGGTCGTGCCGCCTCAAGCCAAGGCACACGTCATCACCAGGATGAGGGCCGCAGTGACGGAGCACTACCTGTCCTCGCTTCTTCGGAAGCCGGACCAAGGAAAGGCTTTCCAGGCAACCACCCAACATGCGGCGAGCAATCGCTTCATGAGGGGTGGTGCGTTTATCCGCTTCGCTGATTGGAGGTTTATTCATCGCGCCCGCCTTGACGTGCTCCCGTTAAACGGAGCCCGTCGATGGGGGAGCGATGATAAGCGCTGCAGGCGATGCGGATACACGCTGGAAAGCCTTCCTCATGTGCTCTGCCACTGCGGTCCTCATTCTGCCGCCAGGCAGAGACGGCACGACAACCTCGTCCTGAGGCTGAGTAGGGCGATCCGGCTCCCCGGTGAGATCCGGGTCAATAGGCGTGTTCCCGGGGCGTCAGGAGTGTCTTCGGCGCTTCGCCCGGACATTGTAGTCACGCACGAAGCGTCGAAGACCATAGTTCTGGTCGATGTAGCCGTGCCCTTTGAAAATACGATGCAGGCCATCGTAGACGCGCGTATGGAGAAAATTAACAAATACCAAGACCTAGCAGATTCTCTAAAGGGGCGCGGCTACAAAGTTTATTTAGATGCATTTATCGTTGGCGCCCTGGGCGCCTGGGATCCGGGGAACGAGTTCCTCCTGGAACTACTCAGAATTTCACCGCGATACGCGTCTTTAATGCGCAAACTTATGATTGCAGAAACAATCGCGTGGTCCCGAGACATATACGTCGAACATGTCTCGGGCATTAGACAGTACACGGTGTCCAGTACTGAGAACCATAATGACAATAACAGGGTCAACGTCGACGAACTGGAAGGCGAGGCCCGCGTACCCTCATCTCCTCCTCAGGCATGAACACCGAGAGTAAAGTACACGTAATATGCCTTGTTTCTCTTTTTCTCTTCTTTTCGTTCTCCTTTCTTTTTTTTTTCCTTCTCTTTTTTTTTTTTTTTCCTTTCCTCATTATCTCATTCTTCTTCTTCTGTTTTACCAACCCACCTAGCCCAGGCTCTACTCGGTGTTCTATATGCTACTTCTCCTTACTCTATTTGCGCTATTTCTGTTTTTACTGTCTTCTTTTACTTATGCTCATGGCTGGATCTAATAATTTTCTAGTCATATCTATATCTATTTAATAACTATACTCGTAATCTACGCTTATATCCATTCCATATTTATGCTATACGTGTGCATCAATACCTATATTTACATTCATCACTATTTATATTTATTCTCATGCACTTGCACACAACTAATAACTACATTAAAAGAAGACATAAGCGGGCCAATAGCTCCTTCTTTTTAATATTTAAATGGCGAACCTCGCTCGATACGATAAACGCGACGCATGCAACGGGAAAATGTTCCCGCTGCACTAGATTATTTTTTTTTTTGCCTATTGTTTCTGAAGGGCTACGCCCTAGACTGCTGTATATGTACCCCCCCAGAGGTTCGCCTCTGGGGAAACATTAATTGTTAAAATAAAGCGCAATTTATCTGTTCTTATCAGCTTAATATCTGATACACTCCCCATCGGGGAGTCAGAATATTAACCTTATTTTTGGAATTGGTCGGACTCCGGGGCTTGCTCCGACTCCGACACGGGTCGTACCTGCCTTGCAGTGCCGCAGGACGCGGCCCACATATACTGCTCTAAACACATTGCATTCTTCTTTCTTTCTAATATTCTGACTCCTCTTTTCTATTTCTATTCTAGTCTAGTGCTTTTTTTATTTTCTTTTATCCGCGATCGCGCTCGCGTCTGGCTTTTCCAACGGCGATGCGACTCGCTCAGCACAGCGGCGACTGACTGCGCGGTAAGTGGAGCTTGGGAGTCTGGTGGTGGTTTTTCGTAGTGTAGCGTCACTGTAGAGTGGTGCCACCTGGAGCAGGCAAAGCGCTGTCGACTCCAGGCGGACTGTTTCGATATATCGAAACCCTTTCGCGCCGTATCCGATTCCGGTGCGGCTTTGCTCGCGTTTGCTTTGTTTTGATTCTATGTTTAGCTGTTATCCGTGAGAACGCTGGTCGTTTAAACCGATAACAGCTGTTTGCCCCACTAACCGACTTGCCGAAATCCACTTTTTGCTGTAGTTTTTGTGCTCCCGTATAGGCTAAATATAGGCATTTAGACCGTTACGGGTAGACGTTATTCTATTATTCTAGCTATTTAGCTAGAAATTTTTCTATTTGCAGTAGATTAATTATTCTTTTTCCGATTAATTATCGAGGTACACGGGTCCTTTTACAACTTGTGTAACTCGATATCCACAGTTTAGTCCCCTGTGTGCGGTAATTTGCAGATTTAATTTGCAAATTATCGCGGAGAGCGACTCGCACGGTCGTCTTTTCGTTTCGTTCGTTTTTGTTTCTTTTATTTTATGATCTGATCGAATCTAGTCACTAGATTAAGGCTTTTTTGTTTTTTTTGTTTTTTTTATTTTTTTATCTATTTTTTATTTTTTTATTTTTATTCTATCTATTCTATTTTTAACTTATTCTGACTTTACTTTCTTTTATTTATTTTTGTGACATATATACCTATTAGCTAGGTATATATCTCCGTCCTATTTTTTTTTTGTGATTTTATTTCTCATTTTACTTTCTTCAGTTTATTTTATTTACTTATTCTTTAGCACTAGGTTTTAATTATTGACTGGGGAGTCCCTGCATTTTGCATTTTGTATTAGTATTTACTGTTCTATTTTATCCTATTGACCATTCTATTTATTGATTTATTTATTTATTTTATCATATATCTTAATATGACTTCGACGACGAACCCCCAGCCGAGCTGCACCGCCCGGGGTAACGAAGTTATCATCACCTTCCCCCCTCCTGAAACCTTCCCATGCCCCTTCTGCAATGAAGGGGCACCTCCATCCCGAATGAAGGTGGCCGTGTATCAGCGGCACGAGGACTTAGGCAAACACCTGCGCCTCCACCACCATGGCGCCAGCAGAAGGTGGGTCTGCGGGGTCTGCTTCTTCACCGACGACAGCGCTTATGCGCTGAAGAAGGTGAGGAAGCACCACGCAGACTCCCATGCAAATAATGCGATGCCTCGTGCCGCTGGGGCGCGGACATCTGCCCCCGCGGGAAGGGTTAGCGGCGGTGCACCATCGGCTGGGGGAGATTCAGCCGAGGAGCGACCCACCGACGCGGCGATAGCCGAAATGACGCAGAGGCCCTCTCCGTCCCCGATGGAAGCGGCAGGGACCACCACGGGTGGAGGCGCGCTAACGCGCGCCGCTAAAACTACCCAAACCAACTCCCGGACCACCGTGGCTGGCAAAACTAAGACGGCGCCGAAAAAGAAGCCTACGATCACTGCTTCGGTGACGGGGAGAAATCTTCTGACGGGCTGGGCCATAAAGAAAACTGCGACAGCGACGACGATAACGACCACGAGAAGGAGCGGGACGCCGTCCAGCCCCGCTGATGGACGACCTCCACCCGCGGGGAGTCCCGCCACCCCGCCGACCATTGACCTTACTACACCACCAGCGGGGACCGGCGCCGCTAAAAGGACCAGCGGCGGGCCAGCGTCAATGAGGAGGCCAAGTGGGGGAGTAACTTCCACCCTAACCCCCCCACTAAAAGAGAAAGAGAAGAGCCCGGGTATGAATAGAAGGAGCACCCGGGCCACAACGGAGCCTCCTCAACCTGGCCCGCCCCAACGAATCATCACCGCTACAAGGAAGGTGACCCCCGCCGTCACGTATGCTGAAGTGACCAGGGGTACGTCGACCGCCACTACAACGATGACCACAAGGAGGATGGCACGGGCAACCTCCCTCCCGCCCGTGCCGAAGCAAGGGGAAGTCGGGGGTGCATCCACCACCCAAGCGCCCCCCACTAGGACAGTGGCGACGACGTGCACCTTTGCGACGGCGGGGACCCTGACCCTGACGACGACCTCGGTTTACAGCAAACCGGTGGCCGTCGTCACCGTCGCTACAAGGAGGAGTGGGGGGGGATCCTCACCGAGGGGGCTCAAGAAAAGGATTCAGCAAGACACGGTGCTCCTGGAGTCCGCGCCGACGACCAGGGCGCGGGCTGCCAGGGCGACCACGGAGCCCCCTCGGACCCCCCCCAGGACAAGACAACAAGCGAAGCTGAGGAGGAGCCCACCACCTTCGACGGGCTCCGCGACGGTGAACGACGTGGCCACCTCAAGGACACCGGAGGAGCGCCCTGAAATAAGGAGGAGCACCCGGGCGAAAACTCTATCGCCCGGGTCGACGAAAGAGAAGAGGAGGGGGGACGGACCTACCACCCTACCGTCCCCCACTACAGGGCGCTTCGGGGGGAGGTTGATCCTCCCAGCTATTGCCGAGGCGTCGCCAGCGGTCACTGCGGCGCCGGAAACGGAAACGGAAAAGGAAATGGAAAAGGAAAAGGTGAAGGAAAGAAGATTAGGAGATGAAGAGGATGTGAGGGACTGGCGGGACGTCACGCCGCGGAACACGAGGAGAAGGGCTGGGCGGCAGGAAGAGGAGAGAGTCTTGACGACCCCGTCACCGAAGACGCCGGCGCGGCAGCCACGGCAACAACTTGAACGGGAAGAGGAAGTGGTCCGGGAGCCACCCGTGGTAAGGACCCCTACGGGGGTGGAGCAGGGGCCTCGTAGCAGGCCACTGACTATCGATAGGGCTACTAGTCCTATCGATTTTAATAATAACTCTAGTCAATGTAATTGTGATCGTCCTAGAATAAATAATGTCGCCAGCAGTGTGACTAATTGCCCCGGGTCAAACCGGGGCTCTGTTTTCAGCATGAATGGGCAGAGCAGGAGGGGCCGAGGGGGCACCAGTAACATGAGAACCCGCGAACCGAATACAAGAGGAGTACCCCCCAGAGGTCGGGCCCCACAGACGCCCGCGACGCACCGGTGAGGGAGAGTGACCCCCCCGCCTTCACCTGAGCGCCGGGGATCCCGGAGAGGGCGCGACCCGCATCGGGACACACGGCTCCCTGATGCCGTCCCACACGCCGGCCGACCTGACGAACCAACCCGCGGTGCCGACCGACCCGAAGTGCTCCGTAGGAGCACGAGGGCAGCGACAGGCATCGAAAGGGCAGGTCTCGTTGAGGAAGCCGAAACGATGGCGACGCTTCAGGCGCTGGAGGACTTCGCTGCGAAAGTGGCGGAGTTCTTCGTTAAGCATCGGGCCGTGGATACCGAGCGGACCGCAAATTCAGCCACCAGTGGGAGGGGTGGCCGGCCACAAGCGGCTGCGAGGAGGGAGGGTGGGTCTCGCCGTCCGAGGGACAGCTCGACGACGACCGGTACTCCTACCAACCGCGAGGAATATGTTCGGGAGGCGACGCGCATCCAGCGCTTGTTCCGTGCGAACCGGAAGCGTGCGGTGCGGGAGGTCCTGAAAGGGTCCTCCCCACACTGTGAAGTGTCGAAGGACGTAGTCCAGCGACACTTCACAGAAATGTACGCTCCTCGGGATCGTGCGGGGCCCCTCCCGACTATCCATTACGAGACAGCACAGGAATGTGACGCTCTGGTGTCGGCATGTACGGCCGCCGAGGTGAGTCGCCGCCTGGACCGGATGAAGAAATCTTCTCCGGGTCCCGACGGCGTAACCTACGGTGATTTGCGCGATGTCGACCCAGGCGCCACGCTCTTAACGGCGTTGTTTAACGCCTGTCTCAAGATGGAGCATATTCCGCGCGTCTGGAAGGAGTCCAACACCGTTCTTATTCATAAGAAGGGTGACCGGGATGACTTGTCGAACTGGAGACCTCTCGCGATGGGCGATACCCTGCCCAAACTCTTCGCCGCTGTAATGGCCGACCGCCTCACTCACTGGGCCGTACTTAACCGACGGCTCTCACGAGGCCAAAAGGGCTTCCTGCCGTACGAGGGGTGCCTTGAGCATAACTTCGTGCTGCAGGAATGCATCGCCGACGCTCGGAGGAAGAAAGGGGAACTGGTGGTGGCGTGGCTGGATCTTTCCAATGCTTTTGGATCGATCCCGCACGCCACTATCCTGGAGTCGCTCTCCAACGCCGGGGCACCGCGGGCGATCACAAATATCGTCGCCAGTCTGTACACAGACTGTGCGACGAGGGTCCGCACCTCTGAGGGATACACGGAAAAAATCCCCATCCAATCAGGGGTGAAACAGGGATGCCCCCTCAGCCCCATCCTGTTCAATCTTGCAATTGAGCCCCTACTCCGCGTGGCCGAGGAATCGACCGGTGGCTATGAGATCGCGGGTGAAACGGTCGAGGAGCTCGCCTACGCGGATGACCTCACACTGCTGGCGACATACGAGGAGGAGATGAGGGATATGCTGCACAACGTTGAAGTTACTGCCAGCAACTTGGGTCTCGCCTTCAACGCGAAGAAATGTGCCACTCTACACTTACGAGGCCGGGACGACGTACTGGACACCGTGTACTGTATCCAGGAGGAACCCGTTCCGGCTCTGGGAAAAGGTGAGCCCTACCAGCATCTAGGGGTCCCAACCGGGGTTCAGCTCGATCAGACGCCCTACACCACGATCCGTGGCGTGTTAGAGGACCTGGGCGCGGTGGACCAGTCACTGCTCGCCCCCTGGCAGAAGATCGAGACGGTGGCGACATTTATTGTCCCCCGTCTCGATTTCCTGCTTAGGGGAGCCAACATGCGACGAATGGCCCTGTCGGAGCTCGACAAGGCTATCAAGCGGACGGTCAAGCTATGGCTTAACCTGCCCCAGCGGGCTAGCCCGGAGGTGGTCCACATTCCCCCGTCACTGGGAGGGTGTGGACTCCCTCCGATAGCCGACCTCGCGGAGGTTACGGCCGTGGCTCACGCATTCAGGATGCTGAATGCGGGTGACACGGTCGTGGCTAACATCGCGAGGTACTCGCTGGAAGCTGCCGCGAGCGAGAAGCTTTGCCGGGCTCCGACTGGTCGGGATCTTGCCCAGTACCTGTCGGGCTCTTTGGCCGGGGACTGGTCAAGACCAACGACGGGTCGTTCGTCGTTTTGGTCGAGGGTGCGATCCGCTGCGCTGAGGTCTGGAGCGCGTCTCGGTTTTCGCTGGGAGTGGTGCGATGATCGAGCTGAACTCGCGGTTGTGATGGAGTCCCGAAATGGACGTCGGGTGGTCGTGCCGCCTCAGGCCAAGGCACACGTCATCACCAGGATGAGGGCCGCAGTGACGGAGCACTACCTGTCCTCGCTTCTTCGGAAGCCGGACCAGGGAAAGGCTTTCCAGGCAACCACCCAACATGCGGCGAGCAATCGCTTCATGAGGGGTGGTGCGTTTATCCGCTTCGCTGATTGGAGGTTTATTCATCGCGCCCGCCTCGACGTGCTCCCGTTAAACGGAGCCCGTCGATGGGGGAGCGATGATAAGCGCTGCAGGCGATGCGGATACACGCTGGAAAGCCTTCCTCATGTGCTCTGCCACTGCGGTCCTCATTCTGCCGCCAGGCAGAGACGGCACGACAACCTCGTCCTGAGGCTGAGTAGGGCGATCCGGCTCCCCGGTGAGATCCGGGTCAATAGGCGTGTTCCCGGGGCGTCAGGAGTGTCTTCGGCGCTTCGCCCGGACATTGTAGTCACGCACGAAGCGTCGAAGACCATAGTTCTGGTCGATGTAGCCGTGCCCTTTGAAAATACGATGCAGGCCATCGTAGACGCACGCACAGAGAAAATTAATAAATACAAAAATCTCGCAGATTCTCTGAAAGGGCGCGGCTACAAAGTTTACTTAGATGCATTCATCGTGGGCGCCCTGGGCGCCTGGGATCCGGGGAACGAGTTCCTCCTGGAACTACTCAGAATTTCACCGCGATACGCGTCTTTAATGCGCAAACTCATGATTGCAGAAACAATCGCGTGGTCCCGAGACATATACGTCGAACATGTCTCGGGCATTAGACAGTACACGGTGTCCAGTACTGAAAACCATAATGAAAACCATAATAATAGCAACAGGGTCAACGTCGACGAACTGGAAGGCGAGGCCCGCGTACCCTCATCTCCTCCCCACGTCTGAACACCGAGAGTAAAGTACGCGCAATATGCCTTGTCTTTTTCTCTTCTTTTAGTTTTCTTTTCTTTCTTCTTATTCTTCTATTCTTATTATATTTATTTTGTCAACCCATTCAGCCTAGGCTCTACTCGGTGTTCTTATCGGTGTTACTTCTCTCTATTCTACCTGCGCTACTTATGTCCCTGCTATTTCCTTATACATGTGCATCTATATCTATTTTTTTACATCTATTTTTTATTTATATCTATTCGCATGCACCTGTGCATAACTAATAATTATACTAACAAAGAAGACATAAGCGGGCCAATAGCTCCTTCTTTTCAATATTTAAATGGCGAACCTCGCACGATATGTTAAACGTGACGCATGCAACGGGAAAATGTTCCCGCTGCATTAGACTATTCGTTTCCTATCTATTGCCATCTGAAGGGCTACGCCCTAGACTGTTGTTTATGTACCCCCCCAGAGGCTCGCCTCTGGGGAAACATTAATTGTTAAAATAAAGCGCAATTATCTGTTCTTATCAGCTTAATATCTGATACACTCCCCATCGGGGAGTCAGAATATTAACCTTATTTTTGGAATTGGTCGGACTCCGGGGCTTGCTCCGACTCCGACACGGGTCGTACCTGCCTTGCAGTGCCGCAGGACGCGGCCCACATTTATTAATTTAAACACATTGCATTCTTCTTTCTTTCTAAAATATTCTGACTCCTCTTTTCTATTTCTATTCTAGTCTAGTGCTTTTTTTATTTTCTTTTATCCGCGATCGCGCTCGCGTCTGGCTTTTCCAACGGCGGTGCGACTCGCTCAGCACAGCGGCGACTGACTGCGCGGTAAGTGGAGCTTGGGAGTCTGGTGGTGGTTTTTCGTAGTGTAGCGTTACTGTAGAGTGGTGCCACCTGGAGCAGGCAAAGCGCTGTCGACTCCAGGCGGACTGTTTCGATATATCGAAACCCTTTCGCGCCGTATCCGATTCCGGTGCGGCTTTGCTCGCGTTTGCTTTGTTTTGATTATATGTTTAGCTGTTATCCGTGAGAACGCTGGTCGTTTAAACCGATAACAGCTGTTTGTCCCACTAACCGACTTGCCGAAATCCACTTTTTGCTGTAGTTTTTGTGCTCCCGTATAGGCTAAATATAGACATTTAGACCGTTACGGGTAGACTTCATCTATTACTCTAGCTATTTAGCTAGAAATTTTTCTATTTGCAGTAGAGTAATTATTATTTTTCCGATTAATTATCGAGGTACACGGGTCCCTTTACAACTTGTGTAACTCGATATCCACAGTTTAGTCCCCTGTGTGCGGTAATTTGCAGATTTAATTTGCAAATTATCGCGGAGAGCGACTCGCACGGTCGTCTTTTCGTCTCGTTCGTTTTTGTTTCTTTTACTTTATGATCTAATCTAGTCACTAGATTAAGGTTTTTATCTTTTATTTCTTTTTTATTTATTTTGATTCTACTTTTGTTTTATTTATTTTCTTTTATTTTATTTTTATCTTCGCGACGTATATACCTATCATTTAGGTATATATTCCCGTTTTATTCCTCGATTTTAGTTCTCTCTTTTATCTTATTTTACTTCTTTACTTTATTTTACCTATTTATTCTCTAGCACTAGGTTTTAACCACTGACTGGGGAGTCCCTGCATTTTATATTAGTATTTATCGTTCTATTTTACTTAACTGACTATTCTATTTTATTGATTTATTTATTTATTTATTCTATTATATATATATATTAACATGACTTCGACAACGAACCCCCAGCCGAGTTGCACCGCCCGGGGCAACGAAGTCATTATAACCTTCCCCCCACCAGAAACCTTTCCGTGCCCCTTCTGCAATGAAGGGGCACCCCCGTCCCGAATGAGGGTGGCCGTGTACCAGCGGCACGAGGACCTTGGCAAGCATCTGCGTCTCCACCATCATGGCGCTAGCAGAAGGTGGGTCTGCGGGGTATGCTTCTTCACCGACGACAGTGCTTATGCGCTGAAGAAGGTGAGGAAGCACCACGCAGACTCCCATGCGAATAGTGCAGTGCCTCGTGCCGCTGGGACGCGGTCATCTGCCCCAGCGGGGAGAACCAGCGGCGGTGCACTCTCGACTGGGGGGGATTCAGCCGAGGAGCGACCCACCGACGCGGCTATAGCCGAGCTGACGCAGAGGCCCTGTCCGCCCCCGATGGAAGCGGCAGGGACTGCCACGAGTGGAGGCGCGCTAACGCGCGCCGCTAAACCTGCCCTAACCAACTCCCGGACCACCGTGGCTGCCAAAACAAGGACTGCGCCGAAAAAGAAGCCCACGATCACTGCTTCGGTGACGGGGAGAAATCTTTTGACGGGCTGGGCAATCAAGAAAACTGCGACAGCGACAACGACGACCATCAGAAAGAACGGGACGCCGTCTAGCCCCGCCGATGGACGACCTCCGTCCACGGGGAGTCCCGCCACCCCCGCCGACCATTGACCTGACTACACCGCCAGCGGGGACCGGCGCCGCTAAGAGGACCAGCGGCGGGCCAGCGTCAATGAGGAGGCCAAGTGGGGGGGTAACCTCCACCCTAACCCCCCCACTAAAAGTGAAGGAAAAGAGCCCGGGGACGAAGAGAAGGAGCACCCGGGCCACAACGGAGCCTCCTCAACCTGGCCCGCCCCAACGAACCATCACCGCTGCAAGGAAGGTGACCCCCGCCGTCACGTATGCAGAAGTGACTAGGGGCACGTCGACCGTCACTACAACGATGACCACCCGGAGGATGGCACGGGCAACCTCCCTCCCGCCCGTATCGAAACAAGAGGAAGCCGGGGGCGCATCCACCACCCAAGCGCCCCCCACCAGGCCAGTGACGGCGACGTGCACTTTCGCGACGGCGGGGACACTGACCTTAACGACGACCTCGGTTTATAGCAAACCGGTGGCCGTCGTCACCGTCGCCACAAGAAGGAGCGGGGGGGGAGCCTCACCGAGGGGGATCAAGAAAAGGATTCAAGAGGACACGGTGCTCCTGGAGTCCGCGCCGACGACCAGAGCGCGGGCTGCCAGGGCAACCACAGAGCCCCCTCGGACCCCCCCCAGGACAAGACAGGCGACCAAGATGAGGAAGAGCCCACCAACATCCATGGGCTCTGCGACGGTGAACGACGTGGCCACCTCAAGGACACCAGAAGAGCGCCCTGTAACAAGGAGAAGCACCCGGGCGAAAACTCTATCGCCCGGGTCGACACAAGAGAAGACGACGAGGGGGGACGGACCTACCACCCTACCGTCCCCCACTACAGGGCGCCCCGGGAGGAGGTTGATCCTCCCAGCTATAGCCGAGGCGTCGCCAGCGGTCACTGCGGCGCCGGATAAGGAAAAGGATAAAGAAAAGGAAAAGGAGAAGGAAAGAAGACTAGGGGAGGAAGAGGATGTAGGGGGCTGGCGGGACGTCGTGCCGTGGAAAACGAGGAGAAGGGCTGGACGGCAGGAAGAGGAGGGAGTTATGACGACCCCGCCACCGAAGACGCCGACGCGGCAGCCACGGCAACATGTACAAGAAGAGGAAGTGGTCCGGGAGCCACTCGTGGTAAGGACCCCTACGGGGGCAAAACAGGGGCCTCCAAGCAGGCCACTGACTATCGATAGGGCTACTAGTCCTATCGATTTTAACAATAATTCTAGTCAATGTGATTGTGATCGTCCTAGAATAAGTAACGTCGCCAGCAGTGTGACTAATTGCCCCGGGTCAAACCGGGGCTCTGTTTTCAGCACGAATGGGCAGAGCAGGAGGGGCCGAGGGGGAACCAGTAACACGAGAACCCGCGAACAGATTACAGGAGGAGTACCCCCCAGAGGTCGGGCCCCACGGACGCCCGCGACGCACCGGCGAGGGACAGTGACCCCCCCGCCTTCACCTGAGCGCCGGGGATCCCGGAGAGGGCGCGACCCGCATCGGGACACACGGCTCCCTGATGCCGTCCCACACGCCGGCCGACCCGACGAACCAACCCGCGGTGCCGACCGACCCGAAGTGCTCCGTAGGAGCACGAGGGCAGCGATAGGCATCGAAAGGGCAGGTCTCGTTGAGGAAGCCGAAACGGTGGCGACGCTTCAGGCGCTGGAGGACTTCGCTGCGAAAGTGGCGGAGTTCTTCGTTAAGCATCGGGCCGTGGATACCGAGCGGGCCGCAAATTCAGCCACCAGTGGGAGGGGTGGCCGGCCACAAGCGGCTGCGAGGAGGGAGGGTGAGTCTCGCCGTCCGAGGGACAGCTCGACGACGACCGGTACTCCTACCAACCGCGAGGAATATGTTCGGGAGGCGACGCGCATCCAGCGCTTGTTCCGTGCGAACCGGAAGCGTGCGGTGCGGGAGGTCCTGAAAGGGTCCTCCCCACACTGTGAAGTGTCGAAGGACGTAGTCCAGCGACACTTCACAGAAATGTACGCTCCTCGGGATCGTGCGGGGCCCCTCCCGACTATCCATTACGAGACAGCACAGGAATGTGACGCTCTGGTGTCGGCATGTACGGCCGCCGAGGTGAGTCGCCGCCTGGACCGGATGAAGAAATCTTCTCCGGGTCCCGACGGCGTAACCTACGGTGATTTGCGCGATGTCGACCCAGGCGCCACGCTCTTAACGGCGTTGTTTAACGCCTGTCTCAAGATGGAGCATATTCCGCGCGTCTGGAAGGAGTCCAACACCGTTCTTATTCATAAGAAGGGTGACCGGGATGACTTGTCGAACTGGAGACCTCTCGCGATGGGCGATACCCTGCCCAAACTCTTCGCCGCTGTAATGGCCGACCGCCTCACTCACTGGGCCGTACTTAACCGACGGCTCTCACGAGGCCAAAAGGGCTTCCTGCCGTACGAGGGGTGCCTTGAGCACAACTTCGTGCTGCAGGAATGCATCGCCGACGCTCGGAGGAAGAAGGGGGAACTGGTGGTGGCGTGGCTGGATCTTTCCAATGCCTTTGGATCGATCCCGCACGCCACTATCTTGGAGTCGCTCTCCAACGCCGGAGCACCGCGGGCGATCACAAATATCGTCGCCAGTCTGTACACAGACTGTGCGACGAGGGTCCGTACCTCTGAGGGATACACGGAAAGAATCCCCATCCAATCAGGGGTTAAACAGGGATGCCCCCTCAGTCCCATCCTGTTCAATCTGGCAATAGAACCCATCATCCGCGTAGCCGAGGACTCCACTGCAGGATATGTGATCGCGGGGGAGAAAATCGGGGAACTCGCCTACGCGGATGACCTCACGCTGCTGGCGACAAAAGAAGAGGAGATGAGGAGTATGTTACTCGTCGTTGAAGATACCGCAACGAACCTGGGTCTCGCCTTCAACCCAAAGAAATGCGCGACACTACATCTAAGAGGCCGGAACGATGTACTGGACACCGTGTACAACATCCAGGAGGAGCCCGTTCCGGCTCTGGGAAAAGGTGAGCCCTACCAGCATCTAGGGGTCCCAACCGGGGTTCAGCTCGATCAGACGCCCTACACCACGATCCGTGGCGTGTTAGAGGACCTGAGCGCGGTGGACCAGTCACTCCTCGCCCCCTGGCAGAAGATCGAGACGGTAGCGACATTTATTGTCCCTCGTCTCGATTTCTTGCTGAGGGGAGCCAACATGCGACGAATGGCCCTGTCGGAGCTCGACAAGGCTATCAAGCGGACGGTCAAGCTATGGCTTAACCTGCCCCAGCGGGCTAGCCCGGAGGTGGTCCACATCCCCCCGTCACTGGGAGGGTGTGGACTCCCTCCGATAGCCGACCTCGCGGAGGTTACGGCCGTGGCTCACGCATTCAGGATGCTGAATGCGGGTGACACGGTCGTGGCTAACATCGCGAGGTACTCGCTGGAAGCTGCCGCGAGCGAGAAGCTTTGCCGGGCTCCGACTGGTCGGGATCTTGCCCAGTACCTGTCGGGCTCTTTGGCCGGGGACTGGTCAAGACCAACGACGGGTCGTTCGTCGTTTTGGTCGAGGGTGCGATCCGCTGCGCTGAGGTCTGGAGCGCGTCTCGGTTTCCGCTGGGAGTGGTGCGATGATCGAGATGAACTCGCGGTTGTGATGGAGTCCCGAAATGGACGTCGGGTGGTCGTGCCGCCTCAAGCCAAGGCACACGTCATCACCAGGATGAGGGCCGCAGTGACGGAGCGCTACCTGTCCTCGCTTCTTCGGAAGCCGGACCAAGGAAAGGTTTTCCAGGCAACCACCCAACATGCGGCGAGCAATCGCTTCATGAGGGGTGGTGCGTTTATCCGCTTCGCTGATTGGAGGTTTATTCATCGCGCCCGCCTCGACGTGCTCCCGTTAAACGGAGCCCGTCGATGGGGGAGTGATGATAAGCGCTGCAGGCGATGCGGATACACGCTGGAGAGCCTTCCTCATGTGCTCTGCCACTGCGGCCCTCATTCTGCCGCCAGGCAGAGACGGCACGACAACCTCGTCTCGAGGTTGAGTAGGGCGATCCGGCTCCCTGGTGAGATCCGGGTCAACAGGCGTATTCCCGGGGCGACAGGAGAGTCCACGGCGCTTCGCCCGGACATCGTCGTCACGCACGAAGCGTCGAGGACTATAGTACTGGTCGACGTAACCGTGCCCTTCGAAAACACGATGCAGGCCATCGCAGACGCGCGCCTAGAGAAAATTAATAAGTACAAAGATTTAGCGGATTCTCTACGAGGGCGCGGTTACAAAGTTTATTTAGATGCGTTCATCGTGGGCGCCCTGGGCGCCTGGGACCCGGGGAACGAGTTTCTCCTGGAATTACTACGTATCTCACCGCGCTACGCGTCATTAATGCGAAAGCTAATGGTAGCGGAAACCATCGCGGGGTCCCGAGACATCTACGTCGAGCATGTCTCGGGAATAAGACAGTACACGGTGCCCAGTACTGAAAATAATAATGATATCGCGGCAGTGGATGACCTGGCAGGCGAGGCCCAGGAGTCCTCATCTCCTCGACTGGCAGGATCGCCGACATAGCCACGGATTTTATATATAACATCCAGCTTCTTTTATTGACCTGTTCTTCTCCGTGGCCTCACATAGTTAATGCTCATGATCATTCGCTTATTTATTGTTTTTCTCTTTGTTTCCTTTCTTTTTCTCTTTTTCGGTAATTTTATCTTTATGTAGTGAAATTGTATTACGGCGTTCCTGCGACCTATAGTCAAATCTACACCTCTCTTTTTTTTTCCTTCTTCCACTACTCATACAGCTACTCCGCCGCTGTTGAGCTAAATTTAATGCGTTTAAAGAAGTCTGATTGCTAGGGCCATTAGCCCCCTTCTTTCTTAGAAATTAAGTGATTAGTAGAACTTTTCGAATGCGGGACATATGCAATGGGAATCCCTCCCACTGCATCATAATATCTTTTATAGACATCTTATAAAGGGCTAAGCCCTAAACTTTGGCAAAAAAAAAATGTATCCCCCCAGGGGCATGCTCCTGGGGAAACATGAATTGTTAATAAACGCTTTATCTGTTCTTATCAGCTTAATATCTGATACACTCCCCATCGGGGAGTCAGAATATTAACCTTATTTTTGGAATTGGTCGGACTCCGGGGCTTGCTCCGACTCCGACACGGGTCGTACCTGCCTTGCAGTGCCGCAGGACGCGGCCCACATTTATTAATTTAAACATAATATTGAGCATTTTAAAATGCTCTGACTTTTCTTTTAGTTTTTATTTTTATCTGGGGTCGCGATCGCGTTTTGGACTTATCCCAATGGCAGTGGTGCGACTCACTGTGAGATAGACGACTGGGACGCGTGGTAAGTGGCGATTGGGAGACTGGTGGTGGTTTTCTATAGCGTTGCGTTACTGTAAAGTGGTGCCACCTGGAGCGCGCAAATCGCTGGTCAACTCCAGGCGGACATTTCGATATATCGAAACTTTCGTCGCGTCCGTTTCCGGCGCGACTTTGTTCGCGGTAGTTTGTCTGTTTATAGTTCGAATTAACCGTTATCTGTGAGAACGCACAGTCGTCTCTTCGTTTCGGTCGTTCCTGTTTTTATTTTTAACTGATAATCTAGTCACTAGATTAGGGTTTTATTGTATTCTACTTTATTTTACTTCATCAATTTTATCTATTAATTTTATTTACTTTATTACTATTTTAACATGAGTTCGACGACGAACCCCCAGTCCAGCTGCACCGCCAGGGGCAACGAGGTCATTATTACCTCCCCCCCCCATGAAACCTTCCCATGCCCCTTCTGCAATAAAGGGGCACCCCCATCTCGAATGAAGTGGTCGTGTACCAGCGGCACGAGGACTTAGGCAAGCACCTGCGCCTCCAACACCACGGCACAAACAGAAGGTGGGTCTGCGGTGTGTGTTTCTTCATCGACGACAGCACTTATCTGCTGAAGAAGATGTGGAAGCACCACGCAGACTCCCACAGGAGTAATGCAGTGCCTCGTGCCGCTGGGACGCGGTCATCTGCCCCAAAGGGAGATAATAGTGGCGGTGCACCCTTGGCTAGGGGGGATTCAGCCGAGGAGCGACCCTCTATAGACGCGGCGCCCTCTACGACCCAGAGGCCCCCTCCGTCCCCGTTGGAAGCGGCAGGGACCACCACGCGTGGAGTACCCTTGGCTGGGGGGGATTCAGCCGAGGAGCGACCCTCTATAGACGCGGCGCACTCTACGACCAAGAGGCCCCCTCCGTCCCCGTTGGAAGCGGCAGGGACCACCACGGGTGGAGGCGCGCTGACGCCCGCCACTAAAGCTACCACAACCAACCCCAGGACTGCGCTAAAGGAGAAGCCTGTAATCACTTAATCGGTGACTGGGAGAAACCTTATGATGGGCTGGGCTATCAAGAAGACAACGACCACGAGGAAGAGCGAGACGCCGTCCAGCCCCAGCGATGGACGACCTATTTTTATTTCTATATTTGTTTTATATCTATGTTTATGTTCATATTTATATATCTATCTACGTTTTAGTATAGATTTATTTCTACATCTAGCGCATATTACTTAATAACTACACTAAAAAGAAGATTCTATTATATGTATATTCCCATCTAAAGGGCTACGTCCAAGACTGCTGTAAATGTACCCCCCAAGGGCAGGCCATTGGGGAAACGTTAATTGTTAAAATAAAGCGCTATATCTGTTCTTATCACACACTCCCCATCGGGGAATCAGAATATTAACCTTATTTTTGGAATCGGTCGGAATCCGAGGCTTGCTCCCACTCCGACACGGGTGGTACCTGCCTTGCACTGCCCCAGGACACGGTCGACATTATTTATTTTGCAGTTTAATTTAAATTATTAGACTTTTTCTCGAAATTTGAGTAATACGCTCACCGCGCGCTCCTACTGCTAAATTGCGGCTAGGGAGCAAGGGGGGACTATAAACAATTATATAGTTACAGTTCATACACACTCCTATAGTAGGCAACATTTATCTAATTCCAGCTGTTTCAACCAAAAAAAGAAACAGGTAAAAATGCAATAATCGCACTAATAAACGTTAAGTATTTTTAATACATAAAAATAGAACATACAATTTATTTCGAATAATACATTTACAGATTGAACAATCCTCCAGAATAGAAGATGTACATTTAGCATATTATATATAGGAACGTTTGGTCGAGTAAAAAGCAGTGGTCGAATACTTTTATTAATTAACTCTTATACTGTTTCAGCAGGCTGAAAATCTTATTATACACCAAAGAGTCAACGTTGTTGCCCCAAACGAAATCAAGATGTGCATAATCCTTGTTTGGTATCAATAATTTCTCCGCACTAGGTACTACTTCTGATAATCTGATCGAGTCCTATTAAAGTGGAACAAAATTGTACATAAATCATTTAAGTAATCCTACATACAGTCAAAGTGTAATATACAAACCTTGTAATCAACCAAAGCGTCATTGGTACTGTAAAGTATATATACTGGTACAGTGATATTATTCAGGTTGTATTGAGGAGGCTGAATCTGTTTATAAGTCTGTAAGTTAGTGATAAGACCATGGTCGAACCGTTGAAACTTCCCTATGAAGAAACAGAAACACGCAATGAACGACTATAAGAGAAGAAAATATAAAAAATTGTATCATAAAGTATTAACCTGAGTTCATTAACTGTCCATAATGCACAAGTTGCATCACCGATGCACCGGCAGGATCGTATCGCACAACTTGAGGTACCAGTGTCTATAATTAAAAAATAGAACGTAATGAAATTGCTAAACTGTAATAAAACAACGAACATGCTAATTGCAGTTACCGTATTTAGTTCTTTGTCAACTCCAGCCGCAAGGAACATAATATTTTTACACATGGGCATTAAAGGTGCATTCTCCTGGCATCCCTTTGTTGCAAGAATCTTCAGAAGCGTCTGCGATGGCATAAACTCGTATAGACCTATCAGATCTCCCAGTGCCTGCGGAGTTAATTCAAATATTTTTTATCTCAAAATATACAGTCGGGACATAAACTGCTAAAGAAAAGAAAAGAAAAGAAAAAGATAGAAACATTCACTGTCGCGAACAACTTTAGAGTCAGACATCTGTGGAGTAGAAGTAATTGATACAATATGGGAATTTCACCTTTAGATCCGAAGCAAACGGAGCCAAAAGACGTAAGAAAGCGTTCCTCGAGTTTCCCATAAAGACTGCCGGTGCCAAATTGAAGGAGGCGATTATTTTCTTCTGATATTCTGGTCGTTCGCTGGCCATCACGAAGAACGAGGTACCACCCTGGCTGTGCCCTATGTAGTAAATCTTCTCCTGCTTCGTTTTCTCTATAATGTAATCGATCATGGCTGGAACGTCGTACGTCCCTATCTCGTGCCAGCTTTACATAAACATTCATTTTTCAATAGCTTTGCTTAGAATTTTACAATATCAATTTTACATGAAGTATTTATCTTTTCGGTTTATCAGCTGATGATAAAGACTTTGATTCTACTTGAAAATGACATTGTAATCGTGATGATAATTACTTCACAGATCCTGAGGAGATAACGATAACAATGATGAGATTATTCACTAAAGAACCTGAAGATTACATGAGAAGATTTCACTAAAGTACCTGAATTTCCAGAATTTGCCGTTCGTAGTGTTCATCACTCTATGTTTCCGGCTGTATCTGCTGCCACGAACATTGCCCAACCACACATCGTATCCCCGATCCGACAGCAAGAAAGCTAGAAAAGAAAGTACGGTGTTTATCTTTTCAAAATTCGGGCCATTTTGGTCTCAACACGTCGACTGTCATGATGGTCTTTGGTAATTGAATTATTAGGAAAAGAGAAGAAAATGGAAAGCTTGAACAACCCAAGACACCAAATTGAAATTTTTATTTGGAAAATTAACCAATTGTAAGGTTCATAATATTTCTAACCACACGGATCTGTTTCTACTGCGCCAGCCAAGGTGTTAATACTCTTCTTCTGAAGAGAAAAGTTATGACACAAAACCATCTACCATGTGAACAGAAATGAATACCTAAACTCCTTGTAGGATCCGAGATTACCCATGTAGCTGCGCAATCGAACAGTCCGTGCAAAAGTAACACAGCCGGCTTAGGTTTAGAGCTATTTTGGCGACCGGTGACTCTATGCATCTGCAGTATGTAGCCATCTTCTGTGGTGACTTGATGAGTTTCAGCGTTGTAGCCTTTCCTTCTCGCTAACTCAGCCTATCAGAATATAAGTTTTTTATTTTATTGTATTTTTTAGCAATAATACAATAAATTCTAAGTACATTGCTAATTATTTGACTTGGAATTGGCAATATAAAGAGAGCTCTATCTATGCAAAGGCAATATAACGAGAGTTTACTGTATTAAGTAAAATTTTTTCATCCTTTTCTATAGAGTTATCCAAATTGAGTGTCACATCTTCAAATTGAAATAAAACGCAAAGTATGTGATTTTTTTATGGTTTCTTTATTTTAACACAAAGTCTACTGTGTGATATTAATTATCATAGACAATATTATTTAAATATCGTTTCACCCAATTTTTCATTATATTTTCATACAAGTCGAATTCAATTTCATTCTTTAGTCAATAGTCTTTGCATTATTGGGATAAACTTCACTTTCCATAAAGCCCATAAAAAAATCTAATGGTGTTTAATCATCCGATCTTAAGTAGCAATTGGTGTCTCCTCCTCGTGAAAAATTACTCGTTAAATTTGATCAAATGTATCGAGCTCGCGAAAAAAAGCAGAGAAGGACTGTTGAATGATATTGTTTTTCATAATTAACGTCATAAAATAGACTTTGTATTAAAATAAAGTAACCATACAAAAATCAAATACTTTGCGTTTGTGCCACTCAATTTGGATAATCCTATATAAAACGTTTCTTAAAATTTTCTTTATTACAATGAAATTTACTTACAGGATCTGGAAATATAAATTTTGTATCAAGATTGGAGCTCGGCACATTTTCCTCTTCCTTAATGGGTACTCCCAATACGAATGGCAACACGAGACACGATACATAGAATATTTTGAGCATTCTGATGTTCCAGCTGGTTGTCTGCTAAAAGCAAACAGTTTCCACGCTTTATATAAAGAAACATCGATCAGATTAAAATTTATCGATCATCAACTTGTCGAGTTATCGATGAAAAAAAAGGTACACCCCTCCTGGAACAATTTGATGATCTTGATATGTTATTACACTGATCAATTTATCTGAAATTTATTGTTATCGGCTGTTTATTAATTTAATCCATATACTGTCATTGCGAACACATTTGTTAACTGATTAAACCAAACAACTTCAATCTTTGTAAGATAATAAATTTAGAAAACGCAAATATTCCAGGTGTTCACATGAATTTAACGCATGCAGTTTATTATCTCATATATCACTGTTCGTGAAATGATAAATGTTAAACAATCGACGTTAATTATATACTGTTCTTATCGTATAACGCTATTTTAATTCTGTTTAATCAATTAATAATAAGAGCATGTTTATCTATGTGAATCATGATCATTCAGCAGATTATTAAAATAAGAAAATCTACATTTGTTATTCAAAAATCAATGTTCCTTTCCTTCTTTCTACTTCTTCTTTCATTGCAATGCAGTAAAATCTCTATAAGTCCTCACTCCGGATAAGTCGTCATTTTCCTTTCCTCGTCATTTTAAAATTTATACCGCAGTTCACCAGAGTCCATAACTGCGAAGACCAGTTTGCGTTCTTTCGTGCGCATCTTCGCCCTGATTGGCGATACTCCCAAACGAAGTGGAACGCGATTGGCAGAGAGCTCGCTGCGTTCCCCCACCATCTTCCAACCCGTGCCTCGCAGTTATGGACTCTGGTGAACTGCGGTGTATATGATTTGTACTAACGTCTCGGTCTCTTGAGCGACTACTTATCGAGGTTTTATTGTAATTAAAATTTTCATTGCAAGCCCACGAAAAACATGCTGGTTGGTCAGGTTCATCAAAATGCGACCACGAAACTCGTTCTCAACACGTTCGTCCGGTTTGTCGAACCTCTAACAAGAGAACAACGCGAACCGTCACTCATGGATTTGAATGAAACTTTGTGGATTTATAGAGTGATCCAAGGTAAAAAGAACGGTATGCTTCATTCGTGCCTAATCGCCCGTTAAAGATACGAAAATGAACGTCAAAGTTGCGTCAAACTAACGTCAAACGAGCGCTATAAAAAAAAGCCTTTCTTCCTGAAAAAATAATGTTTCTTAGGATATTTAAAAAAATTTTACATTTTTATAATAACTAAAAATATTACTTATTTTATTCTTAATTCAACGGTATATACTAATTTTATTATGCTACATCGGCATAAACAGATATACGACGAAACGTAGACCGTGCGCGGGATTGCACATTGATAACAAATAAGTTGATATTCAGATTTCCTTTTTTTGTTGCAGACTATAATATATGACGATAACAAACACAATAAAAATTCAAAGGTATTAAAATGTATTAAATATCTTAACTGCACTTGTTTTGTATGAGATACATTTAATCGCATTCCCCCGATGTTTTACCTTAAACTTTAGAAACTGCTATTGGTAATTTATTGGCAATTATTGGTAATTTCGCACGGCTGTTTGTAAAGTTATTATTCCCACATCTAATGCTCTGTAAATTGTATAATGTTATTTGATAATTTGATAATGTTATTTGACAAGGGGGGGCAAAGGAGGCACTTGCCTTTGGAACTTAGAGCCTTAGGACCTTATGACTTTGGGGACCTTAGAGCCTTAGGACCTTAAGGACTTTAGAATCTTAGGAACTTGGGACCTTGAGACCGTAGAACCTTAGGACTTTAGGACTTTGGGGACTTTAGAGCCTTAGGACCTTGGAAACTTGGAAACTTGGAAACTTGGAACCTTGAAACCTTAGGATTTTAGGACCTTAGGACTTTAGAACTTTAAGGACTTTAGGATCTTAGGACCTTGCCTTGCCCTCCCCTTGGATAAAAAGAGAGTGTCGGATGTCGAATATAGCATTTATTGTCTCCTTCGTTTGGAACTCCGTCTCTTTCTCGCTCAAACTATTTCGAATTGTTCTTGACTCTTCTTTTCTTTCACACGGCTATAGCATACATTCGTTAATCTAGAAGTGATATTTTATATCATGCCCCCCCCCCCTAAAGAAATCCTACGGATGCCCATGCCACAAAGTTTCATTCAAATCTGTGAGTGGACGGATTCGCGGTGTTCCCTTGTAAGAAAAGACCCATGCACAATTTTGGACACCCTTCGCGCAGAGATCTTCGCTTTGGTAACTCTGGCGCCTTCCGATTTCACAATTCCTCTTCCCGATAAGATTTCGCTATGATACCGTGGGCAATGTTTACGCAGCGATTTAAGATTTCTAGGAATCAATATATAAACAATTGGTAAAACAAATGATAAATCTCTATTCTTCTTCTATGCGTCCTGAAATCCAACAGGTGAAAGCAGTGCGATTCTATGGGCACGGTCATTATATTTGCGCATGAAAGACTGCAAATATTACATCACACATTGCATGGTTTAAAACGAGGTCGTAATACTGGTGACCGAGGGAAAGTACATTTACTGCTTTTCGTTTGACAAGTTGTAAGCAACCAGTACGAATTTCTGCTACCATTGGCTACTTCATCTAAACGCTCCTAATTAAGTATCTTGATACTCCCGTATAAACAGTGTAGTTTTACGTGGACTAATTTCATTTTCTTTCATTCTGTTAGGGTACCTGGATTTTGTTCAAATTGAAAGAAGAATAGCAAAGGTATAAAATAACGATAGAGTTGGAAAAGAAGAGACGAGTGTCCGGTACTGTATTTGAGTTTCATACCGCATAAGGAAAACCTGAAGAAGGCAGGGACAGTGGAAGAAACTTGTAGAAGGAGAAAAAGAAGAAGGTGGCAAGAGCGTCCGAGTTACACGGGACAAAGATTCGATGAAAGGTGAATGAAAGATGCAGTCCAAGTTGGTAAGACAGGGTTTGGTTTTTCTAATCCTCATTGGCCTCTGGGTGATTGAGGCTAAGCGTTCCGGTAAGTGCTACTCAGATTATTTTTAAGATTGTAATTATTTTTAACTCACCTATTTAATTTGAGCCTTGTTTTTAGGAAAACTTCTGACATTGAGAAACCGACCTCTGCTTCGTCGAACGGATATTAATCGTCAGGACTTGAAACCGAAAATTTGCTACGGTAGGAATTGCGACAAAGCTTTCTGGATAGAATATACGTAAAGGGGATAATTTATTTTTAGATTTAGTCGGATGTTTCGCGGATCCTCCGCCTCGTTTGACACTGAAACGACCACCGGAGCATCCAAATGTGATTCAGACAAGGTTTTTATTGTACACTCGTACCAGGCGAGAATCACCGGACAGTCTGCAGTACGGCGATGACTTTACATCGATTTTGCATTCACGATTCAACACCTCCAAGCCGCTGAAAGTTATAATACATGGGTACAAGGGGAGCGGAAGTGACGTTGGTGCGATACTCCTGGTACAGGCTCTTCTGAACTTGGTAATGAAAGAAAGATTCGTTTATTATTGTTAGATCTGTTCAGTGGAATAGCTGGGATTTTTAGGGCTGGGCCAGGTATTGTATTTTAGAACTTTAGAGCTATAGGATTTTGGGACATTGGGACTTTAAGGACTTTGGGAACTTTAAAGCTATAGGATTTTGGGACATTGGGACTTTAAGGACTTTGGGAACTTTAGAGCCTTAGGACCTTAAGGACTTTAGAATCTTAGGAGCTTGGGACCTTGGGATCTTAGGACTTTGGGGACCTTAGAGCCTTAGGATCTTAGGACTTTGGGGACCTTAGAGCCTTAGGACCTTAGGACTTTGGGGACCTTAGAGCCTTAGGACCTTAAGAACTTTAGAATCTTAGGAACTTGGGACTTTGGGACCGTAGGACCTTAGGACCTTAGGACTTTGGGGACCTTAGAGCCTTAGGACCTTAAGAACTTTAGAATCTTAGGAACTTGGGACCTTGGGACCGTAGGACCTTAGGACCTTAGGACTTTGGGGACCTTAGAGCCTTAGGACCTTAATAACTTTAGAATCTTAGGAACTTGAGACCGTAACACTTTAGGACCTTAGAGCCTTAAGACCTTATAGGACTTTGGGGACCTTAGAGCCTTAGGACCTTAGAGCCTTAGGACTTTAGGACTTTAGGACTAAACCAAGTCCAGGCCCACTCTGATCCCTCCCCAGTTACGCCACTAGTTCTTTTCTCTATCATTACATCAAGAAATACTCCCCAGGAAGACACAAGCGTCCTGGTTCTCGACTGGACCAGAGGAGCTGCGACGACTTATCAAGCAGCAGTGGCAAACACCGAGCTCGTAGGTCGCCAATTGGGTCTGGTCCTATTGGATGCCATTCACCTAGGCACTCTTCCTAAAAACATTCATATAATTGGCTTTAGTCTCGGAGCCCACGTGGCTGGCTGCGCTTCCGAGATTCTCAAGAAGAGGAATATCCTCCTTGGTCGTATCACCGGTCTAGATCCTGCATCGCCATTTTTCAGAAACCATCTGTTCAGGGAAAAGTCCAGGAAATTGGACGCAACTGACGCTCAACTGGTAGACATAATCCACACTGATGGATCCGAGGACTTTGCTGACGGTTTTGGACTCCTGAAGCCTCTGGGTCACATCGATTTCTTTCCTAACGGCGGTAGAGAACAGCCTGGCTGCGTTGATGTGAAGAACTCCGTTGTCGTTAGTCATTTAAACGGTAGAATTTTCTTCATTTAACATTTGATATTAATGGTGGAGTCGCTGGTAGCAATGTGAACAATGACATTGCAGAGGAAATGCTAACTAAGGAGATAGCTTGCAGCCATTTGAGAGCGTGGTCGTTGTTTTTGGAGAGTATGCACATGACGAATGAATCTTGCAAATTCAACGCCTGGCCCTGTCCTCAAGGGAGAAATTCCTATATAAACGGAATCTGTTTCCCAATGGAGTCCACTATGTGGTCCCAAGAGATGGGCTATAATGCCAACCTTGGCCCTTTAGGAATTTATTATTTGCCTACCCGAGAAGAGGAACCGTTTTGTGGTAAGATTGTAATGAAAATATGTACAAATATTTGTATTTTCATTCGGCTCGTCGCCAGGGCAATCTCTGAGAGCATCGGTTACCGTTTCTGATGAAGGAACGAAAACGTCTGGAATGTTGTTTTTGAAGATGGAACAACGTAATTCGACGATAATCTTCAAGCTTCAATACACGTAAGATACGAACAAATAAAATATTAATATTTTATAATTAATTTCAAGGTCTATTGTTCATCTTAATATTATCGGACACTTCGTATAAATAATGTAACGATATATGTTGTTTAAGAGCAACGAAGCGGAGAAACAAACCGATGACGTTTTACAACATTGCTGCAGCGAAATTTCAATTTTTATCGAATAATCAAATTGCGATAAGAGCACAGATTTGGTATCAAGCAAACAGGGATGAAGAAAACGAAAATGTAATTAAGAAGCCTAATTCGGATACTTTATTCATAGATAAGATTGCAATTGAGGATAGAAAAAACAACAGGCACGTAAATTTATGGTCATCTTAAGATGAAATTAAAGATAAGACAATTTTAATTTACTTTTTATCTATGTACTGTATAGATGGGAATATTGTGGTTCAAATACAAGTATAAATTTACATGGTAGAACTGTGCTGTTGCAACGAGGAGAATGCAACGTTTTGTGAAAAAAAAGTTTTTCTTAACCTTAAAAATATAAAATGATTATATCTAAAGTGTAGAATATAAACCCGAATTAAATGATTATCTATTCCTTTTTAATATTAATTTGTATCATTGTTCCTTCTGCTACGATATAATTGTCTAATTACTATAATTTTTTGTAAAATGTGCTAGTACTTCAGAGTAAAGAAAAAGAATTTTTCAAATAGCCCGCGTGAAAACAAACGCGATGAGATGCGGTATAACCATAACCTCTTCTAAATAATAAGTCGATCCAAGAATGACTATAAGAATGATGTCAAATTTAATGAATCAGTCGGTTTTCTTATTGAATAGAAGCTCGATTCAAATTTTGAAAAAAGTGAGTACTATTTTGAATAAATTTTGCTCAACATCAACAAACTAATAATTTTAAAAACAAAAGAATTTTTTGGTGAAGTAGTTAATAGCTTAGGGTAATGCTTTCTTCTAATATTATTTACAAATATCATTTCAGAACTTGCCAAACTTCAGACAGTATTATGCACAAATTAGATGTATAAATACCTCTGTAGCTTACTATCAGTCTAATAATGTAGGGTCGTTGCCCCAAAAAAAGAAGAGCATCTTTGAAAAAAATCCTATTACATGGAAAAGTGCCATTGTAACAGGTACAATAGGTATTGCTCTTTTATCGTACTTATATTATCTACAAGATGTGAAAGATAAACAAATAGAACGTGAAAGAAGACGTGAATTAGGAAAAGCAGCAATAGGAGGGAAATTTGAGTTAGTTGATCCCGAAGGAAAAACTGTGAAGTCAGATGACTTTTTAGGACAGTGGCTTTTGATTTATTTTGGTTTCACGCACTGTCCTGATATCTGTCCGGATGAACTTGAAAAAATGAAAAAAACTGTTTACCTGTTGGGTATGTTATAAATAATATTGACATTAAAACACAAAAGATAGTATCTTATACTTGATTCTTATTTCAGAAACAGAACATAAGATTAAAGTTCAGCCTTTGTTTATCTCTGTTGATCCTGACAGAGATACACCGGAAATTGTAGGAAAATATGTTAAAGAATTTTCTGACAAATTTATTGGTCTTACTGGAACAAAGGAACAAGTTGCTAAAGTCTGCAAAGCATACAGAGTGTACTATAGTAGTGGACCTAAAGATCAGGATGCAGATTACATTGTCAGTAATATATTTTTATTATACCTTGTTTAAATTATATTGTGTCAAGGAAAATAATGTTTACTTTGGTTGTTTTGTTCTAGGTTGATCATACAATTATCATATATTTGATAGATCCAGATGGTTTATTTGTAGATTATTATGGCTTAACTCACACTGCTGAGCAGATTGCACAAAGTGTTGCTATAAATAAAGTTAAATATGACAGTGTAAAAAGTGATTCCTGGGTCCCGTCATTGTCGTTGAAAAGTCCATTACCAGCGTAATTTATACATAATGTGCATTTTTGCATGTTAATAGATAATTTCTAAAAATTTTCCTATAGTGCATTTTTATATTAATTAATTACTGGATAAATCTTTACAAAACCTGTATGTGAAAGTTGCTGCGGATATGTACATAAATTGTTCGTAAAGAAGTTATTAATGATTTTTCCTTTCACTGTCAATTTAAAAAAATTTTATGGCAATCTGTTTAAAAAAAACTTTAATTTGTAATTATATCTTATTTATTTTTTTTGTTCGTCGATAAAATATAAATACAATTTGAATTTAATCGGTAAAACAGAAATCTAACTTAAATCTCTTTCAAAAACTCGATCGGTAAGTTGTTGAGTAGTTTCCGCCGTTTGTGTATAGATGGCGCTAAGATCGAATTTTAAAAATATCAAATCTATGGTGGGCTTTTTAAAATACAAATTTGTCTAACAATTATTGTAATAATTGGTTTGTGTCTTTTTAGTTGCGATTTAATTTTGCAGTTAATTCATGATTAATTAGTTATCTGCTGTTATTGTCAACTTAGATTAGATTGTTACAGTGTGAATTGTTGAACATTTTTTAATTAGGACAGAGCAGATGACGCTCGTTTTCAAGGCACAAACTAAAGACCCCTCAAAAACAGACATGACCAGTCTTGTTGGATCTGTAGTTAATGGTTGACGTTTATACATAGTTTTTTATGTGCATTCATAAATAGTACGTTGATATTTTCAACGTTCGTTTAATTTGCAGCTAAACAATATTCGAAAACGACATTACTGGCTGTTAATAGGACTTCAGAAACTTAATCAAAAGAAATTTGGTTGTTTGTTAATTGAAGGTTAGGATATGTCATCTATAAACTCTACAAATTTTTAATTGTAATGGATTCTGTTAATAGTATTATTTAAAATTATTTTCTATAGTTTCTAACATAACGTGAAAACAGTTCGTTTTAAATGGCAGAAGATTTTGGGAGAGATACACCACCGATGTACACAGGAAATGAAGAAACAAAAACAGCTGGTCAACCTCTCTCAGATTTTTTATTACAACTAGAAGATTATACACCCACGGTAGTCGCATAATACATTATAAATATGGTGACTCATTTATATTATATACAATATAATAAAACAGCTTTTTTTAGGTGCCTGATGCAATCAGTGAACATTATTTGCATACAGCTGGTTTTAACACAACAGATCCCAGAATGTAAGCATCCTATATAAATATAAATTTTAAAGAATATATTTTTGTGACTGCTGACATATGAATAATCATTTTAGAGTACGACTTGTTTCGTTAGCAGCACAAAAATTTATATCTGAAATAGCAAATGATGCTCTGCAGCACTGTAAGACACGTGGAGCTAATCAGAATACAAAAACAAAAGGAAAAGATCGACGCTACACCTTAACCATGGAAGATTTGACACCAGCTGTGGCAGAATATGGCATCATAGTTAAAAAACCACATTATTTTGTTTAATCCATTTTATCTCATTATTTTTCGTTTAGGAATAATGTTTGTTTATTTATTTAATGTTCTTTTGCATGCATACCAAGTAAACTTGTATATCATGTGTACATTGTATAGTTTTTATAAGAATCACCGAATATTATGAAAAACAAATTATACAATTAATACAGTTCAAAGTTCATACATTATAGGTTTTATACAATTAAAAAAATTGCAATATATATTATGTTCCATTCCAGAAATCAATTTTATAATTCTTTTAGGTATTCAAACATAAATATCCTGTTTTTTATTAACTACTTGATAAAATTACATCCATAAGGTTTGAGATAGTTTTGCTTATCCATAAATAAAAAACGAATTCTATCATAGAAAAAATACAAATAAAATGTTCTTTCGTTTATAAAATTCCAGCCGAACTGGAAAAGTTGTTTTAGATTTATAAGATCGAAGATAAAATTCTTTATCCGATGGTAACTAGAAAAACATTATTACTAGTAACATTTCGATGCGTCAGGTATACCAACGATCTTCGCATGCGCTTTATTCCAAAAAAAAACCATCAGCCATATTGGTGTGTTGTATCGCTGTCCTCAGTAATTTCGAAGATCGGTGAGGTATTTTTCTTGTTCATCACCCGATTCCTTTTATAACCGTTATTCCACGAATAACCGGGAATGCCAATGTGATATATATCCGAAATAAAATTGTCACTTGTGGATTTTTATGACATTCGTGAGCGGAAAAAGTTTGGTTAATGTTGCCACCTGGGCTCAGAAAAATCGGTCTGTTTAAGAACATGTTGTAAATAAACGCGTATTATTTTCACTGGAGTGGAATGTTCGTACGATATTAACACCATCTCCAACGCCGTTCTATTTTCGCGTAAGATTACTACGGGTGTTAATTGATCTCGTAAAGAATTATAATTTTCGGAGTACTTTGCCACCGTCTGTCGCGCTCTCCTTTCGACCACTTTTGCTTCATTTTTTTTCTTTTTTTTTTTTTCTATACCCGTCTCGTATTTGTTTGTAGATCATAACATATCATTCGCTACACTTACGATCGATGTTGATTAACACATGTTCGTTGCTCAATTTTCATCGAGCAACAGGTAAAAAATTGTCAATGTGATTTTTCACAAACGTACTGATAAAAAGCACTTGAACATTTACGATTATTGTCATTCAAGTATATTTGTAACTGACGTTCCTTTTTTGTTACACAATATAATAGCATATATGACATAGCGCAATCTTTTATGTAGTATCTAAAAAATAAAATATTAATTGTGTTTATATATATTGTTACAAATTTTCTTTAATTTATCTTTAGGATTCATGCACAAAGTATGCATCATTTATTTATTTCTATTTCAAACTGAAAGAAACTTGGATCGTTTCAATATTATAATACAGCAAAAAGTTATATAATAAATTTTCTATTTTTCAGCAAATCTCATCATGACGGATTCCATGAAATTTGGTCCAGAATGGTTTGTAGTAGTTTATTGATACAGTTATTATACTTATTTATAATTATATACTTTGTACGTTCAGTTTATACATTTTATTGTAACGCATAGGTTGCGCAATTTGTCTGGAGACAATTGCAATAATAGCGGAGGTGGTGGAGGAAGTACGAGCTTAACTACTCCACGTTACCAACTAGCTGAACATAGATACGGGCGAGAAGAGATGTTAATTCTGTTCGACCGTAATTGTAAACCTCCTGAACCATTAACAAGTTTTTCGTCTCTATACGTTGAAAAAACTCAACTTCCTTTGGCTCTTATACAAATGACAGAAGATGAAACGGTAACTAAATGTATATACCTTTATGCTTAAATTTTGCATTAGTATTAAAGAAGTTTTAATAAATAATTTGCCTTTCTTTAAACTATTAAGGTAGCTCGATATAAAAAGAAGGATTATTAATATTATTTACTAATTATATATTCTTATTACATCCTATATTAGGAACTGCCTCGTGCAGTTAATTTAGATCTAAAAATATAACACACTGGAGCCCTTGTGCCAGCTCTTCGTGTCATTTCTCCAATCTCTGTCCTATACTTTACATAATGATTACTATTTTTCTTATCATTCTGTATTCTCTTACATGCTCTTATAGATTTATAACATTGTATCTTAGGCTAGAGAACAGATTAATTGATGTATCTTAAGTATACTGATTTAAGTTACATTTGAACACTTTTTAGCGGATGTGGAATGGAGGAATAACTAATACCGTTGGTCGAGGGAGAGGCGGAAGCGTCGATCGCGGTGTGCGAGGAAGAAATGGTAGAGGTAGCTTGTATACCTCGCATTATTCCCGGGGCGTTGGTTTCGATGATTCAGGGGATGGAGTTCGAATTGACAGTCAACCATTTCAAGTAGGTGGCTTTATTTATCTTTCGTAGAATAAATCAAAATATAAAATAATTATTTTCCTTTAGTTACCTCGTAGGTAAATTATGTCGTTATAAAAGTACGATACTCAGTGAGTTGTACATTATTTTAGAACAAATAAGTGTATGATGTGTTTATTAATAAAATATATTTTTTATTCAGGCAAGAAATCGCACGTTTGACCGATCTCAAAGTGAACGTGGATGGTCAGAAAGGAACGGAGCTACGGAACCAGGTGAATGGAACGGTTCTACTAGCCCTAGAAAAGAATTAAATCGCGGGGCTAGTGGTGGTTCTCTAATGGAAGGTAACTGGCGACGTCATCGTGGGGGAGGAGAAGACGACGATGGTTGGCGTAAATGGGGTAAATGGATAGAACAATTTTGAATTTATGAAATATTTTAAAACAGTCAACGTGCTGTACGTATTGAATCTATATTTTAGGTAGAAGCAGTTGGCGCGAAGGTGGAAGTATGGATAGAGATAGATTAGATAGAAACGAGGAGGGGGAGGAGAGTCGAAACAGTGGTGGGAGATGGGAACATCGTGGAACCCATAGAACCACCCACGATTCGAGTCATCACCCCCCTCCTCGTACCGCGCGTATTTGGGAATCAAATCACCACGATAACAATCATGACAACCTTCCTGAATGGTGCATTTCTTTACACGCTAGTAAAAAAAATCTAGTTCATAATTTCAAATCTAATAGGCTCAAGTTTTGTTAATTATTTTACTAATTCCAGGGCGACCGAGAATCCCGGTGAAAGCGGTAGTTTCGATGCATCGGGTGCTTTCCATGGCGGTATGTATTCAGACGACGACGAGGATGGGGTGATCAGTGCTGGTGGTAATCAAGAAACTAGGACTCGACGCGTTTCCGAAGGGAGCGCTGCTAATACGAGATCTGGTAACAAACATTTAGCTTATACCTCGTCTCAGGCGCAAACGGCGAACCGTAATCCTAATAATGGAACTAGTACAATCACTAAAGAAAGATCAAAGTCCTTGCACCTGCTCGATAACAAAGACGAGCCCGTCGAGAAAGAGAAGATAAGTAATTCTCCTGTGAAACCGTCTGTCGCGACTACGGTTAATACGCCAACGAAAACATCGTCGTCAGTATCGTTGGAAATTTCGCAGAATAAAAGTAACGTCGCGACGAGTACGGAGCAAAGTGACGTTAAGAAAATTCCACCAAACGATTCGGAAAATAATAAATCTCCTGGTAAAACACAGACTAAAGTAGACGAAGCTGAAACAAAAACGGATCCAATGGCCACGGGAAAGAAACAAATTCCTTTGCGAACAGAACCACAAAAGCCTAAGCAGAGCCTGTTCAAGCTAGCCTGTCAAAAGCTTAACTCAGATATTGATAATACTAAGAAGAAGACGGAGGACGATTTTGATAGAATGAAGGAAGAAGCGGACGCGTTGGTAGCTAAATTGATGGCCGACGAGGAGAATCATAGGGAGAAAACTTCCAGTGTACCGACTTCTATTGGTAACCAATCATCCACAGTTCCATCTACGAATGGACAGGAGAAATGGTTTTACCGTGATCCGCAGGGTGAAGTTCAGGGACCGTTCTTAGCGAGCGAAATGGCGGAATGGTGTAAAGCTGGTTACTTCACAGCAGGATTAATGGTAAGGAGAACCTGTGACGAGCGGTATACTACTTTAGGAGACTTAATGAAGATGTGCGGTAGAATACCGTTTACACCTGGTCCTCCTATTCCTCCGCTAAAGGTATCTTTTCATGATAATGAAGAAAAAATGAGTACAGTGATACCTCGGTATACGTCCTCTGGACGTGACAAATTTTGCATCATTTTAAAATAATTATCTCAGAGGAAAGATTAAATTAATAATCAATTGTATTAGAAGTTGATGTCATATAAGAAAATATGCCGAGGTGGCACTGTATTTTAAAAACTATAGCACATAATAATGTTTATCAGAGATTGAAATATTAAAAGAATTGTTATTTCTTTTAGTTAACCGATCAGGTGATACCACCTGTTCCTAACGCGGTACCAACTGGTATATCTGCATTACCAAAAACCGGTATCGAAGATCCGCTTCTTTTACTTCAGTATCAACAAATGCGATTGTTACAAAACCAACAGTTACTTCTTAGGCAAATGCGAACGTCGGCAATAGCGAAGCTTTCGCAGTCCGAGCATTGGGCGACGTTGAGCCCCATGGAACAGAATCAGTTGATATTTCAGTATGTTTTCCAAGACTCGGAAATGTCGGAGGTGCCAATCTCAACGAATCCATTCGTGTCTCATCTACCGTCGCAGCCTTCGAATCCTGTGATGCAACTTTTCACTCAGATGCAGCAGGTTTGTATGAAACTTGGATATTAACCCTTTCACAGTGGACCACAGTACAAATTTTATATTAAAAATTTTATAACGTTAAAGAACTGCAAAATATATTGCCAATGGTCACTAGCGACCACCATTGCCCAAATGGAAAGACAAGCTCTGGTCCCAACGAAAGGGTTAATGGTTCTCAACGATGAGGTAACAAGTTTTGAAATTTCCAGGCGAAAACGCAACCAGAGGCTCATTTACCTTCGACTCCACGTTCAACGACACCGGCGCATCCTCCAGCGATGGATCCTATACAACAGCTTATACAACAAATGGGTGGCATGCAGAACGTTTCGGGGATCCAACAGTCGAACATAAGCTCCGCGCCATCAGCAACGCAAGAGGACAATCCAATCAAATCTTTGTTACGCCAATTGAACGTTAACACGAACGGTCACCCGCAAGCTGCTCATATAGATACCGTATGGCCCCAGCCACCGCCGCAAATAAATCCACAGTTTAATGCACAAAATTGGTTGGCGCAGGTACCAATTTTAATTCCATCATTGAGACTGTTTGTACGTTTGAAAAAGTTGTAGTAATTTTAAAATTTGTTAGGTTGGACCGATACCGGCAGTACCTCCTGGCCAGTTACCAACATCGTTATGGGATCTACATACTAAAGAAATAAAGACTGAGCAGCAAATATTGGTAAACTAAAATTGATGGAGAAGTAAATGAATTAGATAGGTGAAACTGAGGTAAGAATTAAATTGTTATTATTATATATTACAGGATGAACAAAATCTTAGATTACAAGAGGATAGAAAGAAAGAGGAACTGAGGAAACAGGAGGAATTACAGAGGCAGGCCGAAGAGGAGAGCGCGAAAAGGAAAAAGGAGGAGCAAGCGAAACAAGCGGAGGAAGCGAAACGGAAAGACGAGGAGAGGAAAAAGAAGGAAGAGGAGAAGAAACGGAAGGATGAAGAAAAGCGTAAGCAGGAGGAGGAACGAAAGAAGAAAGAGGAGAAGAGGCGCAAGGAGGAGGAGAAGAAACGAGAGGAGAAGAGGAAGCAGGAAGAGGAGATTCTAAGGAAAAAACAGGAGGAGGAGAAGAGGAAAAAGGAAGAGCTTAAAAAATTGGAAGAGAAGCAGAAGAAGGAAGAAGAAAGGAGGAAAAAATTAGAAGAGGAGCAAAGGAAGCAGGAAGAAGAAAGAATGCGGTATAGAATCATTACATTATTTATTTTAATTATTCCCAAAATCATCTTTCTACTAACGTTACATCTTTACAGGAAAGAAGAAGAGGCGCGTAAGCAGGCAGAAGCTGAAGAACAAGCTCGACGAGCGGAACAAAGGCGACGAGAAGCAGAAGCGCTTCGTAAATTACAAGAAAGGAGTAAAGCACCCTGGGCTCAAGCGCCTCGTGCACCTGCTGCTACCGCTGCACCTGCTGCGTCGCTTGCTGAAATTCAGCGACTCGAACGAGAAAAGAAAGCAGTACGCTTTCTTACGTATTTTAGACAAAATATTATTAACTCTTTCCACTCGCCATCCTACATTATTCTAATTAAGTTAAATTGCAATATGTTCCCTAAAAATGTTTTCATCTTGATGAAATATGAAAAAAAATTCTGAGTTAATTGGTAGCCTTATAAATACTAGTGGAAAGGGTTAATCATACAGAACTTGTACGTTTTATAGTACCAAACGTTTTTTTCAGGAAGAACAACGATTTCAACAAATGATGCAGCAACAGTTGGCTCAACAAAAAGCCACGGAAGCCGCTCAGGAAGCGTTGGCCACTGATTCGTCTAAACGACTGCAATTCAAATGGGCCGAAAAGGCGACGTCTTCAACGAAACCTTTACAGGTGAAGAGTCTCGCACAAATCCAACAGGAGGAACAGGAACGCATCACCAAGGTAAAGGTAGCTATTACATTTTCAGTACTTTTCCAAACCGGTACGTTAAATTTGTTCAATTCTTTATATGTTTTATTAATGAGTACTTTTAGTTGCACATTCTTTGTTTTTGCCAAAGAATTGTTTGTGCGATAGAAAGATAATTATGAGTGGTTGATTATCGCTGACTCTCTTCAGCAGCAAGAAAGGGAACGTCAAGAGAAAGCAGGGCAGAAGGAGTCGGCGAATGTACTACAGAACGCTGGGATATGGGGTACCGCGTCTCAGTGTTTAAATTGGGCGAATTCAGGGGCGTCTAATGTCGGTCAAGCATGGTCGAACAATAGCGGTACCAGCGGTTTCTGGGACGAACCGACGCCGGTGAAATCATCATCGGCGACGAAACAGTCGGCGAAGCAAACCGCGGTGATAAAGTCACCATCTGGTAATCAACAACAACAGCAAAGCAACAAGGCGAATAAGAGTAAAAATAAAAGGGAAGAGGAGTTAGTTAAGAAATTATTCGAACAGAACACTGCCAAGACGGACGACTTTACGCAATGGTGCAACAAAGCTTTGAGTGGCTTACAGGTGTCTGTTGACAGTAAGTTACAGACTTTTCAAACACACATATTACCGTTTCGTTTATAGAATGTTTGACAAAGAAATTTTACATACAGTACCTACGTTCGTTGGATTCTTGCGAGACATAGAATCTGCTTATGAAGTTAAAGAATACGTACGAGATTATCTTGGTGATAATAAACAGAGCTTAGAATTTGCTAAGCAATTTTTAGAGAAACGTAGTAAATGGCGATCGGCGCAACGGCCCCAAGCCGAAGCGGACGATTTATGCAAACCTGCGCCAGCTGTTAACCCAAATGCACCTGCGGAATTTCAAGAAGTTAAGGTATCATTTTTAATATACAAAATTATATGGTACAATGAGTTGCATTGAACTTGTCACAGTGAAGTTGGCTACAAATTCACTTCACCGACGCTGCGGCGTGAATGTGTTTGTGAATTTGTAGCCAACTTCACTGCGACAAGTTCAATGAAACTCAGGGTACAATTTATTTAAAATGCATCTAAGCCATAATAATATTTCCAGGGAAAGTCAAAGAAGCCAAAGAAGGGAAAAATGTACAAAGTTGATAATAGGATTCTTGGCTTTAGCGTAACCGCGGCCCCCGATCGTATCAACGTTGGTGATCGCGATTATGGGGAAGGTGTTTGAACGAACTCTGACGGTTTTCACTGCTTTATGGAAATTATGCAACGCTTGGCCCAATAGATGATCCGTTATTTATTTATTGTAGATGCCAAATAAGTTCTAAAAAGGAACCTGTTGCGAGTACTTCATTAAAACGTATATAAGAATTTTTTTTTTTTTTTTTTTTTTTTTTTCTTTCTATTTTATCGTCATGCGTGCAAGGATTTTGTCCCTCGTATTCTCTTTTTACTCGACACGTTAATGGGAGCCTTAGACACCAATATAGGCGTGGCGTTACTTCCATCCCAAACAGAACTGAAAGACACTCCGCAAGGAAACTCAATTGTACATAATACTATTTCAAGAGAGAAAAAAAGGAAACAAAAATGATACTTCATAAAGCAAAGAGAGTGAACTCATCTTCTATTTACGCGATACACATACTATGGTACATGTATAGTATTGAAACGTTTTGTAATATTTCATTATTATCGACGTGAATAAAAAGAAATTATGCCGATCGATATAACTTGTACACGCGGAAACATCGCAGTTGAAAGCAATATGTGCTCACGATAGTGTTCAGTAAACGAAACTACTTTGTCAATGTGTGCTTGTGATTTTAAAAAAATGAACATCGATCGAGCACAGTGTTGATTGGGTGCATCGGTGTACTTGCACCGAAACGCACCGAGTATGTTATATATATATATATATATATATATATATATATATATACACATACATATAAATCCTATGGATTTCTTGCTTCATCGCAACATCAAATTATTCTAATACGACTTTAGTTTCGCTACTGTGTTTTAATCAACTAATATTCTTATGTTTGATACGTTGAGTAACTTTTTCTGACCGATTTACGATTGTTTTTATTCAAATTAGATGGATACTTTGACTGAAGGCAACAGTTCAAAGAAACTGAATTGCATATTGTATTATATATTGTGTAATAAATTACTCCTTGCTATGGGAGTCACGTTTATATAGAGCTTACCAGGAAAAAGGAATGAAAAATTACATTTCAATGATGTTGCAAAAAAAAAAAAGAATACAAATGGAAGCTCTTGTACTTTCTTAATACTTTTGAATACAATAAGATGAGGAAAACATAGTACTTGCATGTTGTAAAATTTATAAAAGAAATAAACTATCTTCCAGTATGTTGTTTTGCACCAGAAAAAAAAAAAAAAATAATATGAAAGTAAGGTCATGTAAACACTAGGAACGTCTATTACCGATTTTTTAAAAATTTAAATAGCACATAAAATGAAATATCTGGATTGATTGCTGCGTGTGCCTACGTGTGGATCTCACTCTCGTCGGCATAGTGTTCTTATAATGCTGAGATCAATCTAACGATAAACATCTAACAAGTTTATGTAAGATTTAATTAATGCAATATTTAAAAGCAGTATCTTTTGTAAAACATTTAATTATAAGTGTACATGTTATGAAGTGTCCCACCTCTAACAAGGAGTTAAAGGAGAAAACTTTTAGCACCTGTTTGAAAACCATTGATTTTTTTTTTTATTTTTTTTTGATTTTTTTTTTTTTTTAATTTTAAATTGAACTAATAACTTGGACAAAGTGGTATGAATACTCTGTTCATTTCGCGGAAAATGTTGCGACAGATCTGACCGCTCTTAATATTATAATGGTTGTTAATTAAGGTTCATTGATCTTCTCTTAATACAAGAAAAGTATCCTTAGGAGAAGATTATAGACCCTTACATGAAAGATTTATGTATAAATAAATAAATGTACAGTAATACAATAATTAAATAGCAAAAAACACATCATTGATATTGTATTAATATTATTATTGTATCTAACGTACAACGTAATAAAATAAATATTATTATATTTTCAATTTGATCTTTTCATTATTTTTTAGCATCAAAATTTTATTATATTCTGATGAATATTTAAAATGGAATTAATGTACGTTGGTATAATAGTAGTTAAAAATTCACATAAATGTCAAAGGGTATATAATTTTACAATTTATTTTTGCAAAACTTAATCAATTGAATAAAAATTGTAGCTTGGACATGATAAAAAACGAAATGCGAACTGAACTTATAGGCACAGGTATATATATCAATTCATTAAATATTTATTATGATGGAAGAAATAACATAAGTACCCCATGAAATTATTTTTACAAATAATGTAAAGGAAATGCTATTTATTAACGCTATTACTTATGAAAGTAGGAAGAGAATAATAAAACTGTTTTGGACGATTTAATTTTTATTAACAATTATATTTGTACTTTCGACGGTGTATTTCACTTTTTTATACATACAATCTTTATACAGTATTAAAATGTTTTATCAAACAAATGATAATTATATTAATGAACATTAAACTGTTCTTTGTGACACTGATAGGAATGTTTCGGCATATAAAATACATATCAGTAAAACGAAATTTCAGTTCAAATTTCATTGTATATCGTATAAAATAAATAAAATACTAATCTTCTTTTCGTTCTCCCTGAGACTGTATAACGTTGATCTCGATGTAATCTTTCGCAATATCAATGTACTGAAAACAATTTTGTTATTCATTGATAAAGAAAAAAAAAAAAGAATTGACTTAACGTTGGAAAGATTTTTAACTCACCTTTCTTGGAACAACAATTTCTAAAATTTGTAAAATAATATAGCACAAAGATACCACCAGCAGGTATGCTAATACACCACTTCGAACATAATTAGCTAATTGTTCACCTAAATTCATTTTACTTTCTTTCTTTACCAGATCATAGACTATCTCGGTTCTTTTGGTGATATTAAACCAATTATAAAATAAACTTATTCTTTTATTCATTTCAAATGGACATTTAGTATTGCCTTCTCTGTAATCTTTTATTGCAAATTCCAATCCTTCGATAAGGGCCTGCACTGTAGGTTCTACTAAATAAATTAAATCTTCAGGCAGGACTTCGGGTATACCACCAACTTTTGTTGAAACAACTTGTAAACTGTAATGAAAGAAATACATTAAAATGATAAGAGTTAATACATCAACGTTATATTAAAATTTTCATTAATATTTCACCCGCATGCAGCTGCTTCAACAATTGCCATGCAGTAAGCTTCGGTTAAACTTGTGTTGAGGAATATATGCCCTTTATTCAAGACATGTCTGACTTGAGAATGTTCCAAACTCCCAAGTAACGTAACTCTATGCTGTAACAAGTTTCTTTCTCGCACCTCTTCTATCAGCCATCTCTTAGGACCATCTCCAGCAATTAGAAATTGTACGTTGTCGTATCGACTACAAATATCGGGTATAATGCGAGCTAATAAGTCCACACCTTTTCGATATACTAAGCGGGATACTATGACTATCGTAACTACAATTAGTTATAGCCAATGTTAGTAATTTGCATTTTTCTCTGAGTAATATTAAGTGATACTTACTAAAATTATCATCTCGTTTAGCAATATCAGGCATGAATAAGGTGGTATCTACTGCGTTTGGAATAACAGAAACCTTCTCTTTCAGAACGTTTGCTCTTAATACAGTGTTCTCTTTTCCAGTATGGGATACGCATATACAATGATTGCAATCAGATAATGATATTTCTAGGAATTTATTTGTTAAGATAGCAGATGCATCAGCGAAACCAAAAAGTGAATGATCTGTGAAAGTAGTCTGGAAGTTCAAAGATGATTATAATTGAAACATTGTATATTCATTTTTTATTAAAATAAATGAATACCTACTTTCAGTCCCATTAATCGACCAATTAACATTCCCTCATGAGCAAGAGCAGAGAATGCAGAATGGCCGTGTACTATCTGAATTTCTTCCCTTATAAAGATATATCTAATAAGAGGAATTGAACAAATCATTGTTGGTAGAACACACTGATTATAAAATACCTTTACCGGTATATAATATACCTTAAATAAGACACAGATTAATCTCAAGTTATATGTAAAAATGAAACATATTTTTTTATTAAATAATGCATACTTTCAGGCCATTTGTCATGTAACGTACTCCAATTCTATCACCGTACGAGTGGGTAAGCACGACAACCTTGTGTCCAAATCCCAATAAACATTGGGATAAATTAAAAATATGTTCTTCCACACCACCCATGTTAGGATAAAAGAAATCAGAGACCATACTGAAAAAAAAATTCAGTATATTAGAATAATGCATGCGACAATGGAACATTTTTATTGACATTTACAAACCATATTTTATGTTTTAAGGTACTCATTGTTACACCTACATTGTAGATGACTCATAGATTAAGATAAGCGATGCTATTTATTCAATATATCCGAAAATTTGGAAAGTTTTTAGGTGTTGATGATCATTTGAATGAATATTTGACAGAATGCTCATCATGTTGACAATTTATTGAATAATTCGTATGTCGAAAAATATTGATGAACAATTGTTAAACAATTATTTTTATCTCTACGAACAATGAATTAAAATTTAAGAAATTTGTTTTACATTCGTAAATTTCCTTTACATTTTCTATAATACATTTATATACAAATAACCCCATTTATCCTAGATTTAATGCAAATAATTGACCTTTTCATATTTTTAATTACTCGTTCAATGTCAGTCAATTTTTTACAACATATTACTGAAAAAAACGCATCTTTGGCCATGCCATAGGTTTTGAAGGTGGGGCTAACATATACCGCATTTAAATCGAATTCAGGCACTTATATTCGATTCGACTTTTTACTAGAATCAATGAATTTCGAGATTTCCATTCTCGAAGATCGATATTCGTTTGACGAGAAAATTGAATTCTTTATTTTTCAGGGCATTTTATAATTCATCGTTTCCGTTATCATTATTAAAATACGTAAGTCTATAAATTCTATAAATTTCTATAATTCTATAAACTATTTCTATAAATTAAAATTTTCTTTAGAATAAGACATGTTTATTTTACATATCCGTCACGTTCTAATAATTTTCTTTATTTACATTATCTCGTTTCCAGAGTTTCTTAAATGTAAAATAAAATTTTTTGTAAAATCCATTATCCAATGAGGAAATACTAGAGGAAAGGGACGGAAAGTATGGTATACGATCGTTTCTATCTTATCCATAAAGTTGCGATTGTTACTTCGTTCGTGACTGCGTCCGAAGAGAAAGAGAAACAGAAAGCGAGATGGAGCGTGGCCAGTGATCGTTAGCAAAACGAAGACAGAGAGACGGTAGAAACGAGAAGGCGATGCACGATTTGGTTATATGTCGACGGTCGGTGCACAACAAATCGTCGACATGTTTCATCAACGATGCGGTCATCGAGTGACTTTAACGAACAATAATTGCACGGCCATACGAGATTTTTTAGAATATAATTATGGATTGGTTCTAAGCGCGGAGCCGCTCAAGGATGACCAGCTTTTCGAAGTCCGCATTGACAAGAAGGTACCAAACAGCAACATTCGAACTCTAATTAACTGTCTCGCATCTGTCAAAATCTTGTTTACAATGTTTATACATGAAGTTTTTCAGTTCTGTCATATAACGAAGCGTCGTCGAATCAACTTGTAAACCCGCATTTTTCATTTGTTGTTTCAATTAACTTGCCATCAATTTTCAATTGTTCATCCATTTTACAGTTCCATGAAATTTAATAAATCATCAGCGTTTAGAGAAACACACAGTTGCAGTAGAATGCATTAAAAAAGAAATTTCTATGATTTCCATACAAATCCTAGTTTCTTTTTGAAATCAAGCATTACAATAAATTGTAACTTTCAACTACGCAGCTGAAATCATGGAGCGGCAGCATAGAAATTGGTGTAACCGAATGCGATCCAGAGATAATAGAATTGCCTGCCCGTGCTACCAATCTGTGTCAAGGGACGTGGATCATGACCAATTCTGGTATAGTACACGACGGGGTAAGAACAGTAGAAACTTACGGAATGAACCTGAACGCTTTGGAAGCAGGAAGTACTTTGGGAGTAATGAGGACGTCTAACGTAGGTCTTAAAATGTTAACGACAAATGTTTAATAGGGTAATTTACTTACTGTGTATATTTTTCCAATTGCAGCACGAGCTAATATTTTACATTAACGGTATTTCCCAAGACGTGGCTGTATCAAATATACCAGAACGCATATTTGCAGTGGTGGACATGTACGGTGATTGCGTACAAGTGACCATAACATACCCACAAATAGCTGCTGCTTTATGCAGCGAGCCGAAGGACGAGGTTGAAATCAATAACGATTACGCTCTTGGAGAAGCATCGAATTCTTCGACAACCAATCTAGTCGCTAATTTAAATGTTAATTTAAACGTTAATGTTAATGTTAATTTACCGAAAAACCCGAACCCTGCTGCTGTTAGAGAGGATAGACTGAGGTTTCACGAAAGGGTTGGCTCGCTGGTTAAGTTGTCAAATAATGCGAGGACAGCGGAAAGGAGGAGACCCTTGGATGAATTTAATAATGGTGTGGTAATGACCCATAGACCGTTAAGGGATAACGAATTGTTCGAGGTGGGTAAAAATTTAATTTAATATAAATTTATAAATATCGAAGGTTAATAATATAATTATAAATTAATAAATAATATTAAATAATTTATATATATTTAATAATAAAGAACATCATTTGATAGAAGGAATATTTATTAAACGTTACATTATTGTAGGTACGAATTGATAGACTTCTGCATAAATGGTCAGGCAGCATAGAAGTTGGAGTTACTATGCACAGTCCCACGGCATTAGAATTTCCAGCGACAATGACTAATATGCGATCAGGCACCACAATGATGTCCGGGTGTGGGATACTGGTGAACGGGAAGGGCACGTGCCGCGAATACGGAGAATTTAATTTAGACGAATTGAGAGTAAGATAAAAAAAAAATACAGTATCAATGAATTATTCGTCGCAGCTGTGATATCGTAGGAAATGTTTACTTAGGAAGGTGATAGAGTAGGAATGATTAGAAGAAGCAACGGAAATCTTCATTACTTGATAAACGGGTTGGACCAAGGAATCGCTGCTAAAGTACCCGCTGGTGTATGGGGTGTTATAGATCTGTATGGGATGACGGTGAAAGTGACGATCGTCGATCGGGACGAAAGGGAAGAGCAAAACTTAGTCACTAGGAGAAACACCTTGCATTTGCAAGGTTTAAATGGTAATGCTAATGTTGATTAACCCTTTCGCTGGCACCAGTGGGCCACGATACAAATTTTATAATGGCAATATATTATAATAACGGTACAATCTTGCCAATGGTCACTGATAACCACCATGGCCCAAATGAAAAGACAAACACCTGTTCTATAGGACCAACGTGGCAGCGAAAGGGTTAATTCATTACAACCCATTACAATAAACAATCTCAAGTATTCTTCATTTTTAGAAGACGAAGAAGAACCGCCAGACAGGCTCATGTTTCATTCCTGTTGCGGTACACACGTGGAAGTGATCAACAATGGTCGTACTGCTCATAGGCCTAAGTAAATAAAAATTTCTATATAAATACTCGAGCAGTGCTGTTTCATTCGCATTTATAACAACATTCTCGTTTTCTAGCGTGATGGACGACTTCAACAACGGCGTTGTACTGACCTCGAGGCCACTGAAACCGAACGAATTGTTCGAAGTGCGATTAGACAAAATTGTAACGAAATGGGCAGGGTCGATCGAGATAGGTGTCACCACCCATTCACCAACAGAGCTGGAGTTTCCTTTCACCATGACAAACGTTAGGTATGTAAAAAGAATATTTCCAATTTATATTTATACGGTACATATTATTTTCCTAATTTATGTTAAGTTTATCGCCCGTGTTATTGCTCGAAGGTGGTCATGTCCCTTGCAGATCCGGCACATGGATGATGACAGAAAACGGTGTGATGCACAATGGCACTACTATAATAGATCAGTACGGACAGAATCTAGATCGATTGCAAGTCGGTGATCGCGTTGGTGTAATGAGAAAGGACAACGCGACGTTACACTTTTACGTGAACGGCGCCGATCAAGGAGCAGCGGCGATGAACGTGCCCGAAAGAGTTTACGGCGTTATAGATCTTTACGGGCAGGCCGCGCAAGCGACCATAGTCGACAATACCGATTTCTATAGTCCAACTACGAATAATTCAAGTTTCAGCAATACAACTTTATATAGGTTTGTACAAAATTTATCGTACCTTCAATCTCTACCCTTGGAAACTTATATTTTATTATTAATTGTGTCACGGATAGTGATTTGAGGTTCCATCACATACACGGTAAAAATGCGAAAATAATAAACAATGGATTGACCGCCCTGAGGCCTAGAGCCTTAGGGGAATTCAACGAGGCCATCGTGATAGCGAATCGTCCATTACGAGACGGTGAAATGTTCGAAGTGACCATCGATAAGATGGTCGACAGGTGGACCGGAGCGATCGAAGCAGGTAAAAGAATAGAAGTTTAATAATTGAAATAAATCATATTATTTTCTTATAACAATATCTGTTAGGTGTGACTCTTATAAGGCCTGACGAGCTAGAATTTCCATCTACGATGACCGACATCGACCACGACACTTGGATGTTATCTGGATCCAATGTGATGAGGGACGGTGTTACCTTAACGAATAATTATGCCTGTGATTTAGACAAACTAGTAGAAGGTAATCGTATCGGTATGATGCGATGCTCGGACAGCAGTTTACATTATTATCTAGATGGAGTGGATCAAGGGCCTGCATGTACGGGCTTACCGCCGCACGTTTATCCTGTGATTGATTTATACGGTCAGTGTGTACAGGTATGTTATGTTCCCTTTTTATTTACAAAGAAACACAACCAAGGAAAGACCAAGTATATATTACATGTAGATGATTTATTAGGTGACAATTGTACTACCAGAACGTAGGGATCCAATGACCCAACAGTATTTACCATCAGAGAACAGCACTAGTCAGCAGCCTACGTCTGTGATCCAGCTTCAGGCTCAAACGGAAATAATGCATAAGTTTCACGAGTCTGTAGGCTTAAGTATTCAGTTGAACAGCGACAGAACGGTGGCGACTAGGTGTAGAGAATACAGTAACGCTGTGTTGTTGAGCGAAACACCGTTAGAGAATAATGAAATTTTCGAAATTACCATTCAAGAAGTTGCCAGGGAGTGGAGTGGATGTTTGAAAATAGGCGTTATGAGCAATGAAACTGGAAACTGGTTGACGTCTATGAATCTTGTACCTGGTATCGGATCCATACCGCCTGACGCTTGGTACTTAACAGGTAGTGTTACAATGATAAACGTAACTCCCGTGACAGCTGGAAATGGGGGGTTGCTGGGGTGATTCTGAACAATTTTTTCCTTTACCAAAATCTTGGTCGAAGCTTCGTTTTTGAGTTATTAACGAAAAACACTGGCCAATCAGAGCGTGCGTAGAGCGCATGCGCGGAACCACGAGACCTCTGCGCGCGCATAGAGCGCGTGCGCGGAACCATGATACCTCTACGCGCGCTCTGATTGGCCAGTGTTTTTCATTAATAATTCAAACACGAAGCTTTGACTAAGATTTTGGTAAAGGAAAAAGTTGTTCAGCAACCCCCCATTTCCGGGTGTTATGGGACACCCTGTATAGTTTAATATTCACTATGATTTAATGTATTCAGGTAACGAAGTAAGGCACAATGGATACGTTTTATGCATGAATTATTGCCCCAGCTTAGAATGGTTGCGGGTCGGTGATAAGATTGGAATGAAACGTACCCACGAGGGTAATCTAAAGTTTTACATAAACGGGGAAGACATGGGTATAGCGGCGTCGAATATACCTGAAATGGTGTACAGTGTGGTCGAGCTTTTCGGTAGTACAGTGGCTGTAAATATAACTAGTAGCAAACAACAGAATACCGCTGTGTCACCGAATGCTAGTTTGAGATTGCAGGACTCCTTGGAATTGTTATTAGATCCTATGCCGCCTGTTTTGCGAAAGTATGTATTAATTATTTTCAATCTATCTTTTGATATTTAAATCATATTTATTGATTCATTCTCAGCGATGCTGGAATGGATACATCAGCAGATGTGTCTGAAGGGAAATTAGTGAACGACGTAACGCTTACACCCACACAGACTACCCCTCACTTGGTTGGGGAAAGTGATTGGAGTTACGAGTTTCATGAGAACCATGGTAGAAATATCCAATTGGAAACGAAAACAATTGCTCGTAGGGTTGCGAGTTATAACCAAGGTGCGATATACAGGGTGTCCCGGTTTGATTATATTTTCTATAATATTTTGTGTTCTTTTTAAGGGGTGGTAATGTCCAGTCGCCCGCTAATAAAAGGCAAGCCATTTTCAGTGAAAATAGAAAAATTGAACGAACGATGGGTTTCTAATATTCTTTGCGGGGTAACTTGCATTTCACCGGAGAAGGCTAACTTCCCTCTGACGGCCCTTGGTTTTAAAAAGCACTCGTGGATCATTTGCAGCGACTGGATATCTCATAACGGTATCAGAGTAAGTATTAATCAAATTGTATTAATGATAATGATAATATAATTGTATAATGATATTAGGTAAAAACAAAATACGGAGCTGCTTTGGAAAATCTTCAGTCTAACTCCATAGTTGGTTTGTTCATCGACGAAGATAACAGATTGCGATTAATCATCAATGGCGTTGATCAAGGGGTAGCCGCAACGGACCTGCCCCCTTATGTTTATGCCGTATTCGACCTCTACGGTCAGTGTGAACAAATTTCAATCGTGGGAAATAATGTGGAACCATTTTCATCCACTTCCATCGATAACACCGTGACGTCGGTGGAATGTATAAGAACGAAACTGGAGGATGCGGAGAATTCGAGAGAGAAAGCCGACTTAGAGTGTCACGAAAAGGAGAACGTTGTCGCTGCAACCTCCTCGGACTTATCTTCTTCTACCTCGCCGAGTGTACCGAGCCAGTGCAGCTCGAACGTAAAGAACGACGACACCGTGGAGTACCAAGGAACCTGTAACAACGGGAGCGTGCATTTAATGAACAACATCGAGAACAAAGCGATGCCGAATAACTCGGATAGTAACAATCTGGAATCGAGCTCGGGCATGAGCAACGACGCGACCTCGCGAACCGTGAAAAACAAGAATTACGACAATTCGAATCAGCTGAACAACAGCGCGATATCGAACAGTCAGTCGGAGAATTCGAATAACAGAAACGAGTGTACAAATGTAGAAATAAATAACGCGACTAATATTAATATTAAAAACGGCACGGCGAACAGCACCAGCAATATAACTAATATGAATACAAATGCTAACAATGTGATAAACGAAAGCATAGCGTCCAATAGTCAAGGGGTTAATTTAAACGCTACGCATCAGAACAATGCGTCTATTAATATGTTAAGCTCGTCCCAGAACACGCTTAGCAACGGTGCGTCTGATATGTCGAACACTGTCTCATCTGGTTTCAATGAGATCCGTACGAACGTGGCCTGGAACAACACCGTGTCTGTGAATAATTCTATCGGTGGTAACACAACTATTTCCGGCCAGAATACAGCCTCGATTCATAATGCACCTTCGTTACAGCTACTCCAGATATCGTCGTTACCGTCCACTCCGCTCGCAACGAATACTGTACCTTCGAAAAAGTGTGAATACCTGAAGGCGTGCATGAGGTTGAAGAAGTCGCTGGTTTTACCGGACGAATTTTTCTCCCTAGACGACGTATTGTGTTACTGTAGCGCTTGTTATAAAGTAGAGGGGGACGGTGCGGTATGCAAGAAAGGCGAACCACCGGCGGAGTTTGCTGTACCGATAGGGTGGACCAGGTTTCCGTTGAGACAAAGTATCAACGCCAATCAAATCCCCCAGGGTACGACGGACAAATGGCACGTTGCTTTCTACGGTATACGCCTCGACGCAATCAGGTAGAGGAAAATTACTAAATAATTATTTCAGTGAGCAAGGAAACGTTATTGGGGCGAAGCTTTTTAACTGAAAATCTAGATCATCAATTTTGAATTTTGTGTCACTGTGAGTGTTTATACGCAGGGTGTAATTCCTGGAAATGGGGGGTTGCTGGGTTGATTCTGAACAACTTTTTCCTTTACCAAAATGTTGGTTGAAGCTTCGTTTTTGAGTTATTAACGAAAAACTCTGGCCAATCAGAGCGCGCGTAGAGGTGTCATGGTTCCGCGCACGCGCTCTATGCGCACGCAGATGTCTCGTGGTTCCGCGCATGCGCTCTACGCGCACTCTGATTGGCCAGTGTTTTTCGTTAATAACTTAAAAACGAAGCTTCGACCAAGATTTTGATAAAGGAGAAAGTTGTTCAGAATCACCCTAGCAACCCCCCATTTCCGGGAGTTACAGGAACTACGTGTCCTTGAGGAATGGAATTATTATATCGCGCGAGCTTTGAATTCGTATTCCGTAAATTAAAACTCGAGTTGTTTACTTTTACTGCAAATCAATCGCTTCGCTCCAGTATGTGAATGGCGGCCTAGTTTAATTTTTGAATTTTATTTATTCTCAGGCTAATCCTGGACACAGGAGAACTCATGACAAAGGAACAATTAGACGTGAGTAATTTGACGATGAATATAAAGGCAGAGGATCAAAATCCCCAGGTGACATTTTCCCCCAGTATAAAGTACGCCGCATCGGAGGAATTCACTAGGAAATATCCGTAAGTGTTTTCAGACGAGTTTAATATAAATTACGTATCACTGATTGTTCGAATGTCGCAGATACATCGACACCCAGTCGAATAAAAAATTAAATGCCTCAACTGCATTTCAACTGTTAGTAAGGCCCGGTTCGTACACGATTAGCCCCGGCGGTAAAGACGGCAATGATCCACAATTCGAGTCCAGCAAATGGTCTACCAAAGAAGCAGGAGCCACGGTGATTATGGCTCTCTTAATTCAACTCGATGGATTTTAATTTATTACCACAGGAGAGTTGCGAGAGGACGTTTCCCCTTTGCGGCTCGCTAAGAGACGCGTATTTCATTTAAGGATGAACGAATGTACATAAGCATTATAATAGCGTAATATAATTACCGTAAGATATTTTTTAAAATGAATTTTTTATCTTCAATTATTCCGTCGAATCTCCGCTCTGTATATTTACGTTCAATTATGTATTAGGTTACTTCAGTGTAAAATGGTAGCGATCGTTTTGGTAGAGATCCGTTCGTTGAAGATTATTCGTTCTCTTCGACTTAATTTAGCATGCAATTGTTAAAGAGAAGATATTGTGATAGGTGTAATTTATTGACCGTTGATCAAACCAATTTGTAATAATCAGTTCGTTCAAGTATACAGTAGCATGTATATCGAATACATAAATCTATATGTATTATGTTATACATTTAATGTAGCTACTGGCCTAGGTTTACAGCGTCGAGGATTATGTCGAACAGATACGCACCGAAGGTTCGTTGCTACATTAACGAAGCACATTTTAATCCTCGAGCTTTACTCTTAACGAATACCAAATCTTTAAGTATTAGTAACGCAGGTAAAAATCCCTTCTCTTTCTTTTTTATTTTTTTTTAATTTTTTTTTTTTTTTTTTTTTTTTTTTTAAGCACTCAGCAGTATCGATAAAGAGACATGTTATCTGTATAATGTAGAAATAAAATGATACTACTGTAAATCACAATATAATGCTATCGAATAGAATTGAAGACGCAAATACCCAAAAAAATGAATACATTTTGGAAAATGTAATAACCATATTTTGAAATACGCTGTTTAAAGTTCGAATTTTTCTTTGTGAATATCATGTGCACCATTTATAAATGCAGAGAACTCGCAAATAATATAACTGGAAAGAAAACGATCAACGTGTGTATATATTTTATAACATAATTCGTTCAGTTAGTTATAATCATATTTTATAATGTATTCTGTTTATATCTTTTTTTTCTAATATTCTTTATTTTTCAGTTAAAAAAAAGAAAAGGAAAACGTCAGAATTGAAACTTCAGTAACTAATGCTCCTTTTTTTGGATAGATGTATAGAGAATTATCTTTATACCTCAGCATATTCTATAGGCATTTATGAATATAAATTAATATTTTATCATATCGTATAATCATATTATATAATCATTTAATTTAATATGTATAATGTATAATTTCTTTGTAGAATCTATATAGGACCTGCTTTTTCCACGTATCAAAAACTTTGGTGAGATAGTGAAGAACAAGTGCAAAACGTTTTATCATTATTTTTCTATTCATCCTTTCATTTTTGAGATCCTTGGATGGATGTTGATAACATTTCTCCAAACTTTACACCCAAATTCGAACGTTCTGGTCCCAGGAGCAGCTAGCAATAGCCATACCATTTCCAGCAACGCTTAACGACGTTACTCGATTCTCGTGGCCCGACAAAACGCCTTCAAACAACAGGTAAAATTAATTATATTATATTAGAAATTACTATCTGTGTTTAAAGATTGAATTTTCAACGTTTCTTCTTTTTTTCAAAAATCAAGGTAAGATGCTCACCGTTGTGCTGGTTCTTTAACGTATCCCATATGTGGATAGTATTGTCATCGCTTCCACAAAATATGAATCTACCGCTAAAGGATAAACCGCAGGATGTGTATCCAGGAGTTGCACTCGGTGGCTTAAACGTAGCCAGCTGCTGATCCGATCTCAGGTCCCACAATCTTGCTGTCTTGTCCTCGGAGGCTGTCACGAAAGCTTGTCCCGAAGGATGAAACTGAAAAAGAAATATTAACCCTTTGAGATACAATGAAATTTCATGTGCTATTGTAAACTTTCACGTCTCCGAGACGTCAAGAACTGTCACCGGCGGACGCCTAATTTATTATTCTATAGCGTTATTTAATTATTATCCATTAACATCACATATCAACCTGATTAAATGTTATATAGCAATGCAAATTTCCAAATAACATGTTCTGTTTCTAAGTTTGCACATAACTGTTCAGTCGAGCCAAATTAAATAGTATTTTTAAGACGCATCGAATTCCATTTTATTTATATGTCAAGGGGTTAAGCAAAGTTTTGATGATCTTGTACTTACGCAAACCGAGTTCACGTCAGCCTCGTGCCCAAAAAAGGTTTGATGCGCAGTCTCCTCCCTTACATCCCACAGCTTACATGTTCTGTCAACTGATCCTGTAACATATGTGTTCCCATCTGGAGATAGACTGATGCTAACCACGTCTCCAGCGTGGCCACAGAAATCTGTCGTTTTCTTGTTTGCTTCCAAATCCCATATACAGCTGAAAGAATATAACATCTTTTATAAAAAAGAAACTGAATAATGATGATAATTGATGTTATCATTTTCCAGGTATACATTTTCATGTCACCAGAGCCGGTAATGATCTTCTTGTCTTCAAAAAATCTACAGGACGAGAGGAAGCCTTCGTAGCCAAGTAATTCTCTAACAATCTTAGCCGAGCCTGTGGCATCACGATTATTCACGTCATAGATGGTGCACATATTGTCCATACCGCCGCAGGCAACGAAATTTCCAGACGGTGCAAAAGCCACCGACATCACCCATGCTGAACGTAGTGGAATCACCTGAACCTTGTTTCCAGTCCAGGAGTCCCAGATAATTAATTTTCCATCTAACGAGCCTGTCACGCAATGTCTGGAAAAGAAGCGACCGTTTCAAAGTACTTGGGATTAAGCAACGGGAACGGAGTTACGGTTCTTCCTTTGGTGAAGTAAATTAAGATTCAGACGCTGACCTACTGTCACCACTGTAATGCACCGAGTTCACCTTGTTGATATGTCCTTTAAGTAATTTTTTTGTTGATAATTTAACTTTTGGAGCGTCCGCTGCACCGCTGCATGCCTCCTCCAAAGTGGTATCCTGTTGCTTCTTTTGATCCTCCTAGGATGTAATGAAGTAAGTTTTCAGACCATGTCAAGGTAAAGACACCGTTAACGTTCTTTTTCTTCTTTTTTTGTCAGTGTACAGTGCGAATGATTTATCTAATACAACCTTGCATTTGTTGATCAGATCCTCCAGTTCCTTCTTCAAGGCCACCGTTTCCGCATCATCCTTCCCCATCTTCTGACTAACTGCTGGTTTGTTTGAAAATTGTCTGAAAACGAAACAGTGACGATGATGGATGTACGGATACTACGAGCAAAATTTTCATCAAAATGTGAAAGAAGCCTCAGCATCGTCTACCCTGCTGCCCTAGTAATTGTATTAAATCGAAGTTTAATCTCATTTGTTGGGCATTAGTTCGATTCTCCGAGCTAACTTAATTACCTACATACACAATAACGCCTGTGTAACTTTTTTTTTTATTAATATTCAGTAACTAAACAAATGTTACAGGTGTGTTGCATAATCTCTTGGAAAGGAGTTTACATTTTTAAAACTATTTGAATGAATGAATGAGGAAATGAAAGGATCAGTGCTACGTTAATGGAGGATCTGTATGAAATTTGGATTCATTCATTTTTCTTTCTGTAAAACAATGTTTTATAGCTGTAGGAAGTAGAAAGGGGAAAAAAGGTACTCGGTTACGGTGCACAAAGACTCCCGTTTACCTCCTACAAAAAGTATGATCCGTTGCGCTTTCGAATTCTTTCACCTATAAATCATTCGGTCGTCTATCCGAATCGATTTAGTTTAATCGGTTCATCTGTTAGAGATAAAAATGTGCTGCTGATAGTGTAAAGATAACAAGACACAAGTGCTTTTATTTTAAAGAATTGATATACATTGAACGAGTGCAATCAATTAAACATTCATTTACTAATATTTATCTTTCTAAGTATTTATTTAAAAAGAAAATATTGGTGATTAGTTTGAAAGATTTATTAACAATAGTGCATATCATACAATCAAATATGATAAATAAAAGAAGAAACATTATTCTGTTTGGAGTTTTTCTATTGAATTTTCTAAGTTGTAATGTTACAACTGAAAAAGTTTGTTTTAATTCAATGCGGGACCGCAACAACACATCCTGTGAAAATTATTTTTCAAATATGTTTAAGCAAATTATTGCTGAACGTTATAAAGGAAGCATACAATCATGCGATATTAGTATAAAGGGTGAGTAAATGATATAATGAAAAGATAGCTGTACTTTATTATTTTAAACAGTACAATGTTAAATTATTATTTGAATTTTTCGCAAAGATTTGCCAACTTTATTAGAATTACTTTTAACCTATTAAGTTGGCACATTATTAAACGATATTTTCATAGTATTATCGACTGCGCAAATTCAATGTTTGCGCAGTCGGTAACTAAACAATATGCAGGTACAAAACAAGTGCTTGACATTTGATTTATTTTAATTCTATTTACAATATATTAAATTCTACTTTTTAACAATTAAAACGTTTCAAAGGTACAATTAAACATTTATTTTATTTTTACGTTAAAACAAAATACGATTATAGTAATACACCCAATATAACAACATACTACAATCTGTGCCACTCCCCATATTATTAAATCAATGAAAATATAAATTTAGAAATTTGTAGTATTCAGAGATTTATTGTTACATTATATGGTTGAAAATGCACGTAAGAGTTCAGTTACATTTCCCCGAAATAATAGGTTAAATATAACCAGCGAACATAGTCGTTGAAGATAGTAACTTTTGTTGAAAAAGCGTGGGAGCAACGGCGAACTTGCTTTCCGTTCTTCGGCCCAGTCTTAGTTGGAACAGAGTGTTTGATGTGTTCGTCTGTGCACTCGTGCTTTTCATCAGTTTAAAATGCGTCCCAAGAACGTTGGATGCTGTATTCTTTGGAGCTTGTTCCTAACATACCACGTGGTTAGTGAGACACCACCATCAACAGATACAAATGGTAATACTAATCTTCATGATTGTTTCAACCCTTCAATAAGAAAGGGGTAGTTATGCGTTGAACATTTTTCTCAATGTTTCCAAAACCATAACTGCATCATTGTGCATGACAAAGAAATATTACTGTAATCATAATTCGTTTTCATTTTAAATTACTTATTAATTTTAATGAAATTATTTATTACCTCATTCATTTTGTCTGAGAAAAAGTAACTGGATGCTGGAGCGCAAGAACGCCGTTTAGTATTTACTTTTACTTTTGTTTAAATATTTAACTACTTAAGATTTTTACCCGGCGTATCTTTGAACGAGGTTTTGCAATAAACTCTCATTCGCTGTCTTTTTTTCGTTGTCGCCCGGCAGGGAAAGTTTTCAGTCCATTGACCCCAATAAGCACGAGATCTTTCGGTTGTTCGACTGCATTTTGAAAAATATTCATGAGAGAAGTGCATGGCACTTATTCCATAGAGGCATTCGCAGTAAAATCATTTATCTCGTTTATCAAGAAACTGAACTGAAAACAGTTGACCTCTTTCCTTCCATTTGTACGCGGGATCACGGTATTTTTATCCATGACATAACTTTGCCGGGAAGATGTAACATTTTACTCAGGGTCGGCCCTGAGATTTCAGGGGTCCGAGGGGAGCTCCGAAAAAGGGTACCTCAAGTAAAATTTATAAAATTAACATACATTAAAGCTTGTATAACTAATTTAACGCAAAATCGTCTTATGGGGCCCTGGATCTGGAGGGCCCTAGGCGGCCGCCCAGTCTGCATAGGCCCAGGGTCGGCCCTGCTTTTAGCGTCCAATTTATTGCGCACGCATTACAATACAATAATACGTCTATCAAATTATCAATTTCAATATGTACATAAATTAAAAAATTTCACTTCAAATTTTTCTATAAATGTTTAATTAAATTTTCATTTTTTTAATAAGTAATAATTTGCCGTTTTAAAAAGAACATAATGGATGGTCGTTTATAAGAGTGGACAAGAATAGCGATTAATATATCGGCTACGTAATTCGATTAACGAACAATATGCATAGTTGAAGCAATGAAGTTGCATCGTTGTGTTTGGATACAGATCCATGCAGCGTAACTTGATGCGTCTTGGTACTGATTTTATTGAACGAATATTTCCTTGTCGATTTTTTAGAAGAAAGGGATTGTACGGTTACTGCGATGCATTGGATGCGCAAAGGGAGCATTTTACAGTTTCGTTTTTATCTCCTCTCGTCTTTAGTTCGACGGATAACTGGATTGTACACGAAGTCGTTATCTTTCCGTTTCCGGCTGTAATGGCATACGTGACTCTGGAGATGCCTCGTATTTCCTCTTATTCAATTATTATTTATATTCGTTCGCGATTCATCTTCGTCTCTTTTCTGTTTTCATAGATTACTATTCAGAATTGAAAATTTTTTCCAAGGACGCTATGAGCAAATTACGCTGCCTACGCGCTATCTGTAGAATGCGAATGTTGGTTGCAGTTTTATGATTATGTACTTGAAATTGAATGACTGAATAAAATGATGATCTCGTTTTTCTGAAAAAAAAGCTACATTGACACTTCTATGAGAAATTATACCGTTTGACATTTCTGCAAGTTTGCCGGTTGCGTTTAGAGATGACGCGACTTTTAACGCAGCCGGCAACCTCGTTTGTATTACACCACTTGACGTCACGTCGGAAAAGCAACGCTTGGGAATACGTTTCGTTCGAGCACATGTACCAGACCCATGTGTTTATGTTATTTAGCCAAAAATAGATGAAGCCTTTTGAAATTCCAGGGGTGCCCACACGTTGGAACAAAAAAAAATACTGATCGAATTTAATAACCTCCTCCTTTTCGAAATCGATTAAAAAATGCTACTCGACATTGAATGAAATGTAATCCAAAATTTTGGAATATTTTAATTTATAGATAACAATATTTTTCTGTACATACTGCAAAGTGATTCATTCCATTTTTAAAATTATTTATTAGTTCTTTTATTTTATTAATTTCTGTATTTTTTATTAATCCAAAATCTTGGAATTTTTTAATTTATAGAAAACAATATTTTTCTGTACATACTGCAAAGTGATTTATTCCGCTTTTAAAATTATTTATTAGTTCTTTTGTGGAATTAATTACAACTGAAAAATGCCTGCTATTGTATTATGTTGATTGAAAACCGCCATTTGTCAAGTACTCTATATCACAGAAAATGTGATGTTGCGAAAGCATTATTATACGCTCTACCGATTGCTTGAGGTTTCAGATTACGCGTTCTCGATTGAAGCTGTGATTGTCGCGTTCTGAATTCAAATCAATTCAGGCGAATCAAACTCTGTTCTCTATTAAGAACGACACGTTGGATAACTTTCTACTATTCTTGTACTTATTATTTGCATCATTTCAGATGTTCTCGTCGTCACCGTTGCCACAAACGAGACCGATGGTTATAAAAGGTATCTTAGATCAGTCGAAGTGTACGGATTTCGCGATAACTTGAAGGTCCTTGGCATGGGAAATCCTTGGCTAGGTGGAAAAAATATAAAAACCGGTAGGGGAGGAGGATACAAAATTAATCTGTTGAAGGAAGCGATAGAGAAATACAAAAATGATGACCAGAAAATTATAATATTCACCGATAGGTTTGTATTTCTATTTTATAATCAAGCATCTTTAATTCTTTAATTTGAGCTTAATGAAACTTTATGTTTCAGCTATGATGTGATATTCTTGGCGGGCTTATCTGAAATCATTGCCAAATTTAAAAGCACGGATGCTAGAGTCTTGTTCTCCGCAGAGGGATCCTGTTGGCCAGACAGATCCTTAGCCACCAAGTACCCTGCTGTGAGCGGAGGGAAACGTTTTCTAAATTCTGGTGGCTTCATAGGCTATGCTTCAGATGTACATGCAATCTTGACGTATTCCCCATTGAAAAACGAGGACGACGATCAGTTATTCTATACAATGGCATATCTTGATGAGAAATTAAGAGAGCAGCACAAAATTAAGTTGGATCATAAGTCTGAAATATTCCAGAATCTTTATGGTGCTGTAGGTACGTTAATAAATTAATATTGAACAATTTTGTCCTCTTTTAAAAGCGTCCAGCATTATGATGGATTTATGCATTACAGCTGATGTGGAGTTGAAATTTGAAGGAGCTAAAACTTCCCTGGTGAATACCGTTTACAACACAGAACCACTGATACTCCATGGCAATGGTTATAGTAAATTATCATTGAATTCTTTGGGAAATTATTTGGCCAACGCATGGAGCCCTGAAGAGGGGTGCATTACATGTTGGGAAGGCACAATGGAATTAGATAAAACACTACCAGATACATATCCAATTATATTAATCGCTGTATTCATTGAACGACCGACTCCGTTTATGGAAGAATTTTTCCAGAAGATATACGATCAAGCGTATCCAAAATCAAAGCTCCATCTGTTTATTCACAATAGCGTGGATTATCATCAAGATGTAATTGATGATTTCTTAATGAAATTCGAGAAGGAGTATAGAAGCAGCAAAGTGATCCTTCCAAAAGATTCCATAAGCGAATCTGACGCGAGGAACTTGGCCATGTATATATTATTTAATACATATCATTAATTAGGATTGCATTTATTTTTCTTTTCTAACCAGAAATTTTCTTCAGGGATTATTGCCTGTTGAAGAAATGCTCCGGTTACTTCACGGTCGACTCCCTTGCTCATTTGGACCACGAATATACTTTGAAATACCTAGTTGATCAACATCGAGGAATCATCGCTCCCTTGCTAGTTAGACCTTATAAAATGTGGAGTAATTTCTGGGGCGCTATAATGGACGACGGATTCTACGCTCGAAGCTTCGACTACATGGAAATCGTGAAGAACGAGCGGAGGTAATATTTGGAAGAGAACAACTGCTTTTTTAAAACAGCGATTTCAGTTTATTGCCCAAGTGTCTTTTATACAAAAGTGAATCTGGAGAATCTTTTTTATTAGCTTGATTCATAATTAATGCTGCTTTCTTTGCTCCGCCCCCGAATTTTGATTATTCATTTCTGGACATAAAAATATATGTAAAATTTAATTAATTTCATCCAAATTAATTATGAATCAACCCAATATTTCTCTAAAGATTTGAAAGAAAGATTTTCTTAACTCATCAATAGCAATCTATGATTACGTTGAAAGAAACATAAACTTAATCGAAAGCGATAGAAAAGTCAGTTTTGAATGATCTACGATCGATACTATACATATTGTCGGCTGTACATTCGTAGACACCGGCATCCATTTGCGTAGCAGGATCAATTTCTAGTTTCGATTTCACTTGGTCAGGTCCCTCTTGCCATTCGTGTACCTTTACATGAAAAATTTTCTATTTTACACATTTCTCAGTATCCATAATCAGAATTAGAATGAAGAATACCGACGTGCAGGTAAAGATGATTATAGATCTCTGCGCCATCCTTGAACCATGTGATATGGGGACGCGGATTTCCACGTGCAACGCAGAGGAAGACGATTTTGTGTCCCAAAACGTACTCCAAATCAAAGTGCGAGGACAGCAGTATCTTAGCTCCCTGGACAGAAACGTGTTTAAAATTTTCAGTTGAATTTCATTTCATTTCTTTCCTCTAGAAATGCACATACGTTATGATTATTGTAATACTGATCACTCTCTGGATCACGGTACTTCCCAGTGATGGGTAATCCAATTTGAACTCTTGATCTACTTTTACCCCTGGCTCGTCCTCTTCGAGCAAGGGTCTCCTGGCTGTTCAGCAGCAGAACGATTAATAGAAATATCACCATGGAACGTGACATGACTATCTGAGGGAAACAAAGAGGAACGTGTAATCAAGTCAGAAACTATAGGACAAGAGTTTGGATTTGAATAAAGTGAAGAGATTCTCTCTAGAGCCAACCCTTTTTAAACACAAGAATTTTAACTCTTACCCGTTTGGTCTGTACAAAAGTGACTGAAGGTCTAAATTCTATTATCAAGATTTTCAATCTTACATTCAGGTCGACTGGTAATATCTCAAAGGTGTTTATTTAAATCTCATTGCACTTGATATTTTTCAGAATTTCATATCTGAACCAGAGGTTCGATGCACCAGAAAAGACGATAGTTAAAGCAGTAAAGCCTCGCGGATACTCACCGAGTACAAGCAACGTACGACGATCACAGGGAACTCCGATGTAACTGACTGTTACCTACTCATTACTCCCCTAATGTCCTTTCCTATCTATTACATACGTATGGAGAGATACTGTTCGCTTCCATGTATCGCGCGTACGTGTGCTAGTTATTCTTTTGACACCTATTGTAACTCGTGCATTATCGTCATCATCATCGAATACCAAATTCATTGAGTTGATATCAACTGAAGCGGGGTGGTGAACGAGCTTAAACGAGAAGGGATTAAAGCCAATGAAATAGCAAGTTATGGCAATCTTCTAATTTGAATTTTCGTTTCCAGTATCCTTTTAGAATTTGATGATTCATTTTTCATTGATTTCATTCAAGAGGTTTACTTCAGATGATGTTTGTATTTTAATGAAACTTCCTAAATAATTTGTTGGAGAAATTTCAATATAATTCATATTCTGCACCGCAGACATTGACCACCCTTGTGATAGCCAATTGTGGTTTAATGAACAAGTGCTGGGGGAACTGTGAATTTCAAAGTGTGTCGTGATGCGTTGGAATCCTTAACAATGAGAATTTCAGTGCATTAAAGAAAGCAATGAAATATGTAATATATTTTATTAATTGATTCACAGTGGTAATGGATAAAATTCATCAGGTACTTTTGATCAGTCTTTAATTGATATTTCTTAAGGAATTTCACAGGTCTGTCTTTGAATTAATCATTGGCATATTTTCTTTTATTATTTTTTTTTTATAAATGAACAATCTATAGTATTACTAAAAATACACAATTGGAATGTTCCAGTTTTATTTGAAAGATTCCAAAAGGACAGAAGATGAATTAATATTCTTACAATTCTAGGGAGTCAGTTACAAAAGCTACTTTATCATGGAGTTACGAAATAAAGAAGGTACCAATATTTTCAATAGGTGATCATGACATAATCTGTCCTGAAGCCACGACGATCGACCGCGTATTGATTGTCCGCTTGACACTCGTAGTACCCCGCATCTTTCTGTGTAGCAGGATCAATTTCCATCTTTGATTTTAGGGTGTCATTTCCGACTGGCCATTCGTGTACCTGGAATTACAGGAGAGCATAAATCAGGAGAATTGTATTCTTGTCCATCAATGGAAATTATACCTGAAAGAATTTATGATGATACAATTCAATTCCATCCTTTAACCAGGTGATCTCTGGCCTTGGAAATCCTGTAGCCATGCAGAAGAACGTGATCTTCCTACCGAGCATGTAATCTAACTCAAAATGAGATGATTTCACTATTCTTGCGCCCTAAAATTTTCCAAGATTTCACAAACTTTCAGGTTGAATGAAAATTTCTGTAGGTATACAATTTGTAGAATTACAATGAAATTTCTTCAATCGTTCAGTACAATTTTAACGCTATAATTCAAGGATTATTATAGACTCACGTCTTTGTTTTCATAGTAATTGGCACTAGCAGGATTTCTATGAGGAATTAGAATAGGCATCCGTGATTTGTATACTCTTCCACCGCCCCGTCTACCGCCTCCTCTGGCTCCTCCACCTTTTGCCGCGTCTGTGCCGATCAGCAAAGCGGTAAACAAGAACAGGTACAATAGTCGACATCTCGTCATTTGTTCGACAACGAAGTTCTCGGTTCTCTTTTTAAAGAAACGACCAAACTTATAATGTACACTTGCTTGCCTTGTTCTCCAGATATACCCTCTGGCCAGTCTCTACTAGATTTTTATACAAATTAACGACTAAGTGGATAAGTCACAACATTTGACAACGAGATTGTTACACACAGGATTATCCAATGTATGTTATTGATTTATTTCTTCAAATGGAAACTTCACTGAAAAATAGATCCTGGTAGGAAGAATGACACCGGTGCTTGCTAGGAGACGCTTCCTGCAACAAGTGGTCAAGCAAAATCGGTGGCTTTCGGCTCCGCCTGTCCCTACTGCCTAAAATATGAATGGACTACACTTGATTGTCATACCGTCACTGGTGACAGAGTTATGAATCTCAATTGGATAATTATGCATAACCCATTGCCAGTGTGTTCACCGGCCAATCACGGCATCGGAATGATTGCCTTACAAAATATTTAAACGATGCCCTCTGAAAACAACTTTGTCTCGTCGGAAGCAAACAAACCCGTGTCTGTCCCTCTGATCGTTTCGCGGTCTGCTTCTTCGTTAGCCTTGAGCCCCTGAGAATGTCAGACCGAACGGATACTCACGTGCCCCGGTTCAATTTAATATTTTTATTTCAATCAGAAAATTGCAATCGAACCCTTAATAGGAAATTAATATGGTACTGTATCATTTCAGGGGATTATGGAACGTACCGTTCATCAACACCTGCTATCTAATTAACGCGACTTTGATAAGCAACAAAGAGACTCGTCCTTCCTACGAAGAGGGTGATCTGGACACGGACATGGCGTTTGCTTATTCTAACAGAGAACGATCCATCTTCATGTACGTCAGTAATAGGGCCGACTTTGGGCATCTCGTTGATCCAGACAGTTACGACGTTACACTGACTCATCCGGATTTGTATCAAATTTTCGACAACAAATTAGACTGGGAAAAGAAGTATCTACACGTTAATTACTCGCTTAATTTTCAGCCTGAACAAATTCCTATACAGGCAAGTTATGATGCTCCCAAATGTGGATTTCAATATATATATTTCTTTTTTTATCACTTGCAATAGGATTATATTAAATAAAAATATCAAAATTAAAAATTTGACAATTTATGCAGTTCTTTGTGTTAATTCAATGCATTCTTTTCTTTTTAGCCTTGCCCAGATGTGTACTGGTTCCCTGTAGTGAACGAGAAATTCACCAAGTCGTTGATTGATGTTATGGAAGCATTTGGAAAGTGGTCGGATGGATCCAATAATGTATGATAATTTATGATCCTTACAGTTCACAATATTAGCATGATGTTCTTTATATATTTTATTATCGATGTGCAGAGTCAGTGCCGCAACGAGAAGGCACCTGCCACAAAATTTAGCTTGTTACATTAAAATTTTTAATTTTTTTGTCATTGGATTACGGGGAGGCGCAAGTTAAGACACTTGCCACAGGCGCTTCATACCTTCGTTACGGCATTGTGCAGAGTAATTGGAAGGAGTATTATTTATTTTTATCTGAAGTAATCGGTTACTAATCTCTTCGACAGGACCCAAGATTAACGGGCGGTTACGAAAACGTACCAACTCGTGATATTCATATGAATCAAGTGAAATTTGAGCCACACTGGTTGCATATTTTAAAGGAGTACATTAGGCCTCTTCAGGAACACGTTTTCACCGGCTATTTCCATGATGTAAGATATGTTTCTCCTTCCATTTAACATACTCGTTAATGATTTTTAGGATCCACGTATCGATGGCGGATACGAAGCGGTGCCGACGCGAGATATACACATGAAACAAGTTGGCCTTCACGAAACTTGGTTAAATTTTCTATACGAATATGTCAGCCCCCTGCAAGAACATGTTTTTATTGGCTACAGTACAAGCGTAAGAACGACAAGAAACGAAAAGAATTTTTTACGGGGGTGCAGGAATAGTTTTAATTGACTGCACGATAGTTTTGTACAAAATCAATGCACCATACGCACTGATCTTAAATTGTATAATTCTTTGTCGTGTGATTCAGTTGCACCGCTTCTTTCTGGTAAAAGGCTTCGTGTTTATTTTTATTTTATATTTGAAAAATTACAATTATGGCTGTACATAGCTGATTGAAATATTTCTGATCAGTATAAAAAATGTAGGGGCGTCATGTTAACTCTTCCCTAAATACTCCTAGGAAAAATCTGATCTTACCTAGTAGGCAAAATTTTATTTCTGTTTCTTTATTAAATTTTGATTATCAGTAATTTACAAATATTTCACGTCAGTATTTTTATTAATTTATTGTAGGTTTTTAATTCTCAATTCTATGGTTCTCCAAGGCATCAGGGTCCAGTTTCACAAGGGCCGGTCCTGAGATTTTGGGGGTCCGGGGTGAGCTCCGAAAAAGGGCACCTCAAATGAAATTTATAAAATTAACATTAAAGCTTGTATAATTAATTTAGATTAATATTCAAGTATACATTACTCTTCTTGCATTCTTAGACGCAAAATCGTGTTTAGACTTTGGGGGGCCCTAGACCTTGGGGGTCCCTAGGTGGTCGTCTAGTGTGCCTAGGCCCAGGGCCGGCCCTATACCTTGAAGAGCCCTAGGCAGCCTCCTAGTCCGCTACCATACTCTACTTGACGCCCCTGGGAAAACTTATGTTATCGAATGATATATCAATTAAATAATTATTTTCAGCCACCTCGGGCACTCATGAACTTCGTCGTGAGGTATCGTCCAGACGAGCAGCCATCGTTGAAGCCGCATCACGATAGTTCAACTTACACGGTCAACATCGCTCTAAACAAGGTGGGAGTGGATTACGAAGGAGGAGGCTGCCGATTTATCCGATATAACTGTTCCGTCACGGACACGAAACCCGGTTGGATGTTGATGCATCCCGGAAGACTAACCCATTACCACGAAGGACTTCGAGTGACCAGCGGTACTCGATATATCATGATTTCATTCGTCGATCCTTGATCGTTCGAATCGTAAAATACTCTTATTAATAAAAATATATCATTATCGTATTAGGATAGAAAAGTGTATAGAAAGCATACGATCTGTCTTCGCATACACGTTTTATCTATCAAATAGTAAATTAATAATTAGTTGTAAACTTAAACTGCCAACGTGAACAAAGTATGCATTTAAAGAAAAGAATGTCCTGTTGATGTTATTTTTCTAATATATGAAGAATATAATTGCGGAACAATTAGAAGTCGTAAGTGTTTCGAAATAAAACGTTAAGTTGCATTTTATATTTGTTATTGTAATTGACAATACTATGGAATGATTATTTAGTACATCGGATTTTAGTTTATTGCTTCCTTTTTTTTATTAAAATTTTTCCTTTAAATTATTTACAACTTAAGATAAATTCTACACAGTTATTTTCACATTTCTTTCCAGTAATTTATATCGTTCAACGCGTAACCTCGTTCTTTCTTGAAATCCAATCTGTTGTTATATCTTAAACTAATCTTCTAGTGCGATTACATACGCCGCAAAACGTTTAGAGACAAAGCTTTTCCTTTTTTTTTTTTTTCCTCCTACTCTCAGACTTCGCGTATTTATACAGTTTTTCAGTATGTTACAATATTAGGAACATCCGTAGGATAAGTAATTAGATTAACAAATCACTGAATAGCAAACCTTGAAAAATTGATTTAATCATATTTTCCGCACGTTTATTTACATAGTAAAAAAAGTGCCTCGTTTAGAATGACATCGACGAAATTGTAACATGTCACAGCGCAGCAACGGGATACTTAAATTCATTTAAAAGACACTTTCTGTATGAAAAGATAAGTACATTTAAAATTAATTCCAGTATTATTTTTTTCCTTTTTTCATTTTTTTTTTTTACAGTTTGACCAACCCTTTGTTTACTTCACATACACACATTTAATAATTTTAAAGAATTCAATCAACCCACGTGTGCACTTTCACGCTTTTTAAATTATCTTTTTTCCTTTCTTCATGCCACACGATCGAACTGAATTTCGACGTAGCACAAATATATATATATAACAAGCGATTGAGTAACGTAGTAGTACGTCATAAAAATGTTCTCTGCCAGCGAGTATCTTTCTGCCATATAATAGATATTCAGTAAACACGAATGCTATTCAATTTAACTAGGCATTATTTACAATTTGTTCGATTCATAGAAAAGATTAAGATTATACATCGTTTTAATAACCAGCTCGTTTTAATTCGTTCAATTGATGCGCCAACTTCTCCTCTTTAGTTCTTCTCGCTTGACCCAACTTCCTGCATTCGATGTAGGTGCTCAGGAAGCGTTCGACGTCGATCTTCCTGTTCAGAAAGTCCTCGGCTATCTTCTCGCTCTCCTCGTGACTTTCATCCGCTGCTTTCTTCAAACACTCCTTTATATGATCCGGAGTGAACACCTCGGATAATTTATTGTATCGTTGTATCAGCTGATCGTATCTAGCCTTTAGTACAGTTACAGTTTGCACCTTATTCGCTACATCAGATTGTAATTCTCTAAGCTCAGGTTCTTTGGCTACGTTGGCCTCTAAAATAATTAGAAATTTCAATATGATACAATTTGAATATGAGATACAGTAAAATAGAAAATAGCATTACCGGCAGTTTTTTGGACCCAATCTATTGCTTCGTCGATGGCTATGTTAATGTCTTTTAAGTTGGAATGATTATCTAGGAATTCATCTAATCTGTCGTCGTCCTCGCTGAGCCGTTTCAATTCCTCGTTAGTTAAACCGTTTAATTCTGGAAACGCGACGCTCTGTCGAGGCTTCGTTTGCGCCTGACTCGGCAATGATTGCTGACGGTAATTCGCGTTCGAATAATGGGAATTTAAATACGTCGAGTTGTATCTAGACGGGTCTGTATTATGAATCGAGCTGCTCCTCGAGGTCGCTATGTACGCTGAATGCTGGGACGGTGAACCAAATTTCGTATGGCTGTCCGTTACGTACGACGTACCCGAATTTGTATGATTGTAGTTGTAAATACTAGTGTTCGCGCTGACGGACGAATATTGTGGATATTGGGTGGTGTAATAAGAGTTGTACGATGTAGGGACTTCTGGATACTGTTGCAGAGAGTACGATGGTGAATTTCTTCCTTGCAAATCTACAATTCATGTTTCATTAAACAAAGTTCACTTTTTCCATATTCGACAAGCATAAATACCTCTATGCGATTTCACAGGAGAAACGTCTTCCAACAATTGCGGAGGATTCTTACTGAACTCCCTAATGATAGCTTGAACAACACGACCAAGATCGCTGTGCACTGTAAACTGATATATAAAATTAAATAATCTTCCTAGTTCCGATAACTGTTTATGCAAAAGAATTCTTACATTAAGAAGCCCAGGTGCACTAGTCACTTCGCTGTGTTCGTTGCACCAAGGATGGCTTATGGGTGGAGAGACCCTTAATACTGGCTTTTCCATCGGAAACTCAGGTGACAAAGAAACCACAATAGCCATTCTCCTGTCCCCCGCGTTGAATTGTACTTGATATTCAACATCTTCTCTTAATTCTACTACACTGAAATGTTATAATTAAACATTAGTGCATAATAACATAAACAATTTTTCTGAAAAATCAAAAGGAATTTTAGGTATTATTGTCTTAATGAATTGGGTGTGGACTGAAGAAAATGATATCATTAATCGTTGTATTACGAACGCGTATAGTTTAAATAAGAAACTAGCTGCTAATTGATGCTATTATTTTTTATCACGATTGATATTTTTTTATTTTTTAACAAGAATCGATCATTATATTGTTTTATGTGGACGAGAAAAATAAATGTAATAAATCGTTGTCGAATAGATAGGATAGGTTACAACAAGGAAAGTAAGGTTAAAATGAAGTAGGGCTACGGGAAACAGTCTTCTTACTTGTCATTAAAAATTTTCAGGGTATCGATTTGCCGTTTTCTCTTGACTGCGACATTCTCATTTTCGCCACGGAATATTCGCGATATCATTTAAAAGGATGAAATTTAAACAAAACATTCGCTTTATCCTTCAACCTCTCTGTCAAAGCAACCATCCAGCAGCAGAACAGCTGTTTAGACGTTCGTCACACTTCACGGGGAAAGCGAAATCTATTGTAGTGTTAGCGGTGTTCGTTACACACGCAACACCATTAAGAAAATTCTATTCAGCATAAAAAAAGTACATATTTCGAATATAATGTTTTTTATATAATACATTAATTCCAAAATAATTTCAGATTTTATGTGAAACGTATTCGAGCGAAGTTTTTACGATATTAGAGTCTGCATTGTTATCTGTAGGTTAAGAAAAGCTATTGAAATTATTTTACTGTTTTTTAAATTTTAAAGAAATTTGTCGATGTTAAATTTATATTTCAATTTAATTTCTTCATTTTTATTTTGCAGGTGTGATTGGACTTTGATAAGAACAACCATATTAATTTTTAATAATTAGATGTGGAAGGATTAGAATTCTTTGTAAACTTTTACAAATGTCTAATAAGACTATAATTCACAGTTTCTGGATGTTTTTGAAGCAGCAGGATTTTCATATTTGTACAAATTGTTAGGTTAGTTTGTTAATTTCTTTTTCTTATTAAACATATAAATTTAATAATTAACATTAAAACTAATTATAAATAAATTTATTTTCATTAATGTGCAAAATCTAACAGCTACAATTGCACAGAATGCATAGACATGCTCTCACGTAATTGGACATCAAGATTTCTCTATACACAGGTATAAAATTTACGCTTATTCAATGTTAATAGAACAACAATTTGATATGCTGCCTCGGAGAAGGAGAGGTACGTTTGGTCTTTCCACACCACGCTGATACATATTCCTTCTTCTTTGCCTTTTTGTACAGTTAACTGATTCCTTCTTCACCGAGTCTTTATTCACACTATTTATTGCAGAATTCGTAGCTGCACGATCCTGGATGGATTCTTCTTTAACATCATCGTTACTAGAACTCTCCTCATCTGCATTCTTCGAACACGTACTTTGCCAGTACTTCATTTCACCCCTCTCGAGGAGGTCCAAGTGTTCAGGATGTACCATTGCTTTCTCGATGGCCAGACGATCCTCTTTAGACAATTTCTGCAACTTTTCATCCATCATTGCTGCCTCACCCGGAGCGAAAGTCCAACGGCAACCTTTTTGTTGATGTTCATACCCTAGGCACTTCACAAAGTTTTTGTTGAACCATAGATAATGAGTGATGGAGTCCTTCCAGCGGTCTGGCGTGGTTTTAAAATATGGAAAGTGTCGACTGGAAAATGATATTTAGAACTTTACCAGCTGATCATTTCTTTTTTTTCTGAAACTTTACAGTTCGCATCCAACTTACCGCATGAAATCATATATCTCTGTGGTTGTTGCAGTACCCGAAGGGCTATTCTTTAACGCCATTGCGATCAGGCAGTGGTAAGGGTAAGGGGGTTTGAGATAGGACCTAGTATCATTATCCGACTGATCAGATTCATTATCATTTATGCCACTAGTGGCTTCTGAATTGATTTGTGAATTATTATTGCAGCTTTTTTTCTGTGATGTCTGAATAAGATTCTGCAGCATTTTCAAGCTTCGAGCCCTGATCTCTGACATGCCATTCGTTTCTGGGACTTTTGTACACCGAGGGGAAGCAGACTCAGGCATCACCGACTTGGAAGTCTCTTGTTCATCCTCAAAATTCTCTTCCATTTTGACAAGGACCATCTCGTATTGTCCTATCATGGTATCCTCATTTTCGTTCACCTGTTCCTTCTTCACTTCTATTTTATTCTCATCCTCATCTTTATTTCCATCTGTCTTCTTATTCTGATGTTCTTTGTCATTTAGGTTCTCTGGAAGAGCGTTATCCTCCTCGACGTCGATCTTCTCCTTTTTCACCCCCTCCTCAAAAGAAATATTCCTCCTTTCATTGTCTGAAGTCTGTTGGATTTCTGTTCGAGGGATTGGAGAAATGGGACTGAGATCAGAATCGAAATTGCTGAAAAATAATAAAGCTTTATTAATTTATCACCTTGTGATCCAAGGACACTGTAAGTATCAAGGTATTTACCAGTATATTTTCTCGCAGTACTCTCCTCTACACCGAATACAACTCTTCATCCTGTCAAACCATTTATCAAATTCCACCCTCCACTCCTCTTTAGGGATGCTGTTTAAGAACTCCTTGTACGCGGCCACAGCTGTCTCCGAGGTCTCAAAGCGTTGCCCTCTGACGCTGTCCTTAACTTTAGGAAATAAAAAGAAGTCTGAAGGGGCTAAATCTGGACTATCCGGCGGATGAGCGAGAACAGAGACTCCTAATTTGTTTAAAAAAGCGACCGTCTCGTTGAACGAATGAAGCAACGTGTTGTGATGTAAGATGATCTCTTTCTGATCCTCGGTTTTTAATCTTTTCTTTCGGAACTTGTCAAACACCTGAGCCAAACAAACAGTGGTGTACCATTTTGCATCCCCGTTGCTTTGGTCCTCCAGTGTGATAGTTTCAATATGGCCGCCAGCGCAAAAGAAGGAGCATACCATTTTCTTCCCAATGCGTCGACCTTTCATTGGGAAAGTTTCACCAGGAATAATCCATTCTGTTTTAAGATCATTTTCATACTGATAAATCCATGATTCATCGGTCGTTATGATGTTAGATACCTCGTTTGAACAACCGTTGTCGAATCTCTGTAACATTTCTTGGCACCATTTTACTCGGGCCCGTTTCTGTTCGTTCGTCAGGTGATGGGGTACCCAACGGCTGCAGAGTTTCCTGGTTCGAAGCCTGTCGTGAAGGATGGTCCTCACCGCTGCTGATCCAATCCTTAACGTAGCTTGTATCTGTGCGTAAGTTGCACGGTTATCCTCTTCCAGCATCTGTTTCACTGCAAAGACATTCTCGTCGGTCACAGCTGTGACCGGTCGACCGGCACGGTCTTCATCCAGCAAGGATTCCCGACCGTTCTGAAATTCCTTGAACCATCTGTAAATCGTAGCTGTGGAAGGAGAACTGTCGCCAAACGCGGCACGCAAACGCGCACAGCTTTGGATCTTGTTTAAACCAATCTTAAAGTCATAGAATATCATCGCTCGGAAATTTTCTCGACTAACCTCCATCGTGAACTACACACTGGTATACACTAAAGAAAATCAACGCTCAACCCTTCTGTTGACAGCCCCACCTGTTTGGATGCAAGGCTTCCATCAGATGACGCTACAATAGCTGTTATACATATATATGTGACCTGTATTGGTGGATTATTAAAACTTTTAGCGTGAAGCCCGTGTACAGGCAAGTTTCCACCCCTTTCGCTGTATTTGTATGGCTTTTTTATTGGGAATATAGAGAATAGATAGTAGGTAGATTAGTAGGTATACATGTAGGATAGGTTAATCAAATATTATTATTTTCTTAACGCATGTGTAAGTCGTTTCAGGATACAGCTATTAAAACGAATAGGGAATTTTGTCTTTGTATTCATTGCTGATATTAATTACTGCAAAGTAATTGATTTTATAAGCCGAAAATATTTCGATAACATTTTAAAAAGGCCACTCTAGAATGTTACTGTCAGCGCCATCTAATAATAAAGCGGTGAACACGGCGATGAAACAACTATTAAGTCGGTAAAATACCGACTGCGCCGCGTCGGTAAAATACCGGCTGTGCGGCGTCGGTAATGTACCAACAGTTAGTTTTTGTTACAAGCAAATAGTTCCTTGCTCCGCCACTGCGTGTTATTTATTTATAAAAAATATGTGCAGTATCGTTGGCGAGTATTTGAAATGCACGATACGAAAATCAAAGTTCTAACAAAAAATCATAAAAATGGCGATTAAAATCTACTCAATTTTAACAGGAATAAATGGCGTATTCAAGTAAAGTCGCATATGGTAAAGAATTTATATTTTATTTTATATTTTATGTTCTTTAAATTACGTTTATACTATACATTTACAGAACATTAGAAAAGGAAGGCTGGTAGTCGTGTGTTCTATCATTGACAGGTTCTCTCTTCCTCAAGAAATGAAAATTTAAGTATTTAGTCATTCTATTAAAATATGGAAATGAAAAACAGCATCACTGAAATAAGAAACAATAGATTTTAGGTAATTTATTGAAGATTGAAAAGTACCACGGAGAATAGAGGATGGCAAATTTTCAAGGGCGCGATTACGATGTACTATTGTTGGCGAACCTGCTTCTTTTTATCTGTATTGTCTCCCACGATAAAATCTGGACCAACAACGTATATACCTGTCCCGTACAGAAGACCTTTCGCAGTATTGATCACTGCGGAAAGGAAAGGCACGTTGGGGGTGGCCGATGAACACGTGGCATCGCTCGAACTTCCAACTGAGGATTTTTAGTCCTTCCAGGGATGACTAAAAAATATGATAAGACAGAGTTAAGAAATTCTGATGAATATTATTCCAAACGAAATTATTATTACTATTCAACTTATGAACATTGAAAATCTTTTTACTGATACATTGAAGTATTGATCCAGCATGGTTGAAATATAATTTTGTTGAATTTAGTCATTCAAAAGAACTTTAGAATCAGATAGAACTGGAAGATAATAAAATATTAGTATTGTTTGCAATTTGCTGAAGTATCAAATTGAATAAATTACTATGATAGAAGATAAACTCATTATTCATTCATAATAACTTGATGTAGGTTTATATTAATATTAATTAAGATTTTATTACTCTTCAAGTATCCAGTTTTTTTGTATTTTCTCTTCTTTCAATCTGAAACAGTATCAGTAACATTATCACAGATAGATTTCTGCTTATATTCCATGTATTGAAAATGTTGAAAACTCTCATGAGATAAATTTCAGGTATCCATTGGTTGAGGAGTGTTCAGGATCAACGTTGCGCGTAGTCACAGGAGGAAGACGTTATCGAAGGGAGGCGGAGGTTGAAAAAGAGACACGAACGGAGAGAACGCAATCAGAGGGGTTGATAATGCGAGCAAGCCGATAGGAACCGACCCAAGAGCAGCGTAATAGTGTTGGTAAGGCAGGAGCAGCGAACGTCTGCTCCTGACAGCCCATTACCACTGTACAAACGCGAGCTCTCGGAGGATGGCGAAGTTCCTCCTCCCTTCCACCCTCACGTTCCATCCCTTTCTGCGTCTGTTCTCCACCTCCGTCCTCGCTACCCTCCTCGTCCACTTCTACAACTTGCTCTTCTTGCGCGAAGATGGTGGGAAACCACCTTGAACTACATCACCATCACCCAACGATTACGTTCAACATGGAAACTGGCTGTCTTCGTTGTTCTGTTAGCATCCTGATTGTAATGAAACTTCAAAGCTTATGAAATTACTCGATTAAACAAAGGGGGTTGTTTCGTGGAAGTTGGAGACCCTTTAAGGAAGCTTTGAGGTTTCAAGATTTCTTTCTGAATTGTAGAATCTCTATGATAGTTTAACTTCTGGAAATCTTTGGTGATAAAGTAATTCTAGAAATAGAAAGTAGTTTTTGAGGACTTTTGTTGTTATTATAAAAGGAGATTGTGTTCATAGATATTCTACAAATCTATAAAATAATCGTTTATAAGAAATGGAATCCGTGCGGAATCAATTTGACGGGTATCCTCGGCGAAAGAGGAGAGGGTTGTCTAGCGGTTTTTCCAGGGTGGCGTCAAGACCACGCCTGCCGCCACGTATAAGCCACGCCCGTGGAACGCAACCAACCCCCTCGATAGGGTGTCTCGAGGGCCGAAGGGCTAATAATTCACGTCACGAGCACACCCCACCATAAAGAGTCAGCTACAGCCGTGGCTCCTCGTATATTCCATATCAGCGTTTGTATATGAACGTTATCCAGCTACGGTTACTGTTAATTACCGATCATCTTCCGTAATTAATTGCCTTCGCATTGGAGAAGCGGCTCCTCGATCGACGCGGCCGGCTCTCCAGCCTGCTGGCTATCGATCCGCTGAGTTTGCTGCACGTTGCCGGGAACGTGCGAATGATTTTAGCGAGATACCTAGGATAACAAGGACACCGGGATTCTTTGGTATCCTGGTTTAAAGAGTCGTTATTGTTGTAAACTTGATACACTATAAGGGCCTTTATTAGGATTTCAGGGTGTTCTGTGTTAAATTAAATTACATGTTTAGAGTATTTTAGTTGAAAAGAATTTTTGTATTCTGTATTTAGGGAAATTAATTGTTAAGAGTACCATGTATTGTGAGAAATTAATTGTTAAGGGAAATTATTAAGAGTACTCTGTAACAAGGGTAATTAATTAAGAGCAGACTATGTTAAAGGCAATTAGCTGATAAAAATATTCTATGTTAAAGGAAACTAGGTGTTAAGGGAAATTAATTAATTAATTTTTAAATGTAATCTATGCCAAGGGTGATTAGTTTCCAAGAGTACTATATGTTAAAGACAGTAAGCTGTTAGAAACACTGTATTTTAAAGAAAATCAGTTGTTGAGATAGAAATAGTGAAATTTGAAACAGAAATTAGTATATATTCTTACAGAAATTATATTTTAAAAAGTAGAGGTATGACAACTATGAAATCAATATTGAGTATATGTATTTATAGGATACATTTGTTTCTCTATATCAGCTCTGTTTTAATTCTGAAAATCAATATCATCTTTTGTCATTTATTATCTCACTGGAAACAAGATTACAACGATAGCATATAATGTGAGATAATTGATTGAACTGACAATTATGTAACGTATTGATTCATTTACACTCAGCCGTTCCATCATTTGGTAATTTATTGGGGTCATCAGAATGAGAGGAAATTTCATTTCAAGGATATATACTTCAATAACTACAGGACAATTAAAGTATATTGTTTCAGATGATTGGATGATCATGAGACTTTACAATATTAAAGTTCTCAAGAGATTGCTGCAGAGATTAGACCTACAGAGGGGGGGGGGGGGGGGGGGGAGAGAAGAAATGCTCGACTTTGTCGCTGGTGGTCGGTAGTTTGCCCCTAAAATTAGCCACAGTGACATATTGAAGAGTGCGTTGAAGCGGGCGGGTCACGGTGCCCCATCCAAGGGTCCCCTTGCTATTAAGCACAAAAGCGGTGCCCTGGGAAAATCAACTGACGCGTAACTAAACGGTGTATCATTAATTCCAACACGTATGTTTATATCGGCTGCGTTAAGCAGCATTGCACGGCCAATTTTCTCTGACAATCACAGCTTCACACTGCACTCCTTTTTTCTTCCAGACTTCCAACGTCCCACCTCTATGTTGCTCCCATAAGTGGCTTGGCTCTGTGCTTTGATACCTGAAACCAATTGCTGAATGGAAAAGTTTTCAAATAATTGATGGGAAAATGAAACATAATCAAAGACAGTTTGCTAATTAAAAATTGATGAGGAGGCAATAATGAGGAAGAACAGGAACACTTTATGAAATTAAATAGGTAATTTTTGAATATAATTTATATGAAGATGAAACATAATCAAAGACAGTTTGCTAATTAAAAATTGAAGAGGAGTCAATAATGAGGAAGAACAGCAACACTTTATGAAATTAAATAGGTAATTTTTTAATATGATTTATAAAAATTGAAGAGAAGGCAATAATGAGGAAGAACAGGAACACTTTATGAATGAAATTTTTTGAAATGAAATAGGTAATTTCTGAATATAATTCATATGAAGATTAAACATAATTAAAGACACTTTGTTAATTAAAAATTAAAGAGGATGCTGTAATGAGGAAGAACAGGAACACTTTATGAATGAAATTTTTTGAAATGAAATAGGTAATTTCTGAATATAATTCATATGAAGATTAAACATAATTAAAGACACTTTGTTAATTAAAAATTGAAGAGGAGGCAGTAATGAGGAAGAACAGGAACACTTTATGAATGAAACATTTTGAAATGAAATAGGTAATTTCTGAATATAATTCATATGAAAATGAAGGATGGTTGAAGGTAAAAAATTGAACCAATAAGGATTCATGATAATCTCTGGTTATCATAGTCAGCCTCTGTCAGCTTTTTCACCCCTGGATATTTCACCTTACGCGAGAGAGCGTTTTCACGTTGAAGCTGTCGAGCAGAAACGTCGATTCCTCGGCTCGGATTATCGGCGTTCACCTTCGGCGATGGAGGGCCATTGATTGGCACAAAAGGTATCCGTTTGTCGCGACAGAAAGTGTTAGGAAAAAAAGTATGAGCATTGAGTGTTAGCTAGAAGACAGAAGGAACGATTATCGAAAACACAGAGATGGATGTTTGGATCAATTTAAACCTCATCATGTTTCAATCTCATTTTAAAGAAGAAAAATCAAATGAAGGATAAAAAGGATTAATTAGAAGATATTAACTAATATTTAATTTTTCATTTATATAGATCCTCCTGAAGGGTTCCCAACTGTTTCAAGTTATAGGAAACTTAAGAAAATTAAAATTGAATTGTGGAAGAACAGAAGATATCTTCAACATCCACAAGTAGCGATAAAGTTGAAGTTGATAAACGTAAACCATTTCTGAAGAACCGCACGCTTCATAGGACCCGTGACCATCACGACGGTGGTCGTTGGTCGAGGCAAACAGGCTTTGGACCACCAAGCCTATTTGGTACACGTGTCCTTGCACGTTGAATCTCGAGGATCCTCCCCTCACTGGGGCAAAGTAGAGACCGAGCTGGTGACAAAAGGCTGCACGCTTCGGCACGTGGCCGCCGTTGGGACGACTTCAGGGCACCAGTAAGTGCCAGAAAGCAAAGGGGGGTCCAGAAGTCTTTTCCTCCTCTGCCATGTTGCCTCCTAGCAAGGAGCTTTATCAATTAAAATTGACAATGGTATTTTGGATAATTGATACAAATAGATTCAGTTCAATGATGGCACTTAAGGTAGAAAACACTTACTATTATTTTTAATATTTTTTACCCTACACATTTCTTGTTATCAAATATTTTATGAATGGTTTGTAAAAGAGAAGTAGTATTTTTATTTGTAAAAATTCAGATACCTCATCTTTTATTCTTCCTCTTTCAGCTCACGTCCCTGTGCGTTCTCTTCTCTATTCCACCCTGCTCTCTTTTCAACGTCGGACCGTCGATTGGCCACAATTCAGTGTCGCGTCGTTGCACACAGTTTGCGGCGGTGAACGTCAATTGCATTGCGCCGCATATTTCATTTCAGTCTGGTCCGCTTAAAGGGAATCTAATGATAAACCTTGAGGAGAAGGAAAAATCAAATGGTAGATGGAAAAGCCAAATCTGTGGAAGATTAATTTAAAAATATGAGAATCGTATCATAAATAAAACAGGTGGAATTTAAGTATAATATTAGGATTAGTCTTAGGTATCACATTTCTGTCTACAACAGGCAACCATACTTTTTCCATATTTTCATCATGTTCATATAATTTCAGATGCTTCATATGATCATGGAACGTGAAGGAAAAAATAGAGAATCAGAAAAATTCTAGAGTTTACCTTTCCCAAAGAACAGTTCAAACAGATTGGTGGTTGAAAAGGTGAAAACCGCTTCATCGTCGGCGTATTTGACCAATAAATAATTTAGCAAACAAATTGATCCCCAGGGACTATAAACAGATACTTAGAGGCACGCGTTTCTCTTTGCTCATCGGGTAGAGAATCAACTGACCAATTTTCTCTCTACACTGTCCTATTGACCGATTGGACAATTAATGATCGACAGAGTATGAGACCCCTACTGTGAGAACCGAAGTGGGGCCCGCGGCGTGAAATCTCTATTATCGTGGGGTTGGAATGGTACCCCGTTGTTCCCTGTCGTTTGTATATGTGTTCTGGACGAACTGGTGCTGACAGGGACTACCCTCTGCTCCTCGCCCCTTGGAAATAATGTAATCGCGAATTAAATGTTTGCTCGGCTATCCGCGATCCCTCGGTATTTCTTGTACATACATACACTCCTGTGGATGTTGGTCCTCGCTTGGTTAACCCTTCAACGAGGGAGCTGGCTCAATCGACAGTCAGATTTGTGAAAAATATCAAATGGTATTTTCACTAAAATTAGAGTTACCAATTTTCTAACAGAAGGGTTTCATACTCTGAATAATTAAAAATTAGAAATTAGAAATTAGAAATTAGAAATTAAATGTAAGTTAGTAATACTATATGTGGTATAATAGTAATAGTAGTAATTTAATAATTAATTATACTATGTTTTATTTGAGAATTTGTTTGCATAGATTTGATGCATGAACGAGAGTGGAAAAAATTGTAGATCCTCGAAGCAGATTCTCCCCTTCTTCTCTACCCGGCTACGTGACAAATTGAGATAAATAATTGTTTGCGGGTATACACAATGCTCTCTTGAAATTTGTCACGGCGATCCTCGAAACGGCACGCTCCGGAACGTTTGCGGGACTGATACTCGTAAAAGCGATACTCGAGCCGCATCTGGTTCACATTTTACTCTGGAAAATGATACTTCAAGATCTGATCGATATTAACCGGGATCTATAGGGTAACTACAAAAATAATTATGTTTTTTATGTTTAAATTACTGTACCAGTATTTTTATTTTATTATAAATTGTAGGGTACCTTTTGAATTATTTCAATTGTTTATTGAATTATTTATATGTTATCTTTTTACACTTTCCACTCTTTGACTCCAAAGAGCCATCTAAAATTGAATTTTAATTTTTGCAGAGACTGCCAGTCCCTCTAAGGAAGCATCAACAAGCCACACACCATGAAATTCAATTCCAGCCAATGGATAATATCAAAATATGCAAATTGAACGTGAAAGCAAGAGAGGTAGCTTTATCTGAACGATGTTCTCATACGTTCCACGGCTAATCCCAATTATAATAGGCGAAAGTATTGGTAGCCGACAATATTAATTCCCTTCGGTAGACCACCGTCGAGTATTAGACTCGTTTTCCCAATGGCTGAAGCGACAAAACTTTACCACCCGCCTAGGTACAACCCTAGCGAACAACCATTGTGATCGTATTAACACCTTGCATAATTGCATCGCCACCGACGCCTCTGCGTTTCTCATTGTCCGTTAAACGCGTCTCATTTGAATATTGGCCCATTCAGATCTCCAGTTCTCGCTGATAAAGGGGAAGCTCTGTCCGCGGTTGCTTCCTATCCGTCGATCCACTCTTTCTCAGGCTGTCAGTTTCTCCTCACTGTGGATCATTTAAGCTGGATAACATTCGAGTTTTATATTAACTCTTGACGGTTCAGTTGTTTTGTTTAAAAATCTTAGAAAGAAATTAATTAAACTAGCAATGTGCTGTGTGTTCATTAAGTACACTTTTCAATGAATATTGATGTAATTAGGATTTTTGTCTGAGGCGAATCTAATTTATAGTTAATTTAATTTAAGTTTATTTATATAAATTTTCTTCTTTGTAGGAAGCTGAAGAATTAGATGAGCCAAAGGAGTATTTAAACCATCTTAACACCCATTGGTGACCCATATGGGTGACGCTTGAATTTTAATAGGAATCCATCACTCATACTATTAGAAATTCTTTGACCTACTTAATTGGAAATACTTGTATTAGATACTTGAAATTGTGGATAAAAAGTGAAGACAGAAGTAATACTTAATAGAATTTTCAATTCAAAGTGTTAAAGAGGACTAACTATTAATTGTTTAAGGAGTATAAAATTGAAATAAATTCATGATCAACTACAGGGTAGGTATAATATTTACATGAACAAATATTTCTGCGACGCAATAGAAACAGCACCAAAACCACCTCCCACCCACTGTATAATGTTCAAGTATCCCAACGTATAATTCCTGGACCTCGAATTTTCAGGTTTAAGGAGCGTCCATTCGGGAGGAAACGAGCTCTCCTCGTCACGAAAAGGATTATTCCTCCTCGTTTCTCGTTGGTCCATCCAGAACCTCCTCCTCCTCCTGTACGATGTCAGAGGGTTGGAAAACGATGGAAATAAAATTTCACCCAGGCAGTAACAATGAACCGCAGCAGTGTCGGGGTTGAAGTTCTGGTTATTAACCGATTGGCCAATCGCTGATCATTCTGATAGACGGTCGCACCCCTGGCACGGTCGCTATTGGTCGAGGTCTCCGCCCAGGGGTTGGTATCGATCATCCCCTTAGCTCTGCTATATAAACCAGTCTCCCCAGGGACTCTGCCGATAGTCTGAATCGTTGTTGTCCCCGTGGACATTCTTGGCCTCCACGTGAAGTGTCCCTGAAGAGCTTAGAAAGTTACCTCTTCATCAAATTGATAAGCAGGCACAAAAGTAATAATTACAAGTGAATGTTCAGAACGTTGGGGAGGATTTCTTCGGATCCTCAGCTCCTTTGAAGGTTCATCCTTTGGATAGATTGACTCTAGAGGTTGCAAGTGAAGTGATTAATGAGCTGGTGAGGAGGAGAGAAGCGGAATGGCGAGTCATTCTACGTACGAGTACGAGGACAGAGGCCAGAGGATGCGACATAGGGTCGGTACCACTTCCAGAGCTGCTGACTCCACTGTGGCATGCACCAGGTGAACTTTCTTCCTATTTCTCTCTGACAAACCTTAGGATCTACCAGGGAGGAAATAATATTTTGCACTCTAACTTCAATTATTAATTCCAGTAGTCAGTACTATGTGGGCCCTAGCAGTGACATCAGTGAAGAAGATCTCGTGGAGCTACCTTCCTGCGTTTACGCAGGGAGATCCAGTCAACACGTTCCACATACATCCTCTCATACTCATTCTCCTCTCCATTACCATATGCCAGTTTCTACACCTGGTAATTAGATTGAAGAAATTTTCTACCTGTTCATTGAAATTTTCGGATCAATCAGATAGATGAAATGATTTCTTTTAGATCATAACGATACAGAGTTAAATGGTGTAGAAGAGGGCTATTATCCAAACGGCAGCCCCTACAGAATCCAACGGCACGCCGCGAACATAAGGGAAAGGAAACGTATGCTCAGGTGAGAAATTTGTAAATAGGCGAGGGTGATCCAGTGAACGGATAAAGCAGGTTGTCAGTGTGATTACGATTTTTAGCAGCATCAACTCGGCTTTCGACGAGCTACGAGTTCACGTACCAACGTTCCCTTACGAGAAGAGGCTATCGAAAATCGACACTCTTCGTCTGGCGATAGCTTACATCGCTCTCCTCAGAGAGGTGCTGGCCGCCAGGCTCGACCCGTTGACTTACGTCGAGAGGTGCCTTAGGGGAGAGATAAACGGGGAACGTGCTGAATGGAATACCAGTGGTAAGGATTTATTTACTGATTTAATATGGGTCGTCTAAGGTACTCTTTTACCTGCTTGGTAGATACATTATTAGCCCCCCTTGCAGGGGCCAGAGTGGGCTTGGACCCCTCGCCATTTTTTTAATTTTTTAATTCTGCAATTCCAGAATTCTAATATTCTAAAAACTTAACACTGTCATTAACACGTTGAATGCCACAGTGAAATTGGGACGTATTAAGGCTCTAATTACTAAGAATAGTAGAAAATTTCAAGCTTTTTATAGCAATATTACTTAAAATAATGTTTTTCCATTGTTTTCTTTTAATTATTTAGGGGTCCCCATGGCGTTCAATGTGTCAAAGTTAAGGCACCTGGCCCACTACAGAAATAACCCTACTGCATCAATATTTGTACTCATTCTTTCAATTAATTCTTAATATCTTTGCCCCTTAGATTTGACAGCACGCTTATCATGGATAAACTGGGAGAACCTTGGAGTGAACCCTAATCGACGATCGGTATTAACAACTCTGGCTCTTACCACGGACAATATGAACTAAGAAAGGATCATCGGAGATAACTACAGAAAAATTTTTCTTTCCTTTTTTTTGTAAATAAATATCCAGTTGAATAGAGTGCCAAAAGGAGGTTATACATAAATGTGTATATTTCAGTTCTAGTCTCTACGTGCAATACGAGCGACAATGTTACATTTCGTACTTCTAAATATAAATATAAATATATATATATATTATACAAAAAAAAAGGGAATAGCTATTCTAGTTTTAGTACATTTTGTTTGGAATAAAATCAACACTCGTCAAGAGCTACGATGAGACTTGTTTGTTTTATTGAATGAACCCTCTTCTGGTACTTGAACGTGATACCCTATTTTTAATTAGCTCTTTAATTTGTGTCAAATTACATTCAACTACAGTTTTGTTAGAATTGTATGAATGAAATAGAATTGTTCCAATTGTATATTGGACACATTGCTAGAAGAGAAACGCAGTCACTGATCTGAAATATGATATTCTTTTGTATTCAATGGTGGCTGTTGCGGGGTCCTTTGTGAGGACCTAGCACGTGGCCAAAAAAGAGATCCCTGCAGATTCGTGCGATACTGTAATAGGTTACGTTTAAGAAGGATAATTAAGGTAGGAGGATAATTAAGCAGCTGAATTGCATGGTAACATCCTACATATTTTATAAGTATCTTTGAACTCCGATTGCTAGATGATACTATTAGGGCCGGCGCGACCTTTTGCGAGGCCCGGTTCAACAATTTTTCGGAGCCAGAATATTCAAATCCTATATTTAAATTTCACAATAAGGAATTATTTATTATAATACAATATTACATAATTTTTCTCGCTTTTTCCGCCGCAAAATCTTTGATTACTTAAAATTGATTGAGTTTGCTACTTCGCTTTTTATTGCAAGAATAGCCAGAGATGTAAATCGGTCTTGGCTTATTGATGATCGAAGATAATTTTTTATTAATTTCAAATGCGAGTTTTCGCGGGGCCTTTCAAAACGCGAGGCCGAGTTCCGGCGAACGCGTGAACCTGCCTCGCGCCGCCCCTGGACACTATTATTCATCTCAGGAAACAAAAGCATGGGATGCGTGGTTGGGTTAGTGTATCGGTTATATATTTCCATAGATCATTCATAATCCCATAAAAATAGTTTGTGTTTATCGACAAGTGTTTTATAAACAACATCAGACATGTTGAATGCGTAGTAGAAGATCACTGAACATCACGAAACAGTACGTCACCGTAATCGTTTACTTTATGCAGTTTAACCCTAGAGCAGTAACGCAGTTCACCAGTGACGTAAAATTAATTAATTTTTAGAATTAATTTCTATGTGTTCAAGATTACCATATTACGTCATCGGACTAAAGAAACCGGAAGAATTGCACGGTTTACTTAATTCCATAAAATGGAGAACCGAAAACAAATGGTACCAGGGGAGAATAATTCCGACGGCAAGGAGGACGATGACGTGAGTGTGATTGCTATAATAGAAAAAGAAAACGATCGGTCATTGAGACACGAGCAAACGGAGAAAACGGATGAGAAACAAGAAAATCGACGAGTGATCGAGGTGAGTGATAAAAATGTCCTTAAAGGAAGCGGAATAATTTCGAATCATCGAACGTGACAGAAGAGTATAGGAACTCGAAAATTATGAAAAAATTATCCTCCGATACGTTTGATATGACACAGGACAAAAAATATAAGGAGGACAGTGATTACGTGCGTGATTCGACAGAAACCAGTAGCGGAGCCTCGACTTCCGGCGGTGGAGTTAGCAAAATAAGAAGAGTCTATCGAGCTGTAAGAAAAACGTAAGTTTCTTCAAAGGTACTGAAATTTAATGAATAATTTAATTTAATAACATATGGGCTGCTCCCCACTGGGTAGTAACCTATATCGTTGGATAGCTTGGAGCAGTGGCGGCTCGCGTATGGGCACTGTGGAACTGCAACACCCCTATTTCCACTAGATATCGAGTCCATTTTTCTTTAATTCTTTCATTATACTTTTACAATATATAATCCTTAAGCTTAATGTCAGTAGCCATCCGCTAGTTTATGAAAAAAAATACAAAAATCTTTGTACGGAACTGTGCGGTCCACAGTTCCAGCGGTGTGGTGTTTGACTGTTGTGCGCATGCGCGCATGGCTGCGCGAGAGAGAGCGCACTGACGCTCCCGCAGTGGCGGCTTTTTTAAAACGGCTACAAATTTTCTGGAGCAGCAACCCCACTAATTTTATTTACGAGCCGGTGGATGAGGATTACAAATATGTAATCCCCCAAACTATCCATCTGTATAACTCCTTCCAGGGGAGCAGCCCATATACTAAATCGGAGCCGAAAATATTATTAGGTGAATTTTACTTGAAGGAATTAATGATAAGAAAGGCTTTTCTTTAATTGCAGTCACAGCGTGACGGAAGTACGTAGGAATCCGATACGCGCGAAGAAGAAGGATCCAGATAAAAATTTTCCCCGATTAAGACAGCGATTACTTGCCGCGAAAAAGAAGGAAATGCTTTTCAGTTCGGAGGATGGTAAACGAGGAAAATCTTCCACTAAGCCTTACATGAACACCAGATCAGTGACACGAAAAATGTACAATGTAGGAGCCACTTATCAGGCACCCACCATGAAGGATGCACTGGAATGGAAAGAGTGGCCCGTACATGGAATGCACGAGAGACCAGTTTTCCATCCTCAGGCAAGACTATCAATAAAAGAATGTTCTAATATTTATTTTTTTATTTTTAAGGTGAATTCTTTCAAAAATCAAGATGAGTATCTCTAACCTCAAAATTATTCAGCCCGTGTGTTGTTTATACAGGGTGTTCGACAACAGGTGGGCAATATTTTAAGGGGTGATTCTAGGGATGAAAATAAGACGAAAATCAAGAATAACAAAATAGCGTTTACGGCTTTGTTTTCCAGTTATTAACGTTTAAAACTTCGAGTAAAAAGCGCCTAAAACCTGCAATCCGCTCAGCACCGACGATCGAACGTCACGTCGGCAGGGGTCGGTACAGTCATAACCAAGAATAGTAGAAACTTACCTCGTGCTGTTCTCTTTCTCGGTACTGCAGTATTCGGTTTCGATTCTTGGTTATGACTGTACCGACCCCTGCCGACCTGACGTTCAGTCATCGGTGCTGGGCAGGTTGCAGGTTTTAGGCGCTTTTTACTCGAAGCTTTAAACGTTAATTACTGAAAAACAAAGCCGTAAACACCTGTTATCGAACACCCTGTATATTCTTCTATCTGAATTATTATTAGATATTAATGAAATGTGAATTTTCAGCTTGGTCTGGCCGCAGAATATTTGGGCCGATATTTCACAAGCTTCGACGGGCTTTCTTACTGTGAGATAATTAATCGGCCGGAAATAGAAGTGGTATCCGTCGATCCTCACTGCGATTCTCTTCATTCCTCTTTCGAAAAAAAACGTAGTAAGAAAAGCAAATCGAGTAGAAGCTTCACAAATATTAGAAACTCGAAAGATCCATCAGAGAAGGTGAAATCCTTTGAAAGTTGTATGCATGAAAGTTTCCACTGTGTCCTTGGTTATTGCTCCCAAGTGATGACTCCTACTTATAAAACCAACGTGGAGGGAAAGCTGGATATGTTAAATGAAAAGAAGAATTCATCTACAGTCGTTAAAGAAACACCGAAACAATCAAACATTGTCGAACAGACTCCTAGGAAAGATTCACCAAATAATTCCAAGGAAAATCTACAAAAACCCATTGAAGAAAATAGAATGGATAATTACACAGCTGTTATGATGCCACAGAACGCGAAGAACTTTAATCAAATTCCAAAAACTCAATTGTTCCCAGCACAGAAAGTCTACCTTGCTAATTCCCAAAAATCAATCGCCTTCGCTAACATGAAAACGCTTCAGGGAGGACAGGTGAAGATTCAAGATGCAGTACGACCGTCCAAGAACCCTTTCATACTGGTTAACACTTCAGACATAAAGGACACACGGTTTGTAAAATCCACCCCAAGCACTGTGAACACAAAAGCTGAAGACACAATCGTTGGTGAAGAAAATTTAGGCGAGCTGTCGTCGATATACAAACACTTTGACCTGAGCGAACAATTTGGCTCAAAGAAAGCTCCAACGAAACGCGAGAAGAAGGTAGAGTTCGCTATGACCAGATACCTGCTTAATACCGCTAAACACACCAAGATTCAAATACCAAACGCTGGGGAAGGGAAATTGTATTATGAAATACCCTGCAAAGGACTGAAAGTCAAATCACCTTCTACCACTTTGAATAAGACCTGCTACAGCAATGAAGCCACGGAGATCGCCAAGATTCTCTCTGAGTACAATAAAAATACCATAAAGAAACCTGCCTCGGAGAACGCTTCTTTCTGCCCTGGGAAGAACACGAGGGTCAACGAACTTTCCTGCAAAGATGAGAATACGAGTCAGAACTCTCAGGAGACTTGTATAGAGAAGAACACACAGTTAACGTTCTCCCATGGTAAGTGGAGGCGGTTTCACTTGACTATGGGGAAGGCGAGAGACCTGAAAAGTATCAGAAACGAGGAGAAACTTTTGCCGAATAGGCAGTCGTTGTTCAGGATCAATCCGACTGGGCTGCGTTCCTCGCCAGGGGGGATGATCGAGGTGTCCAAGCACCTGGAACTGCTTCAACGTAGGCAAACTAACGTGGAGAACGTGGAGGAGAAGAAGAGGGCGTCTGCAACGAGCGACGATGTCGATTCAACAGCTCCTAAGATGCAGTACTTGCAGGAACTGTTGGAAGATACAGCCATGTTGTACTGCGCTGCTACTGGTACACATCAGGATGATCTAGCTAATTATATTGACACTTTGGACGCTGTACAAAGCGTGCAATGGTTGGAAAGCTGCAAGAATTCAATAACATGAGTACTATTTAAAAAAAGGGATTACAAGCTTTATGAATTTTTATTACATTTTTCACAATATTCTTCTTCATTCATTGTTCTTCCATAATTCTGTTTTAGTTAAGTCATCGCAAAGCAAAGATCCATCGTTTGTTTTTATTAACGAAAGCATCAGACAATCGACACAGTATAAACATTTTATATTGTTTACAATATAACCAGGTATTAATTAAGGGTTGTATTATTCAATTAATAATGTAACACGCGACGAATCGAATGTAGAATTGATCAGATATTAAAATAATGTCTTTCTATATTTAATCTAAATCGTTTCTCTTATTTTAAGCTAATCGGGTGCTAAATTTCTATAGACATTAAAATTTTGTGCTCCACACGATTTTTCACTCTTTGCACTCCATTTGTGCGTCTCGAACGTTCGCTATAAAATTCTTTAAATATAAAATACATTAATCTTTTTTTTTTTCTCTTTTTTCTTTTTTTAGGTACCTTTCAACATTGCAACATTAATGATTTGTGGTGGAGTGCAAAGAGCTAATTAGTACGAGATGTTTTCTTTAATTTCGTAGTCAACACCATGCCGTCATTGACCCCGGCATGTATGAAAAGCATGCAGGTAACGAGGATCGCGGAATAGACGAAGAAGAGCGCGATTATGCCGAGGCGTCTTTGTCAGTCTCTATCTTGTCGCCGTTTTCGGTGAACGTACCTGAGGAGAATAGAAACCGTTTTATTTAACAAAATTTTATTTATGGTAGAATAGTATTTTCTTTTCAACTAGAAAATAAGAGAGTTGTTATCTTCCTTTAATCTTTTTTAATTAAAAATGTAATGTATAGGAATAAATTAGTAATGTATGTTACATTGTTAGCTTCTTTATTTTATATTAGAATTTTAAATAGTATATTTAAGTTAGATTGTTGATAAATTAAAGTAGAATAATTAATGTACCTTTTCCTTTCAGGTTCTGATTCACTTTCCTCGGTGACAGTCTTTCCAGCGACTTCTTCAGTGGTCGACTCCTCTTCGCTATTGTCTTTGCACTTCCTACTCCTGCTGGAGCTTTTACTGGAGTCGTCCTGTTTGGATTTCAACCTGGTGCTCTCGGAGAAATTCCTGTCTCCTTTGGTCGATGGTTTTCTGTCGACTTTCCGTCTACGTTTCTCTTCCTCCGTTGAAATCTCGCGTTTGGAATCATTTTTGCGCGATGATTTCTTCTTGATTTCAATCCTTTCTAATTTTCCTTGTTTCCCAGAACTTGACGTAGAGTAATCAATGTCTTGGCGAGTTTTTCTGTAAGATTTTAAGAAGTAAGTCAACCAAGAAGCATATATCATCGTAAGAATTATTATTAATTAGAATTATTATTATTATTATCATTATTAGAATTATTATTATTATTATTAGAATTATTATTATTGTTAGAATTATTATTATTATTGTTAGAATTATTATTATTATTGTTAGAATTATTATTATTATTATTAGTATTATTAGTATTATTATTAGAATATTAAGAATTATTATTATTAGAATATTAAGAAATATTATTATTATTTGAATTATTAGTATTATTATTAGAATATTAAGAATTATTATTATTATTTGAATTATTAGTATTATTATTAGAATATTAAGAATTATTATTAACAAAGAATTATTATTTTTCAGGTTGAGAAGAATAATTATTTAAAAAGAGAAAATATTATGCACCGTTTAGGACGAGTATTTCTTGGAGAGGAGTCAAACTGGTCATCTTCTTCTGTGGTTTCTTCGCTCTGCGAGTAATTTGCCTCAACGTCATTGTCTCTTCTTCTCTTTCTTCTTCTCTCAACAGAAACTTTACGACCTTTCACGTGCTTATACATGTCCCCTCGTGAAATGATACTAATATTTGACGTTTCAGGTTTCTTCTTCCGCTTGTTCCTGTTCTCTGTCTGTACCACGTACAAACGATACAGTTGCAGAAGAATAACCAAAGTGTTTTTGCACGTGAAGAAAATGTTCATGTAGCTGACAATATGGTAATGAATGATTAGAATAAGTCGAAATGCAAGAAATGGTCCATCCTGTAACAAATTTTATAAGAGACTTCATCAGAAACTGGAACGAGATGAAAATTAATTTTTAATTTAATTGTCTTCATGTGTAAAATTACAATTATTGAATCACTGTTTCATAGGGTGGTGGTTTCTGTAAGTAAAATCTACCTGTAAAAGCATGTTCAAAGCGATCCCCCATACGTCTATGCTACAACAACTGGTCTCAGTGTGTACTCTCTTTTTGACAGCGCTTCCGGACGAGAGCCGCGACTTCCTGGACTTGGTCGCCGTCAGGACTACGGTAAATTGCATCAGGGACCACGCCCAAATTCCTAGGGTCAAATAAACCAGCACAGGTTCACGTGCTATACGATCCTCTTTGAACGAATCGAAAAACTCGATGATGTCCGCTGCTGTTCCAATGTAAACTAATAACAACTGGCTTAATTGGTCGCGGGTTAAGTCACCTTTTGGTAACATCCATCTTCCAATGATCAGAATCAGCATCAGGAATTGTTCTATTAAAGTCACCCAGGTTTCTGTGGAGATCCGTATGTCTGGCAGGTAGATGTTCACCTGAATCATCAATCAAGACAAAAAAATGATTTAAAGAAGAAACTAGACTTCTACTGATTATTTGTTCAGAGGGAAGAAATACCCACGCCAAATGCTTTCTCCAAGTGTTTTAAGTCTTCAGCTGCTAAATTGGTAAGATCAAAATTTTCTGATATGTTTACATTTGCTTCAAATGCTCTCAATCTTCTGTCAACCTTATCCAACTCCAGCAGCCATATTGCAGGCACTACACTGCTTAGATACAGGAAAACAGAAGGACAAAACCTGTTGAAGAAGAAAGAAAATTGGATGTTAATCAATTAATAATATCAGGTAAATTGAACAATGAATATTTAATATTGTACATATTTTGTTCTATAATACATCAATGTTTTTTCAGGCATATTTCTGCTGAATCTCCGTCCAATCGATCACACAATATGAATGGAAAAGGATATTAGAAAAAGGGGGTCACTGTTACGTAGCCTTTTCTATATGTCGATAATTTTCGACCTGCTTCTACCTATAGTGGATTGTGTCTCGTCCCGCTCTTCTTACTAATGCTTCAATTTCCGACTGTCAAATTGAGATGAACCCACAAAAAACACGCCCTTCTTTCAACGGGAAAGTAGGCTTGTTTTATCATTTGAATTCCCTTCTAAGGGTGTTAATATTATTCATATATACTTTGATAAATCCTTCACATATCTGATCTTTTAAATATTTAAACATTTCAAAAGATAAATAAAATTTCTTAAAGAATAATCAAAATGAAAAAGGTAATTCAAATAATGTTGAATTTTCTTCTAAGAAATTTGTTTAGTAAAGATGAGTTGTTATTTACCATTTCCATTCTTGATTTTCTTTTATAGAAAGCGTGAAGATCCCCTCGAAGAAGAGTAACAGAATTGGACAACTCAGGTACCAGAAGAGAGGATTCTTTTTAAACGTGGTAACTTGCCAAATTGCGATGAAACCATGAGCCGCAAAAACTAGCCGTGTAATAATTGCTTTAATAGTTGCTAAAAACTTTGCCATTGTTATAAAATATTTTACTGTTTAATTAACACTTCACTATATTCAGTGGTTTTATAGCGACGCGCAGGAAAGAAATAAAACTAAGCTTTTCTGTTAATTTACACTTGGAACACTACATTTTTCACGGTGGTTGATATAAAAGATTATTGTTTAGTTGAGTGCGGTTCAACTGGAGTTCACTGTACCAGAACTGAAATAAAGCACTAAGGATTACAGAGGGTTTGGATTTCAGGCCGCCGTGCGCATGCGTGCTTGTATCCTGTAAAATTTAACTGAATAAGCAATAAGTTAATTGAATTTCGAATAACAGTGTTTTGTAGAGTATATAAATTATTATTGTTTAAATTATTTGGTATATTTAACGCTGAAGAACGTATAGTGGGGGGACGGTAAAAGGGGATGATCATTCTTTATAGCTTGCGCTAGACGCGCAACTCCTCAGTAGGACGCGAACTGCAGTGGGGGGAGGACCGCTTGTTTCCTTTTCCTTCATTTTTTAACTTCTTTGGATATTTCAAAGATTGAAATAAGACATCCTTTCCACTTAACATTACTTTGAATATAATTGCATTTTTATTTTAATTAGAAATACAGAAATTTAAATGAAAGTAAGCATGGATTTTACTTTCAGGATCTTTCGGAATTTTTATTGACCGATATTTATTACATTTAATTAGATATTACAATTATAGTACAATGTAATGCATAATGGTTTACCGAATGAAGAAATTCTGATTATTTCAGGTAATATATTGCAATTTCTACTCGTTTAAATACCACTAACTATGATTGAAAGATAGATTCAGTGCCTGTTTCAGAGTTTATTATTGCTCAATATAACAATGGTTAACACATTAATATTTCTATAGAAAGTTTATATAAGTTTACAATCTCACTCCAATGGTAATTGAGAAATCGTGTAACGTGTACATGAATTAAAGCAGAGTTTCAGAAAAATTTATTACGAATATTATTTAGTTCCAAGCCTACTCCTGTAACCATTCGCTGTGATCAGGGAAAACTAAGGGAAAATAACTTAAATGTAATAAGTACTGTAGGAAGCTGGAAAGAATTCATTAAACCAGAGCCAGCCCCTGTACGCTGGGGACCCTTCTTACTCCGGTGTCGTCCCGGATGAAATCTCAACGGCTCGCTACAGTACCTACGTCAATGCAACTGTACTTTGTGAAAAAAAAAACACATTTGTTTCACTTAAGAATCCGTATGAGCGTTAATATTCAGTCACGTTTACTGTCTGTATCGCAGGTCTATCGAGATGTTGTCGTATTTACAGTTATTTAAATAAATATATAAAACTATGTCTAACAAGTAGGTTTTACATTATTTATACTACATGCTGATACGGGATGTGCTATGAATGGAAGATACACAAATCCGGTACATTCATCTATAGAATAAAGTTCTGATGGCTTGAAACGTTAAAGTGGTACGGGAACCTGTATGTCGGAATGCTGTTAACCAAAGTGGAAAGTAAAGCCACCAGGAAAACCAGACGTATGGAACTGATAGCCGTCGTGTTGGTTGAAAAATGTTTGGAACATCGCGCTTGGATCGATATCTGAAAAGAAATTTAGTAACGTTAAAAATGAAAATGAAAAATAGAAGCGTGATCTAAGAAAATATTTTAACCATGGAATCCACCATCACCGTCATCAATGTCGTATATGTCGTGTCCACTGTCGTAACGTGACCGCTTTTTAGGATCAGATAGAATCCCGTACGCTTCTCCTACTTCTTTAAATTTCTTTTCTTGCTCCTTCTTTTCCCCTTCTGTTGCGTTGGGATGTCGGTCTGAATGGAATAACGCAAACAAAAATGATTAAATTAAGGCAGTTAAAGAAATGGAACTACTTGGAAACTTACCAGGATGATGTACCATCGCTCGTTTCCTATACGCTTTCTTGATATCATCGGTCGATGCATTCTTGTCAATACCTAAAATCTTATAATAATCTTTCCTCAACGATTTTTTCAGTGCTAATTTGGCTTCCATTAACAATCGTTTGTTTTCTGCAAATGGATATAATGGATTATAAAATGAAGACTTTTAAAAATAAATTATCCTATTCTTACCGCGACTCTTATCCAGTTTACACGCTTTCTCGAGATCATGAACAGCCTTTTCGAATTCATCGAGCTCCATGTAAGAAGCTGCCCTTCTTAGAAGAGCTTTCAAATAATTTTCATCTAATTTTAATGCCTCTGAACATTCTACTACCGATTCGTTTAATCGGCGTAACTATAGAGTAGTAAACGAAAATTAATAGCATTATTTGTAAGACGTGTTTTAAAAACACAAAGTAACGATATAATACCTTGGCTGCAGCCATTGCCTTGTTAAAATGAAGTTTCGCGTTTGTTACTATGTTATGAGGATCTATAGCCAAAGCTTCGCTGTATAGTTTGTATGCTTCCTGATATTGTTCCTTTTTATAAGCTGCATTTCCTTCCTCCTTTTTCTTTTTCAAGCTTTTAGCTTTCTAAAATATTACAATGCAATATTATAAGTGTTTCTTAGGGATTTAATTAAACCACTTACCTTATATATTTCTAATGCCTTAACGTGATCAGGTGCTAGTCTAAGTACTTGTTGAAAATGTGCAAATGCTTTATCAATATTATCTTGGAAGTACAAACATATTGCACGAATGCACATAGCATCGACATTTTGCTTATCAAAATGTAAAATATCACTGAAATAAAAACAATCAAATAAAATATAATCCTGTAATCTAATATAATCCGTTGAGCTATGAAACAACATAAACATACTTAACGATTTTTTGTGCCTCTTGATACCTTCCTAAAAATGCTAAGCATTCTGATTTAGTCAGTTTGAATCTTGTACAAGAAGTGCTTACGTCGAGACAACGATCCATACAATACACAACCTAAACATGTTACAACAGATTAATAATTATGAATTACATACACATTTTATATTTTTGAAATTGGACTCCAAACCTTACGATAATCCTTAGCAGCGTACGCAGATTCCGCGTCTTTAATAAACTTTTGTACAGTTTTCAAGACACGTTTCTCTACAGGTATCGCCTCGTTTTCAGGATCAAGTTCCGTTAACTTAGTTAATATATTTTCAGCCTCCATAATATCTCCCAAAATTAAACTACATTTCACAACTCTCACGTATGCCTAAACAGGAATGAATTAAAATCAGAAGCTGTTCATTTACTATGTACACAGTTTCATACAAATTGCACAATTTACTTTAAATAATTTAGGATCCAACTCGATGCTTTTTTTGGCATCGGCTAGAGCATCACGGTATTTCGCGAGCATCATATTACATGCAGCTCTGTTTCCATAATACACTGCATTGTTTGGGCATAGCTCTGAAAAATATTAATTTGATTAATTCATCAGTTCGGCTATATTACCAGAGTTCTATAATTAAAAAGTATACTTTACCGATAAGTTCACTGTATTCTACTAATGCTTTTTTATATTCCTTCACAAAATAAAGTTCCTTGGCAGCTTGATTTTTCTTGTTCGCCACCCTAAAATGTATAATGAATAATTTAATAATCGCTGTCGTACCATATTCCTCCCTTTAACAATTACATAATCCCATAACAAACTAACAAGCTTACAGAATTATTGGTAAAATAAAAATATCTAAATATATAACAAGATGAAAAATATATCTTCAGGGCTAAAATTTCCAAATGAATCATATTACATCCTGTATATTACTGAAGAACATGATACTTTTAAATATTCGAAAATGAATAATTGATGTATTATATGTAGAAGTTTGATATTATATTAACATATTCCATACTTACTCTTCGACGGATTTTTCAGGATCCATATCACTCATCATAGCAGTTGCCATTGCTGCAGCTTTTGCGATAAACTGGGATAATTCCCGCAAAGCAAAATGACATTCAACGAAATGTTACGTCTTGTACATAGACTGCCCGATATTTTTCTCAAGCTCTCAATCTCGTTAGAAAAAAATATACAATTACTACCTAATTTCCTTATTTTCTTTGTGAAAAAGCTTGATTTCCTTTAATAATACCAACAGAAGGGACGAATTTCTAATGATCCCGAAATCCCGAATAGCATCTACGTGTTCTGAAAAGCATTCGGAATGATTAATCAAAATTTTCAAACCTTCAACTACTCCCTAATGTTATAATTTATATGTATAATTATTAACAATAGACGAGTTGAACAATATGTATATAATTACAAATGATAAAAACGTATAATAATCTGAAATATTTGTGTATAATAATTTTATGATAAGTTTTAGAACGCTTTATTACATATATATATATACATATAGTATATTCAATGGCGAATGAGCCTGTGGCAGTATAATATAACCTGTAAACCTCGACGTTTTAAAAGAAAGCGAGCGATTGATTTTATAATCCGTAAGATTTATAAAATACATAAATTTCTGTTTCTTGAATTAAATTTTGTTAATAGCATTTATTGCGTGATATCCGAGATTATTTATTTAACTACTGTGCCATGCGTCCATAGACCGAACACATACGATCCCTTTTATAATATTTCGTTATATTGGATTATTACACTAACTAAATAAAATCAAATATTTACATTGATACGATATATTTGAAACGTTTATCTGCATTGTTTCGAGCAGAGTACATATTAAGTATTTTTTTACAGAAAAATGAGTCGTTTTTTCGCAACTGGATCAGACTCTGAGTCTGATACCGCCTCAGAAGAAGAGCAGATTCAGAAAGCACCAACTGCAGCTTTTACAGTAAGTAGACTAGACTCATCTAATGTCTCTTATTTCCAGCAACTGTAACATAATATTTTCTTTCTGTAGTTCAGCGATGAAGAAGAAGAAACCAAAAGGGTAGTACGCTCGACAAAAGAGAAGAGATACGAAGAGATAGCTAATCTCATTAAACTTATAAGAAACTATAAGAAGATTAAAGACATGAGTAGCATGCTTTCCAGTTTCGAGGATTTAATGCGTGCCTATCAGAAGGCATTGCCAGTAATAGCGAAAGAGGAAGGCGGTCAAACACCCCGTTTTTATATCAGATGTTTGGTAGAAATGGAAGATTTCATCAATGAAGTATGGGAAGATCGTGATGGTCGCAAGAATATGTCGAAAAATAATTCAAAATCGTTGACATCTTTGCGTCAGAAACTTAGAAAATATAACAAAGACTTTGAAGAAGACATAGTCAGATTCCGAGAGAACCCTGATCAGGATGACGACGAAGAGGAAGAGAAACGTAAATATAATTCAGAAATATCATTAATTATATTTATAGGTAAATATTAATTTAAATGTGAAATTTTAGCCGAAGAAGTTGTGCAGTCAGAGGAAGAGGACGATAGTGCTGTCGCTTTTAAGAAAGCTGGATCTGAAGCAAGCGAACCAGACATTTCTAAATTTAAGGTTCGTGTTACACGGTACTTCTGTATTCTAAATGACGTACTTGTAAGCAAGATTTTCATATTTTACAGAAGAGCGTAGTCGATGGGGAGGACGCTAGCGAAAGTGAATCTGATTGGGGCAGTTCATCAGATAGTGAAAGCACTAGTAGCGAGGATGAAGGCCAGTATCAAAATATCCGTGAACGATTTATCAAAAGGTGCGTATAATTATATAGAAATTAGTGGAAAGATTAATAGTAATTCAAACATGTTAATGGAAGTAGAGCTGCGGATAAAGAGGATGAAGAAGATAAAGTAAAACGAAAGGAACAGCGAAAGGAGCGTAAAGAAAAGGAAAGGAAAAAGAAGAAAGACGAGGATGACGGAGAAGGCGAATGGGAAACCGTTAAAGGCGGTGTTGCTATACCATCTGAGAAACCAAAAATGTTTGCAAAAGATGCTGAAATTAATGTAGCTGCTGTTTTGAAGAAATTATCTGAAATAATCGCAGCCCGTGGTAAAAAACGTACAGACAGACGAGAACAAATTGAATTATTACACGAATTACAGTCCATAGCCGATGCTCATAATCTTGGACCAGCAGTGGCTGTTAAAATTAAATTTTCCATTGTGTCCTCCATCTTCGATTACAATCCCAAAGTATCAGACGCGATGAAGCCCGAGTATTGGTCAAAGTTCGTATACGTTTCATTTTGGTTTTATAACACAAAATTGTCCTAGTTCAGAAATATACAGCAGATTACTTTTTACAGGATATTGGAACGTATAACAGAGATGCTCGACATGCTTTTGAGCACTAAAGATATGATAATCGCTGAAGTGATATCCGAGGAGGGGGAGGAGTACGAAACACCCCCGTATAAAATCCATGGATGTGTGTTAACTTTAGTAGAACGATTAGACGAAGAATTTATAAAATTATTAAAAGAATGCGATCCGCACAGTAACGAATACGTTGAAAGGTACGTTTAGAAAGATTTTTGAATTACGAATGTATAATAAAAATATCATTTACAATCAATTTTTAGATTAAAAGATGAGAAACAAGTATCTGCTATAATAGACAAGGTTCAGGAATATTTAGAAAGGCAAGGAACCGTTTCAGAGCTTTGTCGCGTATACCTACGTAAAATTGAACATTTGTATTATAAATTTGATCCCAATGTTCTTAAACAGAAAGAGGTAAGAATGATATTACATATTGTTAACAGGGCCGGCCCTGGGCCCAAGGCAGATTGGGCGGCCTCTTAGGGCCCTCCAAGGTTCAGGGCCCCCATAAGGTGATTTTGTGTCTAAAAATGCAAGAAGAATTTTAGAAATTTTATTTGAGGTGCCCTTTTTCGAAGGAGTCCTCGGACCCCCGAAATAGACGTGGAACTGTATAAAACTATATCTTTTTCAGGGTGAACTTCCTGCTGACATAGTAACATCTGTCCAAGTTATGGAAAAACTTTGCAAATACGTTTATGCTCATGATGGGACCGATAGGCTTCGAACTCGCGCGATTCTTTCCCACATTTATCACCATGCTCTTCACGATAATTGGTTCCAAGCGCGTGATCTTATTTTAATGTCTCATTTACAGGAGACTATTCAGCATTCCGATCCAGCTACCCAGGTGCGTATTTTCATAACATTAGGTTGTGTAATATTATTTTTATAATTTTCACAAAATTGCTTTTTGTGGGAATTTATTTACATTCTTTTAACTGCATTTAATTTACAGATTTTGTATAACAGAACTATCGCTCACTTGGGCCTGTGTGCATTCCGTCATGCGAATATCAAAGACGCTCACAACTGTTTGGTCGACTTAATGGTAACGGGGAAGGTGAAGGAACTTCTGGCACAGGGTCTTCTTCCGCAGAGGCAACACGAGCGTAGTAAAGAGCAGGAGAAGATCGAGAAGCAACGACAAATGCCGTTCCACATGCACATCAACTTGGAACTTCTCGAGTGCGTTTATTTAGTTTCCGCGATGCTGATCGAAATCCCGTACATGGCTGCGCACGAGTTCGACGCGAGAAGAAGAATGATTTCGAAGACCTTCTACCAGCAGTTAAGGTCCAGCGAGCGTCAGTCGTTGGTTGGTCCTCCTGAATCCATGCGCGAACACGTCGTGGCGGCGGCAAAAGCGATGCGCAATGGAAATTGGTCAGCTTGCAATAATTTCATTATCAATGAAAAGATGAACGCTAAAGTCTGGGATCTTTTCTACCAAGCGGATAAGGTTCGGGATATGCTGACGAGATTGATCAAAGAGGAAGCGTTAAGGACGTATTTGTTCACTTATTCTCACGTGTACGATTCAATTTCAATGCCAAAATTAGCAGAGATGTTCCAGTTGAAGCGACCGGTTGTTCATTCGATTATCAGTAAAATGATTATCAACGAGGAGCTTATGGCATCGTTGGACGACCCAACGGAAACTGTTGTGATGCATCGCAGCGAACCGAGCCGTCTGCAATCCTTAGCGTTACAACTTACCGATAAGGTTAACAATTTCGTTGATTCCAATGAACGCATCTTCGAAATGAAACAAGGTAATAAAAATTTGAAATAATTTCTTGTTGAATTTTGAACGTTAATAATATTATGTATTATGCTACAGGAAACTTCTTCTCAAGAGGAAACCAAGGTAACTTCCGCGATAGGCAGAATTATAATCGGCAAGGACAGGACTGGGGTCGTCAAAGACGTGATCGTGACCGTGATCGTAACCGGGAAGAGAATCGAAATTATTAAATCATTTTCAAATGTGGAATGTTATTTACTTGGGTGTTCGACATTAAGTTATTATTACGTGTATGCACTCATGTAAATAATATTGAGAATAACAGTATATTAATTCAGTCTTTATTGAAATATCCGTACTTCCATATTTGCAATTTTTTATATACAGTGAGAGGCAGAACTGTTCAAAGTGGAATACTTTGGTTAAAATTGAGGTTTTTTGAGAAGCTATAAAATATGTAATTTTTTAAAATGATGAAAATTAATTTTTATAGCTTCTAAAAAAACCTCAAGTTATTTAGTCCAATTCTATTTTGAACGGTGTCCATTTATTTTTGCCTCTCATTGTATATAAAAACATTTTATTTTTCATATAAATTATTTTTAATGTTCAGATTTCTTGTACTTTTTCGAGCATCTTATTACCAGTTATTACACTATCAGACGCAAGGACTAGTCGAATTCCGGTTGATTTTTCTATGAATCTGCAAGCTGTTATTTCAGCATAAGTGATACCTCCTATAATACATATCACCACCATCTTTGGTAACAATGGACCACGTTGACCGCTTATAACACTGTTGGATAAATTAGCTATCTCTTCAAGATTTTTCGGCTCCTTATCTTGATTTACAATAGCATTTAATATTTGAGCCTGTGAAAATATGATTCTGGTAATTTTATTTTAATTAACCCTCTATTGCATGAATAATAAAATTGTGCAATGTTCCCACTTGGAACCAACTCAGAGTCTTCAGTATTACTATAGAACATTTGAAATTTAAGTTCCCAATTGGGACTGGAATGCAATAGAGGGTTAATCAATATAAATATGAATAAAAATGATACCAACGATTAGAGGTATGTAAGCGTTATTGAATACATAACTGGGGCACGAACGACCTTTCTGTTCAGCTTGTTTCGAGGCACTCGGTAGGAGCTTCAATTTTTGTGCATTGCTATTCCACTCGCTAGTCCAGTTCGGTAATTTGTACAGAATATTCTCTGCCCTGCACTTCAGTAAACCTATACTCTGTAGCTTGTAGAATAATGGTATATGCTTGTAACCGTGTGCGTGAAGATGAAGTTTTTGAACAGAGTGCAATTCACTCTGTGTAAGACCATCACTAGCGATAGATAATAAGCATAACAAACGCAAAGTTCTTAATGGATGATCGTCTGAAAGATGAATCAATTTAAATCTCAATGTATTAATAAAAGAAAAACGCAGAAGTACCTATGTATCTTTCAATGTGATTGAAACATTCTTTCCTCTCTTTGCATTCAAGCACACATTTTTCTATTTTCTGCAGAGTTTGAAAATCCGAGCCTAATGTATCCGCGATAAGCTGGCAGGCAGAAATGTGAAAAGCAAGCTGACGCGTCAGATCTCTGGTCTTTTGTAATCTTGTCGTCACGTATCTCTCCATTTCGGACAGCTTCATCGTTTGTATCGCATCTTGCTCGGCTAATGAGTAACATCAAAGATAATATCAATATTTATGAAGTAAAATTAGCGAAAGAAATATAGGCAAATAAATATACATTTTAGAGATTTAGCTTTTCCATGCAAAATGGGGAAAACATCACTGCATGGCGTGTCCCTAACTTCTCCATAAATCTGATCTTTATCCGGATCCAATTTGGTTTGAGATTTTCCTAAAACACCTGTTCCAACGTTTACATCTACAACTTCCTGTAATAATCCAGCATACGTTACTGGAGTTAAAAGGGACGTGGCTAGATCACAATTCCTGTCCATTAGAATTAAAGCTCCTATTTCATTTTCTATATTTGACGAGCCTAAACATTGTTTCATTGACTCGATAATGTTCAGTACTTGTTGACTGTACTTTCCAAGGGACACTGTTAGTTTAGGTGCACCAATTATCAGTTGCAGTGACCATAAGCAGTGCGCCAATGCTGGTAGTAGGGTGGTATCTTTATGATAATAGAGATCAGTAAACATAGGATTTTCTAGAGATAAGATGTTTCCGTCTAATCTTATGAATTCCCAGCAGAGTGTTTGCAATGTAACCAATCCGGATAAGCCTAAATAAACAATCATAGTTTATCTGTAACGTAATTTCTAATAACTATCATTGTGTGTACTGATCAAATAAGATATTCACCCTCTTCTTCGATAATCGAATTAAGGACAGTGGGTACAAATGGAGCGACCAGTATATGATGACTCGGCTGCAAGCACGGTCTGATATTCAGAGAAATCTCTGACTGTATTTGATCTAACACCCTCTTGCAAGCGATCAGGTCGCTTGAAACTAGAAATACGTGTTGAGAATTTGAAAGCTTCAAGCCTTGTTCCATTTTATAGATTTTTTCAACTCCATAGCGTCTAAATAAAGAGTGATATTTAATAATTATCTCTATCTAATAATAATGTTTCAAAGACATTAGTTAAGAACGATTACTTAAGAACAGAAACTCCTATGAAACTGTCCAAGATTTTCATAAGCCTCTGCTCTATCACCAAGTCTTTCGTTCCAGGAATAGAGTCCAATATTTCAACAAATTTTCTTTGACTAATTTGTTGCAATACGTTTAATCTGTCATCCAAAGTGATGTCCATACTTTTTTCTTACAATTAGAGCGATGGGTTTGAAAAATCGTCCACGTATTCTTATCCAGTTTCAAAACTGAACTAAAATAGTATCAATAAGTACATTTTTTATTGACTGATATGAATTTGATGCAAAATTAAATACCGTGTATAGAATTTTGACGTTCTGTTCATCCATCAATATTCATTTATACATATCGCAGGTTTTTCCTTACAAACTTCCTACGAGATCAATCTCAAAGAGCTAAGAAATGATCTATTATTAATCTGTTTGGAACAGATAAAAATTAAGTAATGCACTCATACGATAAAGCTTCCTGAACCGGATTGAATAGTGTTTGCTCGTTACACGCTGACGCGCGTATCTGCGCGTATCTTTCAGTAGGGTTATTTAAAAATGGCGGACGCATCGTCTTCCGATACTACCTCAGATTGTTGCAATGAATGGTTCTCTGATATTACTTCCGAAAAATCAGAGTACATTATAGTAGGCCAGAAACCGTGCCTGTCCCATCGTCGGAGTAAAAGACATTTCTTACAGAAGCTATTTTTACGAGAGGTAGGCTCGCTTAACCTTCAACCTACCGAAGTATTAATAAAATTGACGGACTGAAGATACCTGTCAGAATCGGTCTTTAATCCGAACAAATAGCTTTGTATGTTTAGAAAAATTAATTCAATTGTTTCTAAATGACATTTACTCGTTATCGCACGAATCGTCACGTTGAACTTCCATCGACTGCAAGAAAAAAAAATGTGCTTTTGTTCTTGCACAAGAAGTTTACTTTATTGTCTTCCTTTTTTCTTTTTTGTTGCAGTTTAATTTTTTAATAGTAGTTGCATGATGTCTAGAAGCTTGAAATAAAAAATTTAAAAAAAGTATCACGAGCATGATGGACAGAATTAGAAGTTGCGTATTAAAGAGTAATAGTAACACTGCGAAAACAATTAATTTTTATAGATCAGAGGTTGTTTATCGGCGCACAATTATGCTTCAGAAGAAAGACTGTTCGCTACTGTACCTTCCTGGCGACATTTACCTCTCCTACACGTAATCCCAAAGTCGGCGTTAGAAGCAGGGTATGTCTAGCATTTATTTCTACTCCGAAAGAACGTAACAAAGTTAAAAGAGTATTATATGAAATATATATATATGTTGTAACAACAATACTTATTGTTATTGAAGACACATTGTAATGGGATTGACACAGTGTGGTCAGTTTTTACTTACATATACATATACTATGGATATGAGTGGCAATACTTCCTTGTATAAATACTTGTTACATTGGTGGGCTTTTACTCCGAACCATGTCGCACGTAAGGTGGCAGAGGTGACACTTTTTGGTAACTACACTATCTACAGAGAACTTAGTATAGTTATATCTCAATGGCCACTGGAAAGAAGTAAATTAGTAATACACGGTCTTTGGTAAGTTTTCATTCAGATTATTTCATTTATTTGTTCACCTTAAGATTAACCGATAATAATTCATTTTTAGTACAAACTGGTTGCACTTACAACCTACAGATAGAGCATATTTAACAATAACCACAGTACCTTCTCTTGAAAATTGCAAAGATTGCTTAAAGGTTGCAGCATCTTACGAAGAAGAAGGCGAAGGTAATGTCATATTATGAACATTAAGAACTAGGTAATGATGTGACAAATAAAAATACATTTCTTTAATATTTTTTATAGAGTTAGCAGCAAATTGGGACGGTTGTGTACGGTGTAACTGTCTTCAACATGGGCTTACCGTTCATACCACATATGAAGTAATTTCCCCATATCCTAGGTTTCGTGCTACTGTCTGTTTGAATTATTGGAATCATGTGGTAGTTAACACAGGAAACTTTTTACATGTACTCAGGGTAGACTTGGACATTCCAAAATCGAAAAACCAGAAGACTTGTGATAAACAGGACACTGTCGTTACCGATACAGTGCCGTTAGACATGAGCGATGTCGAGGAATTGGATTACACGAAAGTGGTGGAACGTTACGAATGTTCGGACGAGAAATTATGTACACCCGAGTGCGCGATCCAGTCCCCGATAATCGAACATGATTACCTAGAAGAACCAATTAAATTAAACGATAGGTTAAATCGTGATTCATTAAATACCTCAATAATTAATCAAAGCGATTGTGTCTGTGATATAAATAAGTCTGCCGACCCTACGACCGTTAAATCGTGCGAGTGTATGGACGTTAGCGAATGTAAATGTAGGACAGCGAGCCCGATATCGCGAACCGAGCAACAAGCAATATCAGTTAGGGACAAAATTTTACAAGATTTCTGCGAGGACATGTCTCAAGAACTGAACATCGGTAGCGATTTAATTACGTTAGTGAAACATCCGTCGTGTTCACCAAGGTCTACACCGCAAAGGCTTCCCTCTGATCTCAAAGCGATGACTACATGGTCTTCGCCGATTCTCACACCGCCATCGGACATTCTGAAAACCCGAAATTCCGAGTCTAGTCAGAAGAGTATCCGTACTTTTCAACGTTCAACTTCCCCTCAACCCGGTGCTTCGGAGGATAACAATCTAACTTCCGTTAATTCTCCCCTTCATTCGGTCTCCGTGAGTCCTTCGTCCTCATCGCGTTTGATGTCACCGCCAGTAACACGGTCCTTTCGACACCCGAGCCCGAGGAAACGATCCAGCTTACACTCCCCACCGCCCATCGTGAATTCGACGCAGTCGAGGACGCGACCCACTCATAAACTGATCCTCGAAGCGGAGAAAGCGTACGAGTTCACGGACGAGGCGCAGGAAACCTGCGAGAAGCTCAGTTCGTTCAGGAAACGAAGACTCGCCGACAAGAAGTACGAGTTCTGCGACGAAACGGAGGACGCGGAGAACATAGTTCCTTTCAAACATATACGGGATCAATTCAAACACCGTGGATGTTCGATACACCAGATACCATCGTCGCCTACGATGTCGCCTGCCCTAACCAATGGTAAAAAACATTGGGTGGATTCGGATCAAAGTGAAACGGATGATTTGAATATGAGTCAAGATCAAAATGGAGTCAATGATTTAACAACTGTTGATTCAAGTAAATTAATTAAGAGTATAAAAAGAAGGATAAATCACCTCCTTGATATTTGATAACACTGTTTTAATGTTTCAGCTGAAAAGAATGTGTTACGACCATTGAATCAGAACCAGCTGCCTAATGGGTGTATCAGCAGGGAACGTTCTGGGAAACACTGCTTCAATTCCTCTCCGTTGGTTCCAAAAATAAATTTACAATATCCCACCATTAAATGCACCGCACACTTTAAGAGGAGTTACATAGAACTTGACGATGAAATGATATCAGTTATCACAGATGTTGAAGGTATATACTTTAGTATCTGTTATTTTGATTATTCTTGTTAATTACAATATGATGCTATTAACACGTTCAACGCCACTAATTATTAAGAATAGAAATAGTTAATTTTCAAATTTGAAGCTCTCTATTTACCATTTTACATTATTGCAAAATAATGTTCTTTCTATTGTTTTATTTTAATTATTCAGGCATGTGTAATTTGCTGTGGCGTTCAACGTGTTAATTAAAATAAAAAGCATAAATATACGTACGTTTTACAGATGAAGAAACAGGAGGATATGTAAGTTATCAATGCGTGCTTCCTATGCATGTCCACGGATCTGGATACGTCCAAATGCAAATGATCAGCAACAGTAAAGCTGAAAAATTGGTATTGAAATTGGTTTAAAATTACGAATCTATCGTTTCGTACGCTGAATAAATTTGAACAATCATTTTTCAGATAGTACCTTGCGTATCGATCAATCAGTTGAGCTTCGATATTGAAACGTTTTCTCATCACATAGCTGACTGGATTTGTATGAGATTTAAAAAGAGATACTGGCACTGTAGCGACTACGACATCGAAATAATAGACGTGTGTGCGCTAAGCGGTGATATTATTTGTTTATTAATTATGAAGATTCAAGCTAGCGAAATTAATAATCAAACACAGTGGTTCGTATAGTGATTTATGTTTAAAGAGGAAACCTTTTCTCATACTTTGGATAATTATTTAGTAAGATTAAATCGTAGTTCCCAAGAGAGGAAGCAGTACGAAGTAGGATGTAAATTTACATGGAATATTGATACAAGCCAGTATAGAATAACGGACGTGTTACCAATGGAGGAGGTGAAACCAGAATCGTGGAAACCGAATTGTATAGACGTTCCAAACTTTCGTACCCCTTTGTGGAATCCAACTCGACGTCTAGCACCGAAATTAAGAGAGAAAATTCAACAACCGTACGCGCATACAGTGCGATTTTTACATAATGAAATGACACTGATGGGTGAGTGTTTCGAGGAAAACGTTAATTTAATTTTAACGAGGATAACATACAGTATTATTTTTTCAGGCGAATCTATAACTAGACTGTACGATTTGGATAATTTAGTTGAATTTTACATAACACCAATGCCAAATTACCCTTCGATCGAATGAAACAATTGTCGGATTAACCGCAAAACAATAATTTATTTATTGTTACAAATCTAAGATAGAACGTGTATAATGTAATTGAATCGTATTGGAAACATAATCCGTACATAGTTCGCAGTGACTGTACCGGGGATCGTTAAGTTGAAACGTGAACAACAGATGTAACTGTTTGCTTTCTTTTCTTTGACAAGACTTACTTTATGTGTTAAGTACTGCTGCGCGAATTTCCCGAAACTTAACGATATAGATTAAGGGTACTGAATAACAATACAACGAATATTACAAGCATTCGCTTGAATTTGTAAATTATATTCTAGAATTATACACTAACTATCTATATTATTATAGACAAACTTTGGTAATAACCACATATAGGTAACTAAGGACTGATTGTCAGTGAATGTATTGTAATATGTGGTTAAAAGTATAAGGGAAAGAAAGAATAGTGAAATTTAGTATTTGGTCCCAAAAGTAACTGGCGATTGAAAAAGAAAAAAAAAAAAGAAAAAAACAAACAACAACAATATATCTCAAAGTCTTAATTAATTAGTTCTCTATGCCGACAAATTTTCCTAGCTATATTTATAATATTGAACATGTTAATTTAAGTTTTTACGTTACTTCATGACCTTATTGTATCATAAAGCCATTTTATCATAAAGTTTTTATATCTGAAAACTATAAATACATATATAAATGTGTATAACATGTACGACTAACAAACGCATCTGTAATTTATGTAATTATCAATTGAATTCTCGAGAATAAGCATTTAAGGCTTGACGAAGTTATTTAATTGCTGAAGCGACGACAAAGCTGGTAAGATCGAATTTCTTAATTACCAATAAAATCTTTGTTATTTACCGGCAAACGATTTAAGTGTGTTTTTACCTTATTAAATGCATAGGATATTTTTGAGTATGTTCAAGTAGCAAAACGTGACTTCTTAGTCGGATTCAAATTGGTATCTTGATCGACGATCCTACGTTCACATCGCCTCCTGTTCCATCCAACTTCAGACCAGCCAGTGTTTCCTCCCACGCGTTCATGCACTGTTGGTAATGCCGTATTTGTCGATCCGCCATCGAGATCAACATATTCTTCAAATCCATCTGTTTCTCGACGTTCCATCTTTGCAAATCGCTCCGCAAATTTTCATTCGCGCATTCAACGCGATCTTGCAACAATTCCGCTTGCTTCGCTAATCGCGGAATCGCTTGTCCCAGTCTTTCTAATTTCTCATCGCGGGACTCCGCTTTCCAAAGGGATCCACCCCAGTTTTGCGTCGACAGGTTTCCACTTACGATACCCATTAGCTGCTTAAATAATTGGCATTATAAATTAATGTACTTATAGAAATTGAACAGGCGAATTATACACGTACCTGATCCTTTTCGACTCGTTTCTTCGCGAGATCCTCGATCGTCATTTCATATTCGATTTGCATCGAGTCGCGTCGAGACAGAGCACCTTTCACCGCATCTATGTACGAAATGTATTCTCGCTCTTCGTTCGGTACATTTTCTAGAAGCTTTTGATGAGCTACCGCGTTACATTCAATCGCTTTCGCGATTGCCAACAAAATCGGGGCTAATTCTGGTTCAGAAGTCGCCCACAATGTGAATATTGGATGCAGCTGATGCAATTCAAGTAAATAATCTAACAAGGTGGTACATGTAATGTTTGGTAGAATTTATAACGGTTTTGATTAAGAGAATAAAACTTATTTCTTATTGTACCTTGCCTGTCTTTTTGTATACGATGATTTATCTTATCTATAGTCGCTAACTTTTCGCTAAGAGCCGTACAATATTCCCGAATTTGCTCGAACTCGAAATGACGTTGCTTCATAGTATACGTGCTTGCAATATTTTGCAAGGAGTCCGTCATTTTTACAAGAACGTTTCCACGATTTTTACGATGTATGAGAAATTCCTGAAAAGAGAAAAAAGATAGAGATTCAAAGGTGTATATATAGGGAAGAAGAAATGACTGAGGCTTACCGCAGGTTTAGATGTCAAGAAAATGTGTAAATTTTTGTCGCAGCTAAGAATAGGATGATTTACAACTCTGTTCAGAAATATATGTAACAATTTCATGCGTGCTATGATAAATTCTTTGGAATAACGATCTAACTGCGCAAGTAATGTATGCTTCCCAGGCATCGGCTGTAACATAGACAATTAATATACTGAAGATTATTCTAAAAGTAGTAAGGAAGTAACTATAATATTAATAGACTTACTGGTATGATATGAGTTGGATACGAATCCACTAATTTTTGCCTTAGCCATATGAAATCATTGTACCGTCTTCTGACAACGTATTCTCCCTCGTCAAACTCTGGTCGCGTGGACTAAAATAACAAAGATACAATTAAACATTAATATTTATAAATAATTAAATTTATATACTCACCTTTGTTGTTATACGAAAAGTGATATAAGTTTCAAGAGTTTCTAGATGCTTCTGAGGATTATCTACTTTCACCTGTAAGTCCCTAGAATCTGCCTGAAAATCTGATATCTCTTGTTCTGGTAAAGTGGAGAAACTATCGACAGAAGGAGATGCTATCTGAAAATTTATTCAATTTAAATATATTAAATACAATGTATATTTTAGCATGTTAATCATTATCATTTATTGTAGTTCTATTAATTTTTATTTCTACAACATTGTTAACACACGGCTGTCAAAATAGTCTCAGGTTATATTCTTACCACAGAACCTTCGACAGACGTACTACAGTTCGAAAGAAAATCCGTATCGCGGCTTTCCTGCTTAATAACACCGCCGACTGCCATTGTGCTTACTTCTAAAATTGCCGTATCTTCCGCATTGTTTTCACCCAGCTTTTCTACATCAGTTTCCGACGAAGTCATCATCTTTAAACTGTCAAGCAACAGAGAGCTTTAACGACGCTGCGTCACGATGCGCAGCGTTGCTTTAAAGAACGATACGCACATTGATTATGTTTCAAAAAACCTGACTGAACATTCGTGAATTCTATTCAATTATATTTTAAATATACTTTCAACCGTAATCGTATTGATGTATTTTTAAATGTAACTTATAATTTGCCATTATAATATACCCGTTATTCCACGCTGGAATACGTTGTTCTCTGTAATTTGAAATGCTATAATTCAACTTTCGTTTGTTCTGAAATGTAGTGATGGAAATTTACGACATTCCGGAGTAAAAAAGCAAATATTTTTCGCCCGTGGAAACCGTATCTCTGGGATACACTCGATACGTTCTTTTCCCGCGATCAAAAATTCGAAACTTTCGCACCGATTCCACGAAAAATGGACTGGCCAGAAGATGACGAATACCCTTCGGTTTTTTCCAAAAGATATTCCATAATGATGGCGGAAGAATCCTCACTGCCTATTATTTATTACCGATCGCAAAATTCATTATCCAGTAAGTTTTCTTCTCTTTTTTTTTTTTTAATAAATACGATTAATAATTTATAGTTTCTCGATGCGTTAATTTCGAATAACGCGCCGAATCTGTTGGCTTCGATAAAGTGAAGAAAGCTTTACGATGAATTAGAAATTTTTATATAATGTGTGTTTAATTAGACAAAAATCAACAAGTGATCAAAACAATTATTTATTAACGCAAATGTCATAATGCAGTTGGCCGGCATCGTGTATGTATTATAGCCTGCGCATTAATACGTGATTGCGCACGCATGGTAAGAATACCACACAGTGTAATTTCTTTTTACGAATAACACTCGTTATTTTCAAAATACCAATTTTCTTCTTCTAAAAAAGAAAGTTTGGAATTAAGACTTATCCAAATGAATGTTATTAATTTTAGCGACTTCAGATCAGATGATCGACGAGCTGTTTAGAGTAAAAGGGGGAGCACGCGCGATCCTATTCAGAGACGTATTAATAACTTAATAATCCTAGTGCAAAACAAATTGACATTAATTGCATTAATGAAAGAAGACAGGAGACATCGATGGAAGTCGGTATATTACAATTTCTGAACATTTATTCTAATTTTTTTTTTCAAAGAAAAATTTTTACTAGGTATTACTTGCATCGAGAACGGAAAAGAAATTTCACCAAATAGGAATAATTTAAATTTATACTAGTGCAATGGAAATAGATACTTTCAAGAGGTATGAATGAGATTAGACATATTACTCGTTTGATCTGATTATGGCACCCATGCGAGTGAATATTATGTACGCTACTGATCGTGACGCGGGCAGTGATGCCGTAGTCAAGGAGACCGCAGTAGCAGACAACCAACACTCCGACCAGCCGTCGACAACAAAATATACAGGTTCGTCGGAGTGTGCTGCTCCGCTTTTCCGCTTCTACGGTGCCTTCGCCATCCGCGTGGTTTCCTGGGTGACAAGCCACCGCCGTTTCTTGATCGGGAAAGGGCCGGTTGAAATCTGTCGGGGGGAAACGTTCGGCCGCGTAAGTGCGCCCGGGCGTCGTGTTGAAAGTACACGCCATTCATGAAGACAGGTGAGTGAAAATGAGACGTACGAACCGCGCTTTTCCTTCCATTCTAATCACGATCATTGCGATACATGTTTTATATGATTTTATAAACGCAGCCGCAGAAGTAACATCTATTACATTTAAATCCGACATACTGCCGCCTTATCAATTACGAGATACTAGGATTATCGTTCGCAATATGTATTTGCTCAGTGACAGTTGGCATAGAACGATTATTGATAATTATAAACTAAACAATACAAGTTGTATTTGGATGTATGTATTAAAGGATGCTTTAGGACCAAGTTAAAGGATATCATACTACTCATTTCTAAGCTGGCATAAACTTCAGAATGAACTATTTCAAGGATTCTACTATTATTGTTAATTCTACAATTGTTAGGTATTCATAGAAGAAAACAATGTCTTTTCATTATTAAATCAATATCTGATATCTATATTTCAGATTGTTTATCTTAAAATTCTCTATAGTTTTTAGTATGCTGATTCGTCTCAAAGTTTCTTCATTATTCAGGAACAATTAATTTCCTTCGTACTACTTTGAAAGGAAACCATTGCTGGATTTTTGCTTTATATATTCCCCTGCTGCATCATGCTTTGGCGATTTTATTGTACACTTCTACCTAGGGGGCATTTAATATTTGAAGGTCTATATAGGTTTTAATTAAAACAGGCTTATCAATTCCATCAATGTATTTCTTGAAGCATAATAGAAATCAATTTTTATCTATTTAATTATTGTTTCTATTTTTTATAAGATTCACCTTACAATAAATTTTTAATTATATTTTTAAAAATATTACCATTGTTGTTTCTTTATATCATTTTTCCTTTTAATACGTACTCTTCTTTCTTTTACATTTGTTTCATAAAAATTAATATTATAAAAGTTCAATCAAGTATGTTCTGCAAAAGGTTTATAAATAGATAGTAAAAGGATGGAGGGTAAGCATTGTAAAATAACAGATAAGGTGTGCAGAGCAGTTTCAAGCATCAGTCATGCATAACGGTGGCCAGGTGTACATATGGTATCCTTTCTAATGTGATCACCTTTTATAGAATATCTTGTACCATAAAATATACTTTTCTGTAACATAATAAATTTCAGTGTGAGAATGTTATTTGCTTGTCTGTTGTTTGTTAAAAATTGTATGCTTCTCATGAATCTCCAGGGTAATTAGAAAATTTATTGCTATTGGCAAAAGGGGAAATTTAATTCTCTCTAATTGCACCTATCATCTGCCCATTTCTACTGATACTTTCAATCCCCTTGACAAGAGCTTTGTGTCCAGTCACGCGTACATTGCATTTTAGTCACCACCCCTCTCCATTTCGTTTTCTTCCCTTTGAAACATTGTTTGGTACCTGCTACCCCACAGGTACAGGGTGTACTAATACATCCTGTTATATGTACGTTGAAACTACAATGACGTGTTTCATTCGTATTGGAAGCTCTTCGGGGCTTCACTTTGATCTGTAGATTATTGAATGCTGCACACCTGCGAGAAATTACGTAGACCGATCCTTCTTATATGTAGGTTAGGGTGTTTGTTAATCTGTCGGTACCCACCCGAGTGGCGGGCGTCGTCGTTGAAACATGTTCCTTCTTTCTGTTCACGAATTTACGTGACATATAATGTTAAATTTAATGCAATAAAAACGATTTTTATTATGCTTTTATTACAACATACACATACTTGTATTTCCCATTATAATATAATAAAAAATCATTAGGTGTACAACATGTTTCTACAGGACATGTATATAAGGTCTGTGTTTATTTAAAACCTTAATGAAAAATTCATCTCTACTTATCAATGATTTAACTTTAATAGAGTATTTAAGTATACCAAAAGAATTCACAGCAGTCTTTCATGCGTCGAAGCTGTTGGGGAAACTTTATTGATATTTGTTTCATTGGTATTGGTGTCTGTCTACAGATTCTTCCCTTCACAAACGGGGAGGCAACAACGGTGGTGATACGGTGGGAGTAGAGAGAGGTGAAGGAGTGATTGCCATGACTACAACGGGAGCTCAGTATGCCCTCGCAGCATCCACCAGAGCTAATAACAGTGGGGGTAGCTCTACATCAGTGGGGGTGGAACCAAAGCCAAGCGTTGTTGTCGTGACTACTTCCAGCTCCAGTGGCAGTGGCAGTGGAAGCGTGGCACAGAGCCAGTCGGCGAGAGGGCAACAGCTTATCACTGTTGTTACCAGTCCTGATCCTTCCAGTCCAAATTTACAACCTATACAGGTTTGTTTACTAGTACATTATGTCAATTAAGTTTTTATCTAACATAGATTCTTTTCTTTCTGAACATATTTTATTGATTTTCAAGCATTCAAGAGTATTGTATTACATGTCTGTATTAAAAGCATAAATTTTTATCTCTGTACTATTAATATTTATCAAGAAATTTTATTTTTTTTTTTTTTATATTATATAGAAAGTTACAGTTGATCATGAGAACACGCATACTATAAATAATAATTTAGTTATTGGTTCAGGACCCGCTTGAAACAGCTGCAGATTCTTCCAACGGCTCAACAGGTACTCCAGCACATGTTACAGCACAAGTAGTTGTGAATACTACTCACTCAGGACAGCACACCCTTGTCGATTCTGACGCTGCGTCCACATCGGCTGGCACCATCGTCGGTGGTTCCCCGCATTTTATAACAGTAACAGGTACGTGTTACATAACATAAAACTCATCTTTATTTTACCTGTTGTTAAGTCGTCGGTTAAAATTTTGCAATCGTTCAGGAAAAGTCCTAGAGATTAGTCTTAACAATTAGCCTTAACGCGTATAGAAAAGAAAAAAGAAACTTACTAAGTTGTGAAAAGACTTCTTATAAGTCGCTTATGTTAGGGGTGAGTATCAGGATCAGTTTGAAAAATTATAGTGTTTGAGTAGAGATTTGGCCCTTTCCATGCTGCTGAAAAACATGCACCTCTGTTCTTCTACTCTGACTACACTAGGCACCAGTGATTCACCATCCTACGCGTCCCTCACAACGGCAGTAGGTGAGGGCAGAACATGATCAGCATGCATTATTATTTTACTTACATGTAGACTGTCTGTAAAATTGCAAATATTATATTTGATATTTTTATACAGATTGATTTTGCATGTATCAGTATACATTTCATTTACATGAATAAAGAAATAAGTATTAACATACGTACGTTAGATTTCATTTTTGAAGAGTGCAAACGTTCGCTTAGATGCACTCTGTTCTTTCTAGCAACTATTTGGCAAGGTATATTCTGAATGTTGTGTGCATTTTGTGAAGCTTCAATCATGTGAAATTATTTCTGATAAACGAATTGAAACATATTATATTTGTTTCAGTGTCAGGAGAACCAGAGGCAGTGGGGTCCGAGTCGGTATCTCATCCTACCTATGTACAATATGTTGAGGGGGATGGCTCCACGTATATACCGACAAATGGTCAGATGTAAGTATAAAACTACTGTAATTAACTTATGATGTTAAGTTAAATAAATTGTTATTTATAGGACATATCCTGTATATGCTGTGGGAGAAGCAGGTGCAATGTATACTCCTGCTTCGAGCCAGTATTACACACCAGCATCTACACCGGTGACATATGCACAGGTAATTTATAATAAATTTTATTTCCTTTCGAACACTCATTTTTTGTTGCATTATAATCAACAATTTTATATACATTTAGGTCACTGGTCAAGGTTCAAATTCTACAACTGGACAATTATTATCTCAGGGCAATGGCACGTATCTAATTCAACAAAGCGTCGTGGATGGAGATCCCACTACACATGCATTAATATCCGCAGCTGCTGCGCGTGCTAGTCCACAAACAGAAAATGCGGTAAGATGGCAGTGCATGTGTAGACGTTAATTGCTTCAATTTTCTTTCTTATTTTGTCAACTTGTTAGAAATTATTATATAAATACAGATTCTTCTATCTACAGGCATGGTAATCCTGCATGATTGTGAAAGGGTGAATGTTTTTATTTGATGGTACAAATGTTATTGTTTCCTTGAGTAATTTAGATAACGTTTATTTTTTAACTAGTAAACATTAAATTGGGATTTGGATTGTTTGATAGGAATCTGTGGTTAGCGGGGGTGGAGGGGCATACTTGATCAGCGGTAATTCAGGGGGTGCTACTGTCACCGTGGAAGATGCTGCAGCAGCAGCAGCAAACATGACGCATGCCACTAGAGTTTCACAAGCCACAGTAAGCTGATACATAATCCTAATTTGTAGATTTTCTGGTACACTAATTTGTTACAGCATGTTTGTGATTAATTGCTGATGTTTTAATGAATGCTTTTGTACGAGTTTCAAAGTTTTCTGTTCGACAATAACACAGACAATATAAATGTTATTATTTAAAAATTGTGAATGTTGCAAGTAACTAGCCTCTTAAGATGTTTACTATTGTATTTAATATATAATTTACAAAGTTGATAATAATTTTTATTGTATAATTAGGTTCATTGGTTGCTCGAAAATTACGAAACAGCGGACGGTGTTTCTCTTCCAAGATCAACTCTTTACAATCACTATTTGCGTCATTGTTCTGAAAATAAATTAGATCCTGTAAATGCTGCGAGTTTTGGAAAACTAATACGTTCTGTCTTTTTGGGTTTGAGAACTAGACGATTAGGCACAAGGTAAATGTTTCTATTAATTTTTTTATATTTAATATTATATATTGTACATTAACTCTTTGGAGTTGTACGACTTGTTACAGAGGAAATTCAAAGTATCATTACTATGGAATTCGGGTAAAGCCTAGTTCTCCTTTGGTGATGTTGAACGAAGATGGAACGCCTCGTCAGCAACAAAATGCAAATTCACAGACGAAACGATTCAAATTTGTGAATCAAAAGCAGGACGCTACGTATGAGAATAACACGCATTCGAATACGAATATTTCGTCGAATACTTCACCGCCACAGTATCACCAGTATCTTGGAGAAGCGAGCGGTGCCATTCCAGAATTTCCCGAAATAATAGTAGGGCATGGTTCGTCTCTTCCAGAGGACTGTACGTTAGAAGACATCGATACTTTTCGTAGTATATACAGGGAACACTGCGAAGCCTTTTTAGATGCTGTACTCAACTTTGAATTTGCTACTGTAGAAAGCCTTTGGAGAGAATTTTGGCGCAGTCAAGACAATAATAACGGTGACGAATGCGAGGAAGAAAAGTACTTATCAAAGTAAGCCTCGATTCACCTACAATTTTATATTCTATATATTGCAAGATAATATTAACAATCTCTTATATTTAGGACTAAGCTATATCAAATATGTAAATGTTCTGAAGTTCAAGATTTCATTAGAAAGGTTGATTATACGTTTTATCAAAATCTGGTTGAAGTATTAATGCCTAATGTACTACGACCTATTCCAAGTAAGTTATTCTTTTTAATTTCTTATGGAATTTCTTAACATTGTACTAATTAATGCACGATACGTTAGGTTCGTTAACACAGTCAATTAGAAATTTTGCAAAAGGATTAGAATCATGGCTGACATCAGCAATGGCCGATTGTCCAGAAGAAATGACCCAGATAAAGGTATTATTGAGATAGTATAAATTTTACTTCTTCAAGGTATTATTTTAATAACAAAACTTTATTTTAGTTGACTGCTGTATCTGCATTTGCTCAGACACTAAGGCGTTATACATCGTTGAATCACCTTGCTCAAGCTGCACGTGCAGTGCTTCAAAATTCTAGTCAAATAAATCAAATGTTAGCCGACTTAAATCGCGTTGATTTTCACAATGTACAAGAACAGGTATTGCATTAACGAAATTATATTTTCATGTTATATCCTTTCTGATTTTACAAAATATATATCCTTTATAGGCTTCATGGGTATGCCAATGCGATTATGCAATGGTACAACGTTTAGAAGCAGATTTTAAAGTGACACTGCAACAACAGAATTCGTTGGAAGATTGGGCAATCTGGTTGAAGAGCGTCGTAACGCAAGTTCTAAAACCTTTCGAAGAGAAACCAACATTTGCTAAAGCTGCACGTCAATTTTTGCTCAAGTGGTCATTTTACAGGTATTTATAGCAATTTTATATAAAATATTTGATTATTAGTTTATTATCTTTTATATATCATTTATTCGACAGTTCCATGGTTATTCGCGACCTGACTTTAAGAAGCGCAGCTAGTTTTGGATCTTTTCATCTTATTCGATTATTGTACGATGAATACATGTTTTACTTGATAGAACATCAGGTAGCAGTTGCTACAGGAACAACCCCGATAGCTGTGATGGGAGATGTGCGTAATTTTTATCAAATATTGTAGAATATTTATTCTACATTTATTTATTCCAGTGTTTTCTTCCAGAAAAGTCAAACTTGCTCTTTAGTTAGCGCGTTTGGTGCAACTTCTAACGGAGGTGAGGTTGCTTTTCGTGATTGTCAATGTTTCATGTGAAACTTGTTAGTTAGAAATTGTCCTTTCTTTTCAGATACATCTAATACATGTCAACCAAAGCGTATGAAATTGAGCTAACTGCGTGCCTACGTCCTTTAGTTTGGAAGTGAGCCAGTAGCACCTGATAACGAAACGTTAGCACAAGAGCATGCAGGCCTATTAACACACTAGTCCCATAAATTATAATTTTATATAAGATAAAATCTTATTGTACTATGACTTAACAAAGAAGATTTTTGCATAACACCCAGGATGTATACAATCTAAGTAAGTTTGTGTGATATAATATGTAGGAACATGTACTGCAATCTTGTTTCATACAAAACATATGATTCAAGTATAAGGTATCGCTGGCACGATGTTTAGTACGTTAATGTATTGTCTAGTCGAAACATCTTTCAAATATGTATGGGACCATGAATTTGTCATGCCCTTATAGTATTCAGTATTAAAAGTTTGCTCGACTGAATTTTTTTTCTCATGTTCAGATAATTCAAATCCATTGTTTTAATAGAGAAAATGAATTACAAAATTGATTAATAAATTCTTGTGAACGTCTATTAATTTTAATAGGATGTTAAAGAAAAATAAAGTCGAGCAAACTTAAAATAATAGACATTTTGTGCAAAAGAAAACAGTCGAAAATTGAACAGTTTTGATAGGGAAAATTATTATTCCCAAATTTGTATCGACGAATTCTATTTTGCACAAATACTTGAATAACATTTTACCAAATCCGCCCGTCGACGGTATTGTCAAAAAAATAATAACTATTCCTACCGGAACAGATGCAAATTAGATTACTATAATTATATAATCGTACAAGTTTTAAATATTACTCCCAACATTCATATTTTTTAACACGATTTATTAATTATACATCGAGCTATGTAAAAGTTTTGTTGTAAACCATCTGTTACACTTAACATATATATTCTTTCAGTATTTTTAAACGAATAGTACAAAACAGCGGTGAAGAAAAACTATGAACGAAATGATATAATAATGTAGTCGTTTTAATTTACTGATAGAATATACATCATGGTTCTTACATTCAATGTACATATGCAAATGGTGTGACAGATAAAAATGCACAGTTGTTGAAGTTTAATGAAAAAAAAGAAAAGAAAAAAATTTCAAACTGTAAGAATAGAAGTTGAGTGTCTTCAAACATATTTCGCATTTAATTTAAATATATTTTACTATAAAGATCTATTAGTAATATGATTTATAATTGGAGACACTCGAATAATTCTTCTGTACATAATATTAAATCTAAGTGTGCATTGTGAATTTCACGTTATACATGCATATATATATATATTTTTTTTTTGTTATGTATATATTAATTGACAAACGTATGTTCAAAACGTGTGAACTGTTTCAGACGTCGAAAACATACGCGTTATTTTTTGTTCGTATACTTGTGTTTAAATTCTATTGTGTTCATGAAGTATTTAATAATCTATTATTTTAATTTTATAGTCATTTTCTAAATGTCGTAAATTGCACTGGACTGTTTGGATCAATGCAAACGAGAATGAATATATAGTGATTATTTATAGTATAATACCAAAAGACTTACATTACGTTAATTTCTTTTTTCTGTAAATACTTTAACATATATGTTTAAAAAAGTGAATACGATCTGTTGCACACTAGGTTTATTAAAACTTTACGTCTATTCCACGTGATTGTCATACAGCATTGCATTCTGTTTTTATAAAAATTTGAAGCTTCTAAATTTGTCATACTATACGTTTGATTCATGTGCTTGATAACACGAATGAACATACACATATTATCATATCCTTCTAAACAAGTACAAAATTTCATTTACATGTATTACTTCAAATATTTTTCCATTCGTTATGGCTATTATTTAATAACAAAATGCTTGTTCGTTTTTTTCATAGAAAGTTCAATTAAAAAACTTGCATTTATGTAAAATCATGTTAACGTGATGTTTTATGTTTTGAAAAATGTAATGTATACATACATAACATATACATATATATATATATATAGTTAGTGCTGACATTAACGATAATTACCATTAAATATTTTATGAAATGAATATATCAAAAAATTATCGTTCAGAATTGTTAAGTATTGCGTGTGAGTTCATTCAAGTACAGAATTAATGTTGCCAGTGTATTTTTGATTGTAAAGCACCGCTGTGTAAACCATCTGCTAAGCTTTGTGAATGCACACTACGTAATTTAGGAGAAATTGAAGTTTAATACGTAAGAGTATAGAAATTATCCGATCATATGAGAAAATTTCAAGCCTGAATGTATCTCACAATGCAACAAAAAAGCAAAAGAAAAAAAAAAAGATGAGTAAATGTCTCAACCCATTGTAAGATGCCACTCCTATTCAACACTGAATTGGAAGATGCAAATTCCTATGAACAAACTAAATGTTTGGTAAAACTTGGTGCCTTTTATTTCATACAAGAAAGAAACGAACATTTTTTTACTGTACCTTGATTATACAAAGAATCGAGGCCAAACGACCAAAATGAATTAAACAAATAGTTATACTCTTCCTTTAGGGCTTCTTCATAAAGCTATTTTAATTTTTATAACGTGTTTTACTTCAAGAAGCTAGTAAGTTTCTTTAGAGTCGAAAACAGAAGCAGATTAAACGAAATTTTGAGAGAAAAATGTATGTGCTATATATACTTTGTAAAAATATCACATTCAGATCATATTGCTTCTTTTCTATGTATACAAGTGATTCTGTACATGAAAATTTCTTCCAAAGTAAAATTCACATTGCTAATGATCATATTAAAGGGTACTAAATGCTGATCAAGATTTATTACATTGCGATATTCGCAAGTAGTTTTAACAAAAGATAGGATATACGTTTATTTATTATATAAAACTATTATATACTAGTCAAATTTCATAGATTTAAGTCGAGAAACAGGGATTGAGTATCAGACAGTACGTTGACTAGTGGTTGCGCATGTAATTATTTGTGCATGTGGAAAGGATAGAATATTTCTATAACTATAATGAGCTTATACGTGTAAAAACTATTGATACCTATGTGTACTTAGTGTAAGAATGGCTTTTTAAGAATTTTCATTTTCTTTTCTTGTGAATGAAAACTCGTGCAATGTTTGCAAGTACAGTTGAATATAGAAATGTGTACCGATATAACTTATTATCAGAACAAAATACTTGAGAATCAAAATGAATCAGAGTTGTCCTATTATTATAAAAATGTAACGTTGGTATACAATTCTATGTTCATTCACACTTGTTTGTACTTTGTACTTTTAGGTAGGATTGCTGTTTGTAAGTTTCACATAATTATGGCAAGGTGCAAGTAATTGTAGTCTTGTTGATGATAAAAGATCAAACTTACCATGGTTTCCTATGTTGCGAAAGAAGACGGCCTTAAAATATTTCCAATTGTAAGACAGAAAAAAAGATTTACTATGTTGTTAAGGGTGGACACTGATAATGAACGAAAAGAAAAAAAATTAAGAGATACTCTTTAAGGAGGAAAAGTAAAAGTATCATCGTTTTCCTTGTATCTTAAAGAAAATATTTTGATACCTCCAGATTTGCACAAATCGAGTGTCATTCATTACTGCTTAAATAAGATTATTTTTACTGAATGCAGCTCAAATCGAAAACAACTTATATAAATTATTATGTGAGGCATAAAAAGCTCTAAAAATTGTGTGAATGTGCGGATTACAAAAAAAAATAATAAATATATGTTTAAAACTTGTGAAACTGTACTTATTATTTAATCATACATGGAGTATATAGATTTTCAACTATTTTTCAAATTTCAAATTTCCCGCCACACAGTACTGTCGACCCCGTAGACGGAGTGGGACGCCATTACAATGGAGAAACCGGAAGTGTACAACTAAGTTGCATTGAACTTGTCGCAATGAAGTTGGCTACAAATTCACTGTGATAAGTTCAATGCAACACAGTGTCCGGATGCGGCGCGTAAAGTTTTGCGAGTTTCTCATAAAAATTTGGAAAATAACGTATAATTATCACGGTTTTATGTTTATTTGTCTTTCGAAACCGCGTATGAGTGTGGAATATCGTAGATTTTAGTGAAAAGTGCAACAATTTCAACATAATTACACCATCAACGCAGTAGTCTAGTAAGTGTAATTTTCTGTCAACATCCATCCTAAACATTAAATGGTACAATCATAACACAATTCTAATTTATATTGTACATTAAATTTGAAAAATACAATCGTAATGACGAAAATAATAACTCGTCGGTGCCATTGCTTAAATATATTACTTTATTCGAATCCGTTGGAATCCGGAAGTAGAGGGTGCCCTCTGTCGGCCATTTTCTTTTCATTCCGATTTCAACAGTTTAAATTTCGGTGTTTCGAACTCGTTGTATCTAAATTATAAAATTAATTGCTGTATTATTTGTATTATAGTAATGTGCAACTTGCAGGTGACAAATATCCAGCCGTACATCTCAACCAACCAAAGTATCAACGAATCGGTGAGTGAATAATATTCATTAGTATTAGTAACGCGTGGCGTTTAATATTTTTGCTCGGAAGTGCATGAAAATATTATTCAAATAAATTTTTGGAAACTTAAACGACAATATAAAAACTGCTTATTATTTTTAAGATAATTGAATTTATCCGATTTTTTATTTTCTATAACAAAGATTCTAATTAGAACTTTTCAATTTAAGTTCACAAGTACTTTATATAAACAAAGAAAAATTAAAGATTTTTTTTTTATTTTTATACTTGACACTAATGTAGATGTAAAATACATCCGAATATGCGATATTTTGTAATGAATTTACTTAATTTGTTTGATAATGGCAAATAATTACAAATTGATAATAATCGATAATCCTTGCACTGATAACCTGTCCCTGGTAAATGGTACAGATGGTGTGCTGCTGTTTGTGACATAAGTCCTATTTAGTTTATGAATAAGAAAAATTAGGCAAAACTCGATTTGTCCTTGATGGGTTTATTAAATTTGTTATTTTAACGAGTGGAAAATACGATAGATCGTTTTTTCTCTGTATTTTAGTGTGAATATCTAGTTTTTATACACGTCATCGACAGGTAATGAAAGGATGCTGGTGTTGTAATCAGTCATTTTCTTCTACAATTTTCACTTATAAGTCGAAAAATGTTGTGTTTAGATTGTTGTTCTTCGTTACATACTTTCAAATATATTCGAAGGGATGTTGGTTTGATTTGGTTCATAGAATTAGGCAATTATTGAGACCATATTGTTACTTTCGGAGGTTAGGAAAGCATTGCATCATTCATAAAGAGTTCAGCAAATGTTTTGAAATATTTTGATATTAAAGATTCTATTTGTTGTTATTCAATGATAGACGTCTTCATATTTATGCACTAAATATATTTTAAAACCGATTTGGAAGAAACGAAGAACAATTTATTGTTTATTTTAACAAATTACCATACAAGATAGAAGATCATTGAACACTGAAGTAATCCATAGGATCAATATGGATGAGAATATAATGCAAAGCGTATTTTTCATTGCTAGATTAAAATGACATCAAAGGATGCAAACTCTGGCGAGAACATAAATGCTGAAACCGATAAACACTATTGTGTAATTCATAAAAAAGATGTTAATGATCAAAAGTATTCGCATGCCCAAAAGGAGAGCGAAAAATTAATTTTCAACGAATTACAAATAGATGTAGAACAGAATAGTAATTTGGAAAATGAATCTCAGAATGAGACATCTACAATGGATAAACAGGAGGAACAATCTACAGGTGATAATAAGAAACTAATTGAATTACTATGATCAAAGAAGCAAAAAATATACTTGCTGTGCTATTATCCTCTATAGTTGATTTGTATTTTTGATTGGAAGTACATTAGGAGTTGCTAGAAATTTGGCCTTAGTTGAAAAGTGCTTTAAAACAGTTAGTGTTTTAAGGCTTCTATAGAGAAAGAAAGAATCACTGTGTTTTCTCTCTTTCTATCTCTCTAATATGATAATAAAATCAATGTAAAGCCATTCACTGAATTATAGGGTAAGCTTAATACAGTAGTATTTTGGTGCTTTCAATATGTCAGTACAAAACAGAAATAGAAGAAAATTTCGAAAACATCAAGGTATATTATTATCATCATTCACAGAGTAGCTTCAATATTTCTTCCAAAAAATTGTTTCTTTGCATCTAGTATTCAAAATGTGTTCAGTATCAGGTCGTACGTTTAAATGAAAGTTTTCTTCCACTTTAGAAGTTGTTGGGTATCAATTAAAATTTGATGCTCATAATCAGAATAATAAAACTAGCAATGAAAGTGATGCACCAAGCCAAAATGAATACGACGAAAGTATAGATGAAAGATTACCAGAAACTGTAACATTACTCACCACGCCGGATGGAGGAAAACTGTATTTAGTAGGAACTGCGCATTTTAGTGTTCAAAGCCAAAATGATGTGGCAATGGTAAATAAGATGTATCCTTTCTTAGAATTGAAGTAATATAGTTTAGGAAAGGAATTAACGGTATCTTCTTAAAATTAAAGATAATCCGGGCTGTACAGCCTCATATAGTGGTAGTTGAATTGTGTAAAGCCAGAATTGACTTTTTAAATATTGCTGAAGAGGTTCTATACCGTAACGCTACGGATTTAAGTTTAAGTAAGTTCCTCCATTAGCATATTTAAACAAATTTCATACTGGCAACTCACATCTTTTGTTTTGTAGAAAGTTTAACTGATATGTTAAAGGAATTTGGGCTTTACGGCTTTTTACATTTCATATTGCATAGAATGGTAACTCATGTTGTCAAAGAACTTGGAATGCCACCCGGTGGCGAATTTCGTACAGCATTTGAAGAGGTAAACCAGGCTACATAGATTAGTCAGCATTTAAACAAAAATTTCAAACGATTATATTTCTTCAGGCCAAAAAGGTACCAAATTGTATAATTCAGTTAGCTGATCGGTCAATCAGTATAACAGTTCAACGTGCTGTAAGAGCACTGTCTTGGTGGGAAATAATCAAACTCTTATGGCTAGTGAGACACTTAGATTCTCATATCAACGAACAAGATGTCGAACGCTATAAACGAAAGCGTGTGATAGAGGAGATGATAACCAAGTTGAAAGAGGAATATCCAGCAATTGAGCAAACGTTTGTCAAAGAAAGGGACATATATCTGACTTATCATTTGCAAGCAGCTACTATGATCAAATATACCCCGGAGGGATTAAAGCCAGCAAGAATCGTAGGAGTTGTTGGAATAGGGCATGTCAATGGAATCGTAGAAAACTGGGGAAAAGTGAAATCCTCTGACATATGGCCTATCATGCGGTAGTTACACTTAATACAAGTTTCTTTATACATCAAACTTGACGTGTACCAAAGCATCTTCCATTTATTTTTCTAGAGTGCCTCCTCAATCGTTATCCAGCAGAATATTGAAATTTACTTTTAAAGCTTCCTTAATCGGTGTTGCAGTATATGTGGGATATAAAATTATACCATTGCCATATGGTAGTGCCCTACAATCTATCAGATCTTCTATTGAGGGATTGTTTAAGGTCAGTGACAGAACGTAGAATATCTGGAAGATTATCTAAGAAACTTTTAGTGAAACTTTTATCGAAAAGAAGAAGAGGAAAAGAAAAGTTTCTTTAAAGATTCTATCAAATTCTTCATTTTTATTATTTGATATACAAAGTTGTGGTAAGAAGCATGGAGGCAAGTGCTTGTCCCGACGACTACGAGCACCCGATACCTGGTGTTATGTACATAGTAAATAATATACCAGGTCCTGGAATAGATATAGAAGATTTTGAATCGGAATACTCTGTAGGTTGTTCGTGTACGATCCAGTGCACCGATTGTTCGTGTACACGTGGCTTTCCTAATTATATCAATGGTCGTATAATAGATGAGAAATTATCAGGTCCTATACTCGAATGTAATTCTTGCTGCACCTGCGGCCAAGATTGCGGGAATAGACTGGTGCAGAACGGTCCATTGAATAGTTTAAAGGTACTCGAAGCTAGTAACAAAGGTCTTGGTCTTTTCACTGCTAAGTTGATTAAAAGAGGCCAATTTATTTGCGAATACGCTGGTGAAGTGATCGGTATCGACGAAGCTCGCCATCGGTTCGAGGCGAATAAAAATAGTATGAATTATGTTCTGGTGGTCTCTGAACACATTGGAGATCAAAATATCGTAACGTGTATAGATCCTAAGTATTTCGGTAACATTGGACGTTACGCTAATCACAGTTGCGAACCAAATACGAATATCGTACCTATAAGAATAGAAGGAACGACACCTCGTTTATGTTTATTCGCCTGTAGAGATATCGAAGCCGGGGATGAGATAACATTTAGCTATGCTGACGGAATTGCCAATTCCGTCCGTAATTTTAGTGAAACGCGCTGCCTTTGCGGTTCCAGCAACTGTGTTGGCTACCTGCCTCATAATTCTATTTAAAAGTATTTAAGATTTGGTACATCACATGTTCCATTAAGTTAAGAATTTTTCAAAGTGTTCCTGTAATTTTCATCGATCGACCTGGAGTAATTTATAATTCTTTAAGAATTGTGCTTACTTATAATGACGAGTAAGCGTACGCGTAATTGTGAAATTTTTAGAGAAATAAAAATCTTCTATACACTATTGTAAGAAATGCAGGGTAAAACGTTATCGAGATCAGAAGATATATCAAATGCTCTGTAACTGATGTAATTCCATAATAATACAACATTATTGAAAGGATCGATTTAATATCTAATGTTATATACATATTAAACATTTTTGTAACAGGTGGTAATATGTTAATTACATACTGTATGATGATGCAATATATACATATTCGGTCATGATTCAATATGGAGTATGTATAATCTATTTATTATCATTTGAAATGTTGAAATTTTTAAATAGCAATTGAAAAATATATTTGTTTTTAATATAAATTATTTTGGAAGTTTCTCTGTCTATCTTATCATTCCCGGCAGTATATTATATTTCTTTATACTATTTAGAAGACAATTCAGTTCGATGTACTTTGCATTTAAAGAAATCTGATTAATTCTTATCCTGATGAAGCAATAAATTTCTTAGTTACACCTTCAGAGAAATGGAAATAATTTGAAAAATATTTTTATTTTCATCATTGCCATTTTTGATAACTTTTGTTTTATAAATAAAAACGTAACGTGTAACTTACAAAACCAGCATGTAATTACGAAACTAACGTTTCTTCATTCTATTTAATTTTTTGCTAATCTTCTTATTGCGATTTCGTCGCGTACTCCGATTCCTTAGACTCGCTGCTATATCTCCAACGCATCCATGCAACTCGCATGCGATCCCAGATATTTTCCAAAGAATCCATAGCCGGCCTAACGTCTAGCAAAGCGAACGTATACTTTTCGTCTACTTGGCCACCGTCGTAGTAGTCTATAATGTATCTTACATTTTTCCCGCATCTGTCCACGATCCAGTCATGACGATCGAATGGCAATTCATACCTAAAATCGTCCCGTATGCGTTAGGTTATTTATCAGAAATAGAATGAAACATTATTTTCCAAAAAAAATTTCAATTCACCCCATCCAATATCGAATCCGCGCACGCGGCGAATACTGTGTGGCTTTGCCACCAAAGCTGCGCAGTTTTGGAGTACTACATTCTCTTGCGTGAAGCGCCTCCCACTTGAGAACTTCCAGCCAAGCTTGTTCGTTGTTAGCATTGTGAATCTTTATAATATCATCCATATCTTTAGGCGATATGTCGTCATTTTTCCAACGCCATCCTTTCCTAAGCATCGCGTTCCAAAACATTTGTTGAGAAGGATATACCCAAAATTCAGTTTTCTCAGTTGCTTTAGGTATAGATGAAACTTGTCTGTCTGTGGGCAGTGGAAAAGGTTGATCCGGCGCTGGGTGTTGATTAGCCGCAGGCATCTGTGATAATTTCATGTAAGTTTGGATGGGCTGGATTAATAATAAACCTGTAAGGAGTTTAATATACCATGTTGAGGGGATTAATATCATCTTTGTTCATGTCGTGTATTGGACATTCGCTAATATGTTTAGGAGGTTCTTTTTTCTCTGCTGATTTATGCATAGGACACTCTGGTGGAGGTTCTCCTTCGGGTTTATGTTTTTCATGATGAACTTTTGAAAGTTGTGGTTGTCGTTGCTGTGGTATAATTACATCGGTTGCAGAAACAGCAAAGTTCATTACGTTACCCATTTTTCTTCTTCTTAAAGTTTCTGTAAAATAGGTTCCTTCAAAATCTGTTTCTCTTTTTATTCAAGAATATTGAAATAAATAATATACAGGTGATAACCTATAAATAGATTATGCAATAATCTATATTTGCTGTTATTATATCTAATATTTCTATTTTAATATCATATGATTGCAAGGACTAATAAATATATATTTTCTTAAAGAATACGTTGCCTTGATAAAAGCAATTAAATACCGCAATACTTACATGTAACTAAAGTGTTTATAAATTTGTATAATATTATTTGAACAGGTCTAATTGTTTGTCGCTATGATTAGAACGTTTCAAAGGAACATTTTTATTTATTGCAATAATTAAATATTTATTTATTATTTAAGTAATAAAAGTTATTATATATTTGAAAGAATTGGAACATCTCAATTCCGAATTCTTCGAACCGCTCGCGACAAACCGTGCACCGTGCACCTTGAAAGGTATATGTTGCCATCCCAATGTCATTTCTAGTGATTTTTATTATAAAATTTTATCAAGATTTACTCGTGGTTTATGAAATATTGTCTATATAAATCATTTCTAAAAATATTTTCATTACATATACGTAAAAATTAGCAATATTAATATTTATATAGCAGAAAGAAACCTCTCTATTCCTTATAGTAATTTTTATATTCATAGAGTCTTTTGTATTTCAAAGGATTGATTCCACCAACATATCGACAAGCAACTAGTTTACCGACTACCGGTATATCAAAGGGTTAGTCGACCAGTTGGTAAAAAAGTTCCGGTCACTAAGTTATTGAATAGTTTCAGCTATTTTTGTATAGGTGGCGGTGGGGTCGAATTTTAAAAATAATTGAGCAAAGTAAGGAGGAATGTATAGTTATGAACAGGGTTGGGCACATAATTAAACAATACTGACCATGCATTGAAATCGTCTCTGCTTGAAATATTTTTGCCAGGGTTGATTTCTTTCTACCATTGCGTATCAAACAACTTCGTTCTTTCTAAATTCCATATTTTGTGATTTTCTTTTTATTTTATTTTTAACCGACTTCGAAAAGAAGGAGGTAATTAGTCATTTGTAATTAGTCAAAAATCATACAAGTTCCTTTTTCAGGAACTATAAAATTACTATAGTTATACGTTCTATATGATAATATTGCAATCCCGAAAATACTTTTCTGAATTTAAACTATTGTTTCCCAATTAAAAAATATATAAATCTTTTTATCGTAGCGCTTAGCTTGATATCGCTTTCTAAAAGTTATCTTTAGAAAACGATATCAATTACCAGGTCACACCACATGGAGGTGGCTACGTTAGTGACCCACCCTAAAATCATAAAAACGTGAAACCATTCAGAACATACAACACAAAATAAAAATTTTAACAATACAATCCTGAAATAGAAAATAAAATTAACATCCTAATATCAGAAACAATTGAGAAAATAATAATAATTTAACAATAAAATCCTGTAACGGAAAACATAATTATTAGGATTAGACATACAATAACGTGAAACCATTCAAAACAGACAACATAAAATAAAAATTTAAACAATACAATCCTGAAATAGAAAATAGAATTAACATCCTAATATCAGAAACAATTGAGAAAATAATAATAATTTAACAATAAAATGCTGTAATAGAAAACATAATTATTGGGATTAGAATTTAAATAAAAATTTCAATAATAAAATGCTGAAACAGAAAATATAATTAACATTATAATTTCGATTACAATTGAAATAGTAAAAGCCGAGAACAGAATACATAACTACCACTGCAATCTCAGAAATATACAATAAAATGAGAGTTTAAGCAGATGTAAAATGAAAATACAAGATATGATTTATGTGCAAAATCAATAAGAAAAGAATAATTTATTTCAATAAAGTAATAAAAAAAAAGGAAATAGGGGAAATAAAAACGCGAGTTGACCATTCAACGAGCTGGGTATTGAACTCGTAAAATGTCGAGTTCAATACGTCCTGGACGGTATTATTCATACCGTTCAAGGAAAAACACAAAAAATGAAAAAACAAATTAGCGAGCATAGTGACAGAATGACTGTCCATCCGAAGATGGAGAGCCATTAGTAGTTCCCCTCTTCTGGGCAAATTTTGCCGGGGCTCTTCAGCATATAGCCTCTTCTTTCTTCGGCAATAGCCTCACAAAAATCACTCGCGAAAATTTTACGTTTGCTCAGACATTTGTAAAAACGTAACACGTAAACGAGCTACGATCCTTTGAATCGCTACTCGCATACCTGCACAATTTTTGCAAATGTCCAAGCACAAAACACTTTTTAATTTCACTTCACTTCACTGCACTTTCACTTTAATACTTCATTTTTGTAATCGGGTCTAGTACCACGACTACGACTTACAAACTAATAAGGCTTGGCCTTGAAAAAATCAAGAGAGAATGCTAAATTAATTAATTGATAAATTAATTAAATTGCATTTTCATCTTTTCTCTTGATTTTTGGTTTCCCAACCCCAGATACAAGCTTCTCACGTATTAGAGGAGAATACGAAGAGAAACATGAAAGCTTGCTCTGGCCCTGCCTACTTATAAACTAAACTCAATCACACCAGAAGTAAACTACCTGCCTGCCTATCGCTATATTTAAAAAAGGGCAAAAATCATTCTCACAAAAATTCACTCCACGGTTCTCATACAACCACCCGGGTGCAAAAATGCCTACACCTAGGGAGAACGTCCCGGGACGCCTCCGACACCCGAGTTCAATTCAACTTTCACACTCTAATAAAATCATACCTTTTTGCTGAAATCGACTGACAAATAATAATGAACATTATGCTAAAGTAACACATTTCATTTTCGTATTCTATTGAATTATCTAATGTAAAAATTTTTCAATTTATTCTTGATAAGTATTTTGTAATGTTATAGTAAGTTAAGATTGTTAATAAACGATACAAATCCCACATCCTAACCACACACACACATGTGGAACTTCTATCGTGGTTCACTATTGGTTCACTACTTTTGTCAGTCGCCAAAATGTACACTTAAAACTAAACCTTGTCCACCGCCCTCCACCCACGCGAGTACATCTAAGTACCCGAATGAGCTTTGGGCATAAAAATGAACAAGGCCAAAGGTATTTTCACCTACCAGTTTTCTTCATGTGTGCTGAAATGCCTAAGCTAAAACGTATTATTAGCAAAAACTAAAGATGATATTCTCACTTTATTAAAAGTAAGAATATCGGCGAAATTTCACGGCTCCGATTTAGTATATGGGCTGGCCCCCACAGGGGGTTTTATTTTTAATAAAAGTGACTCGACTTTGCAAATATAAAACTTGAAGAGCAAATACAGAAAAGCAAAATTGAGCAACTATGACATAAAACATGGTGCACTGCTAATATCAGCTGGCAACGAAGGGTCTCACGCCCCCTAGACTTACGCCAGACGCTACATACCACCCACCCCGCCTGGACGTCGTAACGCCAGGACAGGATGCACCCCTTCGCTAAGAGCGCTACCCGCCCGTCCAACACGTTGCATCCAACGGTGTCAGATTGACGGACGCCCATAGTATAGACAAAAGGACTACAGTTTAGAATATGGTAACATATTTTCATATGTTCCGTATTCTAAAGCTGCGCCTGCAAAGGCCTAGTAATGCATGGGTTTGTCTCCCATGAGATGGTGTTCACGGTCTTATGCCGCGGAACCCTTGTAACTAATTTTATCAAATAAAAACCAAAAGGATTCCCACCGAATACTAGTCAGTGTATAGTCATATTTACTTTCGCGCCGGAAATTTTTCGCAACACTACTTAAACTTGAAAATTCTAAAGGAATAATATTTACTCTCGCGTTGAAAATTTTTCGCAACACTACTTAAACTTGAAAATTCTAACGGGGTAATATTTACTTTCATCGTTGAAAATTTTTCGCAACACTAAAACTTGAAAATCCTAACGGGGTAATATTTATTCTCGCGTTGAAAATTTTTCGCAACACTAACTTGAAAATCCTAATGGGGTAATATTTCGCTACACAAAGGTATGCGGGTGGATAAATGATTATGTGATAGAGTTCGTGAGGCTGAAGTGTGAATGATGAGTGTTTAGGGTCGAGAACGTGACGGAATAAATTTCAAGTACGAAAGGGGAACTTTATACAATGCTTGAAGAGCAAATACCGACCCCCTTGGGGGCCAGCCCATATACTAAATTGATGCTAATTTCACGAGTAAAATCTGAAAAACGTTTCAATTTCAAGAGCGATTTCGTTATCAAAGTAAGTAGTTATAATAATTAATAGTATTCATGCTTATTACTTTGATATTGAAATCCGCTCATCGCGAAATAAATTCTTGTACATATAAAAAGGAAAGTGTATTGTGAAGTCGGAGGGTCATCCGACTTCTCTACATTTTTAAACTCGAAATCTATATATGTAAATATGTACAAGAAAACCCTATCCTGAGCTATGGCATAAAATACACAGAAAAGCAATTTGCACGATTATCATTGTATAAAATGATACAGTGATATTCGTGGGTCACTATGCTCGCTCAAAAAATAAAAATTACAACCAATTCCCGTGTCGCTACGGACCATTCGTCCTACAACATGATGGGAACCGGAGGAACTTTAAAGCATGCGACTCACCGATCGTTGACTTGCACTACTGCACTCGCCACGCATCTTAGATTGATCCATAGCTCGTCAAAGAAACGGTACCCCCACTGGCCAAACCACTCATCTAGAAGCATAAAAATCACGATTCTTGAACGATATATGTTTTCTCTCAATTTGTTGTAGTTAATATGCTAATAAATACTATAATTTAAAAATATGCATGCAAAACTATATGGAAATAACTACATCATAAAATACGGTAAAACACATGCAAATAAATACATCCCAAAACACATGAAGATCAAAACCATAGAACACCATAAAATATTTGCAAAATTATAGTAAAACACATAGGGTACCTATCCAGAAAACCTACTAATAAACCCGTATAAATATGCCAAAACACAAAGGGTACTACTCCATAAAACCCACTAATAAATCCGTATAAATATGCCAAAACACATAGGGTACCACTCCATAAAACCCACTAATAAATCCGTAAATATATGCCAAGGCACAAAGGAAACCACACCATAAAACACAATAAAGCACATGCAGGTACATGGGGTACTACACCACACAGCACACTAATGCACTTGTATAAAAATGTCAGAACACATGGGTGACCACACCATAAGACGCACTAATATATCCGTATAAATATTCCAAAACACATGGGAAACAATATAGGAAACACCATAGGCACACATAGAAACACTTGTGGTAACACACTGATAAATCCATGCACGAATATCCATAGTGTCAACCCGTACCGGTATATGTTTGGCAGCTCCATCCGTATCCTTCGGGGGTCGC